CATCTAGCTCAGGAATCCCTAAGCGCAACTTGAGCTTCCGCGAGCGCGCTGCAAAGAATGACATGGTGTTGCCGCAAGGCGCCGAGCCAACTGAGAGCGCAGAGACAAGTCCGCAACCCACACCACCGGTCGCCGGGTCTCGGCGACCCAGCTTCTCTCTCACTAGGAGCGGGAGCAACAAGCTGAAGAAGCAGCCGAAGGGCGATCCGTGGTTCAGCATCCGGCAAGATGCGGAGAGGAAATACGACAACATTGAGTTCCGGAACGCCGCTTTGGACCAATCTGCTGCAGAAAAGGGTGGGCCTCCAGTGCAGAGATCCGTGTCCCAGCGCGAACAGGCATTGCCCCCGGACGCAATGCAGGAAGAGGTGAGGCGGGCCGGGATTCCCAGTAAGGCTGCGAAGTTGATTGGTCTTGACTTGGGAGGAGTTCAACGTCGGTCGACGGCCCCGGCGGCCCAACAAGACGACTACGAGTCTGAAGACGACGGCCCTCGATACGACGATGCTGGCCAGGCACCTGTAGCCTCGGGCGGACGTGGTGACAGCCATCACCACATACCCCAGGTGCAGGCTGTCACACGTGGGAGACCTTCCGACAGGGAATACTACTCCGAGGATGACGGGCTCAGTGATGACTCTCGGGACTTGTATCCCGCCAAGAAGGCGTTCCGCCCCGGCCAAGGCATTTACCAGCCACCCGTCTATCTTGACGAGTGGAAGAAGGCAACAGTCGGTAGTCTGTCCGGGGCCATGCTGGACCTTAGCGATGGACGGCTTGCTTCGGACGATAAGGATACTCCCTGGTGGGAAGGCGGCAAGCGCAGAGGGAGTACCTCACGGCCGCGCAAGGCAGAAGCCTTTGATGGCGAGTATGATGACACACATGGTAAGTTCTGATTTGCGACGGATGTTTGGCCGAGGCTGACAGAAACCTCCAGCTCCCACACGGTTCAAGCCGCCACTGTTCCTCAAGTGCGGTCCGCTGTTGAGATACTGTGGACTCAAACATGAGAAGGTTCCCGCGCGTAATAGGAACATCGCCGTCAATGAGAGAACTATCTGGCGTGGGTCGGTCATGATCGTGACGCTGGACAGCGACTCCTCGTACGAGATCGCGCCGACCTTGAGACTGTTCGTGCAGCCCATCGAACTGCTCCCTCCTCCGCCTCTGGAGATCACGGGAGAGCAGGGACTGCCGCCAGAATACGTGGACCCGATTGCCGGAATTCCGAAGCTGGGCAGACGAGGGGAGACCCTTTACGTTCGTCCAGTGGAGCACCTCGATGAGGCCAAGGACCTGTCTAGAGATGAGACAGACAACGGCCTTTTTGAAAAGACTAGGAGCCCGCCCGATTATACCCAGCCGGACGGCTCGGCGGACTTGCCTGGCTCCTTTGCCAGCCGCCGAAAGCGCGTCGAAATTGACGGTGAAAAGGTCTCCAAGTACAAGGACGTGCGCGGTTTCCGACTGCACGCAGAGCGCGGATGCACGTTCTGGCGCTTCAACATTGAGATTGAGCTCCGTGAGAACCAGCAGCGGATCGCATACCGGATCAACAGGGGCCCCGCGATGGGCTTCTGGGTTCCTGCCCTCGGACAATCCATGAACATCATGTTCCACAGCTGCAACGGTTTCAGTGCTAGCGTCAACCCCGACGACTTCAGCGGCCCCGATCCCATGTGGCGCGACGTTCTCAACACTCACCAGTCACAGCCTTTCCATGTCATGATTGGCGGCGGTGACCAGATTTACAATGATTGCTTGATGGACCAGAGCAAGCAGTTCCGCGAATGGCTGGCGATCAGGAACCCCCTCCACAAGCACAACGCGCCTTTCACGCCAACGATGCAAGACGAGCTCGAGCGGGCCTACCTCGAGCGGTACTGCATGTGGTTTTCTCAGGGTCTCTTCGGTCTGGCTAACTCGCAGATCCCTATGGTCAACATGTGGGATGACCACGACATCTCGGACGGCTTCGGCTCGTACGCACACCACGACATGAACTCGCCGGTATTCTCTGGCCTTGGCAACGTTGCCTACAAGTACTACATGCTATTCCAGCATCAGAGTGTCCCTATGGAAACAGAGGCTTCTGAGCCCAGCTGGATTCTTGGCACCAAACCCGGACCGTACATCAGCGAGCTGAGCCGCAGTCTGTTTGTTGAGCTGGGCTCCAAGGTTTCCCTGTTGGCGGTCGACGGCAGAACAGAGCGGACGGAGCTCGACGTGGTCAGCGAGCCCTCATGGCAGAGAATCATGGACCGCTGCTACGATGAGTTGAGGAACGGGCGAACTGAGCATCTGCTGGTTCTGCTGGGTGTTCCGATCGCCTACCCCAGGTTGGTCTGGTTGGAAAACATGTGAGTTTCCTCTTCCCTGCACGATCTAGGGGATAACATGCTAACGTTCTTAGTCTCACCTCGAGAGCCATGGATCCCGTCAAGGCTCTTGGCAAGTTGGGTATGCTCGGTAACACTCTGAACCACATCGACGGTGGCGTCGAGGTGCTCGACGACCTCAACGATCACTGGACTGCCAAGAATCACAAAAAGGAGCGGACCGTTGTCCTGCAGGATATGCAGGACCTGGCGGCAGACAAGTCCGTGAGAGTCACATTCCTCAGCGGTGATGTTCACCTTGCCGCCGTCGGCCAGTTCTACGCCAACCCCAAGCTTGGTCTCCCCAAGCACAAGGACTTCAGATACATGCCCAACATCATCTCTTCGGCCATCGTCAACACGCCACCTCCCGACCTGATGGCGGATATTCTGAACAAGCGCAACAAGATTCACCACTTTGATGAGTCGACCGAGGAAGACATGATCCCGTTGTTCCAGCATGGCGTGGATGGGAAGGCGAGAAACAACAAACACTTGCTGCCGCACCGCAACTGGTGCTCCATCAGGGCGTGGACCCCGGGCACTACGCCGCCTCCCACGCCGCCGCTGTCTGCTTATGATAGGAGCCCAAGCCCGCCGGCGAGTCGTAAAGGTCTCTTGAGGCGGTTCTCTTCGAACCGTGGCCCCGCCTATCGCCCGGATGTGCAGCAAGATGCTCGAGACGAGTCCCGGTCTCGGCCTCCGATTTCCAACAGGGGCAAGGCTGGCCTGTTCCGCAGTCTTTCACGCCGCAACTCGACCGACGGAGGTCGGCCTGCTGAGCCGCCCAAGCCAAAACGCTCACTGTCGCTGACTCGCAACTTCTTCAGTCGCCGGGGCAGCAAGAAATCGCAACCTGATGACGGTGGTATCAACGGCCAGTGGGGAGACGAGGACAACGGCCGAGACGACGATAGCGTAGACGATGGGTATTACGGGTACGAAGACGAACGCGACCGCGTGCCGGGGTCTAGATCGAGGGGCATGAGTCTCCGGGGCGGTGGCCACGATGAGTACCAATCCGGTGATGACTCCTATTTCACAGCTCGCCCGGCGGCGCGAGTGAGCGGGGCTCCCAACATGGCAGTCCCCCGGAGCCATGACGAGTTCCAGCCCGGCGACGAAACCCAATTCTCCGCTCGTGCGCCGACTCGCTCTTACACCACAGGCGATGACCGTCAGGTTCCAAGGTCGCAAGATTCGCTGGCGCGGCCGAAGCCTTTCCACCGCACTCCAACAGGGTTGTCGGTCAAGCAAAAGAAGAAGGCGGACGCGTTGGAGGTGGACCTCGAGGGCGGTCTGGACATCTGCCTCAACGTCGAGGTGAACCAGAAGGATCCCGCCGGCATCACAGTCCCGTACCGACTGCTTGTGCCCCGCCTCGTTTGGGATGACGCCAAGGAGGCCGCCAATCTGCAGCCACCTGCTCCGACGGGATTTAAGCGGCTGTTCAGCATGAAGAAGAAGGACGCTGGCACCGCTGGCACCGCTGTGCCGTCTCAGGGCCGGCCGTCCGAGGAACAGTTCGAGGGGTCCGTCAGTCAGCAGTCGGCGGTACCTCCCGCGGGACGGGAGCCTGTCTACGACGCGCCGTCCAAGAACATTAGCTACGAGTCACCTGGAGGTTATGATTCAGCCCGCACGCACGACTCGGCAGGGCGGTACAACTCGCCAGCGAGATACGAGTCGCAGAGTTTGAGGCACGGCAGATGAGGAGGAGGGGGGATACACTCCACAACAGGTTGAGGACAAGAAACTTGAGTATTCTCAACAACGACAAGGGGGGGTGGCTTTGGCATTCGACACATGGCATTTTTATCCCTGGTTCGAGGCGTAGCATATGGGCGTCGTCAAGGAGTATGGTTTGCAGATGAGGACAGAAGACTTTTTTTTTTGGATTAACGGACTCCTCTTTTTCTGGGGGTGCCCGTCTCTTTCGATACCTCTAGGTCGGATGGCCTCTTACGTTAGTAATGACAGTTATGACTCCGACTAGGCGTGTCCTAATGTGTTTTTTTCAAGTAACGTATGAAGGGATGGGCGCATTTAGGGTGACGAGGACCGCACCAGCGGAGCGTTAGGTCAAGGCCGGGAGAAGGCGGGAGAGTGTCACGGCTAATCAGTCGGCAGAGTCGCTGATGGGCCGTGGCCCGTCGGAATTCGGATGCGCGTGCGTGTGTGTGCATGGTCTTGAGCCACCCCCTTCTCCCACTTGGGACGGAAGAAACGGAGCCGGGAAAAGGACGTAAACACTCCCCTCCACCCCCTCCCTCTTCTTCTTGAGTTGCTGGGGGAAAATATATGTGTAGTATTTTGGTGATTGTCAAACTTTTTCTTCTTTTCTCTGTGGTCCCTGTGACTGCGAGTTAGCTTTTTCGTCGCTTTTGGGGGGGGGGGGGGGGGGGGGATATAGACTGAAAGTGAATCAAGCAAGGGACAAACGAGTTGACCAACCTTTTCGGACAAAATCGCACATGCCGACGTGTCTCCTCCGCGCGACCCAGGCTTCCTTCGGCTCTGCTTGGTCGCGGACACATCGGCGAAGGCCATGTTCTCAATGCCCTTTTCTTCTCCCCCGTCGTCTTTCCTTTGGGGGTTTCCCACTCTGATATTGGGGTTTTCCCAAGAAGAAAAGAAAGAAAAAAAAACTCCCTGCCCCCTTCCTAGAGAAAAGCGCAAGCTCATTCGATGTTGCCTCCGTCCTTGGCGGCGGCGACGGCGTCCCTGTCGACGCTGCGGCTGCGGCTGCGGCTGCGGCCGCGGCCGCGGTTCTGGGGTCGCGCGCCGCGGTTGTTGCCGCCCTTGCTCCCCGGCGGGGGGCGCACGAAGGCGAAGTCGACGTAGACGGTCTGGTCGAGGAGCTTGGTCTCGTGGGCCGAGTCGATGGCGGCGCGGGCCTCGGCGAGGGTGGCGTACTCGATGAGAGCGTAGCCCTAGGGTTGAAAGGTGTCAGTGTTGTGCTCACCGAGTATTTCTTATCCCGAGGCTTCTTCGCATGTAGAAGCGGGGGAAAGGGGGGGGGAGAGAGGGCGCGTACCTTGACGTAACCGCTCCTCCGGTCGAGATTGAGATGCAGGTTCTTGATCTCGCCAAACTCGCCAAACATGTCGTGGATGGCCTCCTCGTCGGCCTCCTCGTGGACGTTGGTCACCATGATGATCCAGCCCTCGATGGAGCGGACGGCGGTCGCGCGGCCGTGGGTCTGCATCTCGGACTCGTTGCGGGCCGGGGCCGCCTCGCCGGCCGCGACGGAGGGGGAGGGGGGGTTGTCGACTTCCATTTCCACGTCGGCCATCTTGGCGAGCTGTGTGTGGTGCTTTTTTCTTGGGTGAGAGGATTCCTTCCGTCAAGTTGAGGCCGTTGAGGAGAGAAGAGGGGGGGTGTTTGGTGACGGAGGAGCGCGGGGTGGGAACCAATCGGTGTGACGGCGCGTTAGGTGGTCAAAGGTGACGATGGATTGTGGTGGTGGTTATGTGGGGAGACGTTTGCTATGGCGAGGCTGAGAGTACATTCATCGAGAGGCAGCGCAGAGCAGAAAAAAGTGGAGGGAGGCCGTGTGGTGGGGGGGTGCCTCGGAAGCTTGTGCACGGACTCCCTGCTGGGCGGGCAGCGAAGCTTGGTCGCCAATCGGACGAGGTCACGCGCAAAGGATGGACGAACATGGCATTGGGGGAAAAAATGCACAGTGAATATTTTCTTTTCGATTCAAACAAAGTCGAGGACATCTGAGTACTCCGTAGTGATGCCCCAAATCATATCCCTGGTATACCCGATAGCCGATGCCGGGTCCCCATGGACCGAAACTCCTCCAACTCCCTACCAGAGGCCCTTGTGGAAGAGAGACAATCTGCCGAACCTGGCACACGCCCCTCTTCCCCTGGGGGCCCTCTCCGGCAAAACTTGACGTTCCAGTACGTGACACATTTCGAGCCGAACCTAGCACCTTGGTGGTCTCAAATATCAAACTCCATCGTTTCTCATCGTGTGTATGTGTGATGAGTTCCCGTCGCCTTTAGAAACGCATGCACATCATGAGGCAGTCCATGCAGCTTGAGCAGCATTGGGCCTATGTACGGGGGTAATTTTGTTAGCAGGCGCACTTGTAGGGTTCCCTTCACATTGCCGTTGGGGTTTGTCGTACACATGACCAGCCCTGCTTTTCTGTGTTCTCGTCCTTGGGAGGCTCCGTCTTGGCCTCCATGAATTGCTTTTGTGGCTGATCCGTAGTCATTGCTGCTGCTCGTTTCTGTAAACGTGTTCGGCGAGTGGGAGAAAGAGAGAGAGAGAGAGAGAGAGATCTGCAGATGGCTCGGCTAGAATACGTGATGCTTGAAAGCTCTCTGGGGTTGAAAGGAGCGACTAGAAAGAGACTGAGAGAGAACGAATGCAGCAAGCGCGAGGAAATCCCGTGAAAAATGAGATTTCTGGATCAAAATGGGGGATGGCATCTCAATTATAACCCAAGTGACCTCGACCCCATCTCGCCGTTCCATGGTGCCCAGAGCGAGAGGGCTGTGCAAGCCATCCGCGCCAAGGATTTGTCCATCCACACAATCTTAAACCGTCGGCCAAGGATACGCGACCTTCCACAGAGGCAGGACAGCTGCGCATTCGCTCCGAATGACAAGAAGACGAGACGAAAGAGACAAGAGGCAAAAAAGGGGAGGGTCGTCTTGGTTTCGTCTTGGCTTGGAAGGGAGGTGGTGGTGCCAAGGATGAGCAATAAGATGGATGGGTTGCATGGACTCTGCCGGGATAGCAAACCAGAAGGCCGAGTCTGGTCGAATAAACTGGATTCCCCGCCCGCATGTTAATCGACGTTATTTGCCGTTCCTGCGGCGGCAAGAGAGACAATAAGTGCTGCGGCCCTGTGAAAACGCCGCGTTCTTGAAACAACCATCATCCCGGCTTAGCGCGTCGAGGTTGGCAGAGTGGTGCCACCGGCCGGTGTGGTCACGTCGCGACCTTCTTCCCAGATTTGTCACCACGCACCCGCTTGTTCTTTCCTTGCTTGTGCGAACCCCTGAACCGGCGGCGTAGGCCGCGGGTTGGCGGCACTTGCTCATGTTGTACCTCTTCCGCTTTGTGGGGGGTTGTTAATCAACGCGACGCAGACGATGGACAGATCGATGGCGGAGAAGATGAGGGGCTGAGCCTGTCGAGCTCATCGAACTGTTGTCTATCGCATGCATAGGATGACTATGGATCAGAGGCTTAGACGTCTACCAAGGTAATACGTAAGTAGGTCTTACCAGTGCACACTGCATTGCTCTAGTCCACTGTTCGAAGCCAAGGCTACTTAACAGTCTTGAAGGAGCAAGAGACGTGAAGCCAGCTCGTCCCTGAGTGCATGCTGATCTAATCATCCATGGCAAGAGAATGGCTGGCTGAAAGACCCTTCACCCTTCTGCATGGAGAAATGCCCCTACCCGCTGCTCTCCATATTAGCAGAACACACATATACCTGCTGCTTCAAGATGTCAATACGATACAACTGGTTACTAAGAACAGAAACAGAAACGTAAACGCGCCTGTGACTTTGCAGTACACAGCTCCACCCCATGTCTTCTATAAACCACCTTGTTGCTGTTTCAGGGGGGCAACACCCGTTCTTCACCATCATGGCTCAGTCCTTACCGGATGGGCTACTCACCTAATCCTAAGCACGCAGCACAGTTGCTGCAGATGCACGAACAGACGGCTTCGCAGCCTAGGCTGCGAGTATATTTGGAGAGAAACCTAGCCGTCACCTTCTTTCACGCACACTCATCTCGATTAAGGAGGTGACACTGGTGAGGTGCTGGAAACTCAGATGCAAGAGTGGCGTATTCATTAGGAAAGGTAGGTGGAGGAAAGATCCAGCCATGTGCAATTATTGCATTGAGAGGCTTCAAACAGGTGGGCTTGCCATTGCGAAGAACCGGTAAATACCTACCCAACGAGAAAGGTAAACACATGCGGGCATATCCAAGGCCTTTCTTTTGGAACTGTCATATGTCACGGTGTACGCCCAAAAATCCGACAGAGAGTACGTAGTCCAATTGGGCTAAAGCGTAAAATCACGTCCTGCTATGAAGAAACAATACGAGGACCAGGACAGGCCCACGGGAATACCAGCCTCTGCGCCGACTGTCTCGACGTGATTAACGATCCTACACTCTTTCCAAGGTCTTTCGCAAGCATTGATGAGTCAGCTGCTGTAGAAGGTCCTCATCGTTGAGAGAAGATGTCGCTTTTACATGGCTGCCTACCTAACCACAGGCAGGAGAGAGCATAGTCGGAAGAGCACGTACTCGTAGCTGTTTCTGAGCCAATCAGAAAATCTGTGGACCCGCTCTATTTTCGGATTTACCATTGGCTCCAGTCTGTGCCCCACCCGAGTGATTGGGGGCCCTCCAGAAGACCTATATAATGCCCTCTAGCCTCCTCCCTTTTCGTCTTTCTTTTCCTTCTTTTCTTCTTCATACTTACCTTCATGGGGGTGCTGGGGATCAAGAAATCCGGCATCCAGAGTGGGAGGCCTGCATTGCACATCGCGGTGTCGACCGCTCTCGATTGTCCTTCGGGACCATCGCTGTGGCAATTTTTGATTTTTACTCACTTTTCATTGTGCTCTCCGCCTTGCGCGGTGGTATGAAGAAGAGTCTCGGTGGTTACAGTCTTCGATGTCATGGCTCTGGTCGCGCTCGAAGATGGAGTTCTGTGTGCACACAAATCCCTCTAGTAAACAATGATGTAAAAGATGCGTGACGATTTGCAATGAGCCACCATATCCGCAACGTGAGATGCCAAATAAACCAACCTGGTCGTCACGATTCTTTGGGTCTCAATCATTTAGCAGCGTTCCCTTCCTGCTGCCTCCAGTATCGTCCGCCGCACAACTCCCACTGATGATTCGGACCATCCTCGACGTTAACAATGTGCGGCTTGAGCATTATAACACTGCCGACAGGTTGGCAATGCTTCCATCAAGCAGAAGGCCTCGGGCTCTTCGCCTCTGGCCCAGTAAATCCCATCCTCGAGGTTATCCTCCGAGGCGTCTGAACAGGAGACGGGATCATCGGCAGCTTGTGCCAATCGTCCCTGCCGTCTTTGGATTTTTTCCCCTCCTGCAACAAGCACCTATTTAGTTGGGGGAGGAACGAGGAAGGGGGGGACCTGTCGATCCGTGCCAAAGCTTTAGCAGACTGAAGAAATGACGGTGTGCTTCGACAGGTATGAGAGGAAGGGCTTGCCCGGAGGGAGGAAAGTGAGGCGATTGCCCGAGCCTGCTGATGTGCCTTGGGCCTTTGCAGTGCGAGGTGGCGGCCACGATGCCTAGCTGCCTGGCTGCCTGCATTTCCGGGTTCGCAGAATTCTCGTGACGGCAGGCGTCGTGTCTCGCGTCACCACGGTCTTCATGCCAGAAGCGGAATGCCTCTCTCCGCTCCATTTCGCCGTCTCGGCGAAGGCGGAGATAACAGCTCCATCTCCCCCACGCGGTGTGTCGTTGGCCAATACTCAGCGGATGTGTCGCTTGCCGACCTGGACGGAGTTGAACTCGGCTACTTGCAGAGCTGCTGAGGGGAGGCCACGTCAAGATCCGCAGACTGGGTCGTGCCTGGCCTTGCGAATACGCGCGGAAACACCGTCCATGAGACGGCTGCTGCGTTTGACCTGGTCTATGGTCTGTCTCTGGATAGGATTGGTCTTGGCTGTCCACGCTGAGGCGCATTCAACCTCGGGTGGGAAACGAGGCAGCTCTGATCAGCGTCGATGCCGCTCTCCAATCCCTTAATCTAAGCTTACCAAATCTGGCCGGATATGTTGTCGTAAAAGCTGAGTTCAGCTAGGTGCTACCGACGAATCAGGGCTCAAATTGGACACGGGTGCCTGGGGTTCTCTGCCTCGGATCCGGATCAGATGAGAGCAGCCAAGTCGCCTACATCACCAGCACAGCAGACTCGGCTCGTAGGTTGTGGCATAGGGTATTCATGATAATTGCTGTCCGCCAACGACCTGTCCTGAAAGGCCGGGTATAATACAACGAGGACCAACAACGATGAAACTGAATAAATAATAACCTTGTGACAATCTTCCGAGCGTGCTCAAACCGGAGCCTCGCTCCCATCCAACAACCTGATATCTGGGAAACCACCAAAACGCCATGCGCAAGAACAGTGACACGCACCCACCTTACGAGCTCCAAACAGCCCTGACTTTATCCCTGAATGCCCTCCCAAGTAATCTGATCTGTGATATCCCTAACACTCAATCCCGTAATGCTGAAAACAGTCATGTCGAGCTCTTCTTCCGACATCTCTTGTCCGACCTGTTTCTGGCCCTCCAAAACATCATAGAGCGCGTATATTTGGGCATTCTTGACCTCGCGCGCGTTCATGTTGGCGTCGATGTTGATCTTCAGCTGCTTGCGCTTCGACTCGGCAAGTGCCGGGTTGTGTCTGTCGTATCTGGCCTGCATCTTCGCATGCTCCATCTTCATGTGTTCCAACTCATCCTCGAGTCCCTTGATGACCTTAGCCAGGGCGTTGCCCGGAGGCTGAGAGGGCCGCATGGTGGCATCTTCGGATGAGATGCCCAGCTGCTTATACTGGTCTGAAGGAGCAACAGGCCTGGGGATCTTCACTCGCTTCTTGCCCTCTGCCATATCGGCAGCAGTGACCGTTCCTCGGTGGCCTTTGATCCGGGTGCACACGATGCAGTTCTTACAGCTGTGTCCAGCCAGACTGTCGAGCACACGACGCGCGTCCGACGACAGTGCAGGGCAGTTGCCCTTCATTTCCGTAGTCGTGTTCTCCAGTCCGCCTTGAGTGATCAAGTCGATCGTGACCGACTTGTTCTGGGAAGGCTTGATAGCAGACCTTGATGGCGTTCTCTGACTTTGGCTGGTCAAGTTGCGAGTGGTGTTGGTCGACTCTTGTCGGGTAGTGCGAGACTCCTTTTTGCTTCTCGTCATGTCGATTACTATAGAATGCGTCTGGGTGTTCTCCAGCGACTGCATAGTGGCGTCGTCCTCAGTCTGGAATGGATCGAGATCAGGGACAACGTCGCCCTTGAGTGAAGTCTTGGAGGTTGTGTGAGCAGAGACGCTTCTCTTGCTGCCCTTGTTGGCGACGTTGGAGGTTTTAGTGCTCTTCGACATGGTAGCCGCTGCTGAGCGCTCGGGCAGAGAGAATGACACCTTCTGCTGGCCAGTGGACTCTTGAGGACGCGAAGCGGAGGCTCGTCTCTTGGAAGGAGGCTCGGGTGCCACAGAGCTCAGCTGGCTCTGGAAGGTGTTGTCAACCTCGTTAATACTGAGGTCCGTCTGCTCCGTTGTGTCCTGCATGTCGATTGCTTTCCTGCCTGGCGTTGCGGGCTTCCGGATTTTCTTTCCCTCAACAGTGCCGTCGACGACAGCCGAGTTCTGAGTACTATCAATGGTAATGTCCGGAACGAAGAATGCCGAGGTCATGTTCTCTTCTGTTTCGTCATCATCGCCCACCTGCTTGTCGAGGCGCACCGAGAAGTCTTCGGTCTTTCCGAGAGGGCGGCAATGGTCGAGCTGCTGCTTGAGGAATTCGATTTCCTCCTTGAGGTGCATGTTCTCATCGTGAAGGTCGTGGATGCTGCGCTCAAACCCAGAGTTCTCGCGACGGAGGATCTTGTTCTCGTTGAAGTACTTTTCGTTGTGCCGAACGAGGCTTTCGTTGTCCTCCTTGAGCGTGGACTTTTCTTGCTCCACGGTGTGAAGTTCAACCTGCAGTGCCTCAACTTCGTCGCGGGCAGCCTCGATGTCCTCCTTGGCGTTGGCGGCAGTCTGACGGAGCTCTTCGTTCTCGGACATGAGCGAACGCGCGTTGGCACGCAAAGACCTGTTCTCGCTGATGAGCGACTCCTGCTCGCGACGCAAAGAGTTGTTGTCGGCTCGCAGAGAGTCCAATTCCTGCTGCAGAGTTTCTTGTTCCCGGCGAAGGGCGTGGTTGTCTGCCTGGACCGACTTGTTTTCGGTGTGCCGAACAGAGTTGGTTTGCTTTTCGTGACGGACCACCTCCCGCTGGTTGGTGATCTCCAAGGTGGCGTTCAGTTTCTCCTGGGTCTCGTGAAGCTCCTTCCCCTGGGCATCAAGTTTATCCATGAGATCGCCAATCTCGACACAGGCATCTTGCAGCTTCTTCAGAGCCCGGTCTCGCTCGAGAGAAACCGTGTTGTTCTCGTATTCGGTAGAATCGATCCGGGTGGTGGCATGATCCAGCCGGGACTGCAGTGATGCAATGTGCGACTCCAATTCTGTCATCTGTTAGCTTGGTCCTGAACTAGCGAGAAGAATGACTCACTCAGCTTCTCTGTCTGGAAGCGCTCCTCGTGGGCTGTTTCGGGCTCCGAGGCAGTTCGAGAACCAATAGCACTGTCGATCGACTTACGGCCCTTGAGCCGTTTGAGTTCCTTTTGGAGGTGTTCCACTTGACTCTCGAGTTCGACAGCGTGCTGCTGCACCAAGTCGTCGTGCTCCTGAAGGTTGAGTATTTCATCCCGGATCATATCCATAGACACAAATATCCTCTCTTCATCCTCGGGAACTGCTAGGCCGTCGACCTCGGCGTGGTCGTTCGGAGGCATTGTATCGATGCGGTCACGCACCTGTCCATTCTTCACGAATACGGGGACGCCGTTCTTGACCGCACCTTGGAAGCGCAGGTTGCCAGAAATGAAGTCGTTGAGGTGAGAGATGTCGGGCATGAAGAAAGAGCGGGAGGTGACGCCATTCTGAGCCGGACTGTCGGTTGTTGCTGGCGACGGGAACGTGCTCCTAATCGTATTAAAGGTAACTGGGGTAGGGTTGTTCGATGGCGCGGTCTCGGCTGGTGCTGGCTTTGGAGTAGCGTGGGTTGGGGGAGCCAGGAAATCTGACTTCCGACGGTCGTTCTTTGCGGCTTGAGAAGATCGTCGTGCCGACTTGTAGTTGCCAGAGGTTGAGCGGGCATGTCCTCTAGACAGGGGGCTTCGACCGACCTGTTGTTGAGGATTGAACTTGAAGCTGTCGGCGTTGATATCGAACCGGAAGGGTGACTTGGACGTGTTGGCCGACATGTCAGACTCGTTGTCCTCTACGCGAGGCTGCATTTCAGCACGTGTCCGCTTAGAACCCTGCCAGGTCATTTCCGTCGAGTCGTCCACCATATTAGACAGGTACTTCTGGACGATGGCCTTGTGGGAGACGGCGTCCTTGTGACGCAAAGAGCCCGATTGCCTAGGGGCGGGCTTGTTCTGCTTCGCTTCGGCGGCGGCCTTCGGCTTGCCATAGAATTCGGGCCACTTGCGGTGGGCAGCCTCCAAGTCGACTTGGACCTTTCCACCCGTGGAACCGACAATACGAGCGATGTCTTCGTTCAGTCTGCGCGTCGACTCGCCGTCTGGTTCTGAGAAGACGGAAGACATTGTCGGGCTTACGGTGCCGTGGGAGCCGGTGGAAGATGGTGGGGAGTTGAAAGGATTGTCGCGATTTGCGTTCATTTCTCGAAGAATGCGAGAGCGATAGCGATTGTGTGCTGAGTCGGCCTCCATGACTGCCGTAGGACGCGTCGGGCGCGGTTTCCAAGGCGGGAGTCGAAAAGGAATGCAAATTCACAATGGTGCCGCAACAGCTGGCGGCGACGCGTCGGATGAGTAGAGTTTGGGGACAATTAAACTGTAATTCTGAAGAGAAGCGATACCGAGCAGAGAGAAAGCTGCTCAAGGCATGGAAGCACACACAATGGCTTGACGGAGGTCAAGGGCTGTGGTGCAAGATTGAGCAGTCGCGGGCAAGAAGATATGGAGAGGGAAGAATGCGTGCGTGCAATGTGAATAAGCAGGGATCGGTTTGTTTACTTTCAGAGGTGCAGGCGTAAACAACTGGCTATTGGCTGTGGACGCCCGTGCGTCGTAGTGGGGAAGCCCTGTTCCCCGTGGTCAGGCTCAGCGCCCTTGCTCTGCCCCTCCCGGCGAATCATCACTAATGATTAGGCCTCTGCAGACAGGAAACGCGTGCTGGTTGGCTCTGCACGAGACAAAGAAAAACGCGCTCTTTTGACCGAACAAGACGAGACTTGGAAATCAGCATAAGGCGCGGGGCGTGTTTTCTTCGGGTTCCTCAGCCTCGGGCTTGGTTGTCTTCCGGCTAATCTCTAGGTCATTTTGGAGAGATTGTCTTGTCTCTGGCCCATCTGACCTTGGTTCAGGACCCTTACGTCAGCTGTGCTCGGCCAGTGTCGGTGAGAGCGCCCTCGAATTCAGCCGGGGAAAGACTCACCGACCGGATTCACCTCCGAGATCCAAAGCCGTATTATATTAGTTCCCGCTCACTGGATCGCGCTGATCAAGACACACAAAGCTCGGGGACGGGATCACCCCTTCTCACCTCCCACACCAAATTCGCATACACTAGTAAGCGGTAATGAGACATGCCAGTCAACGTGGTCGAGCACCGCTAGACGCAAGCTCACGAGGTCGACTCGGCACGTTTCACCCTAGGAACGAATGCATTCCACGACTCGCCAACGAACCTTCGGGAACCTATGTACCGGCACTCTTCAACGGCCTCGGCTACCGTTCCGACCTCACAGTACCATCCCAAGACCCGAGACATGCCCGCCTGTGCCTTTGTCAATTGGTTGCCGGCGGCGTCGACGTGTAGCAATATTCGGAGCAGCGTTGCCCTTGGCCAAGTCCGCGGGCACATAAATGCGAGTCACCAGGTCCGCCAAGTCCTGGCCAGTTACCGGCAGGTTACCGGCAGGTGACCACGCCATCTGCAGCCAGTGGCATCGTGAGCGTCCTTAAACCGCCAAGTGTCGATGAACCAGTTCGTGGACAATGGGCCTGGCAGGGTTGTATCGCCTCGGAAAAGGATGCTCGCGTGCCTTTTGCATGCGGTGGTCAGAGGCTTCTTCAGGTACCTACCTACATGATGATTTATGTCGTCCATCGTTGGACTGCAACGGCGATTCGCTCTTCAGTGACAGACTCACATAGCGCAGGGACCTGACTCTAAGTATGCCCCGCATGAACATAAACATGACTGGATCTCTAGTGGCCGCCACCTTCCCAAGGAGGCGACACTGCCCACTATTGTGAGTCTATGACCTCTCGGCGCACCATTCTGTGACCATAGGAGGGGCATTTGCCTCGTGCAGGTGGATCTCGCCCTGGGAGGTGGGCTTGGCCCGTCCATCGGCCATCCATCGCCAAAAGAGCCCTGCGGCACTGTCCGCGCACTCTGCCGCTTCTCGGTTGTCTTCCGACGCCTCCCACCCCCCCGACTTTCTCTTTCCACCTTCGCACCGTCGCAGCCCATCGCCGTTTGCCAACCCCCATTTCCTTCACCCTGCTTGCCCGTTATATTCCCCGCGTTTGCCGATCCTCGCTTAGCCCAACTGCGAGATCCTTCTCAACTGAACATGGCAGAGCGCTGCTGCACCTGAGCGGCCTTCTCGAAAGCTCGTGGCTTAGATTCACTCAACTGAGATCCCTGTGTGGCACTCGCGCTGCTATCATGGCTCGGACATGTTTGCTTCTACAAGAGGCATGCTTCTTGGTTCTTGCTCTGGCTACTTGTGCGACAGCCCTTGTCGCGACGACTCCCCCGCCTGCGCCCAAGAGCTTCTGCCCCATCTTCTATCCCGAAGCCCAGCCGCCGACCGATTGCGAACCGAAGCAGCCCGCGACCTTTCTTGCAGCCCCGAAAGCTGCGAGGAACCCTTCCACTGATACACCCGAGGCGAAAGATGAACCTCTCGAAGCTGCTTTTGAGGCCTTGACGGTCATGCAGCATGACTTCTTTGCATCGGACCAAGGAACGTGGCCAGAAGCCATTGACTGGACGGCCGCCGTTATGGAGACAATGCTCTCTGGCACCTTGACCTCCCTTTCGCAAGCCCTGGCTGTGCTTGATATCGGGAGTAACAGTGGCAAGGGGGCGAAGAGCAATCTGATCGACACGTTCTTCACCCAACTTGTGGCCTCTTACTTTGGTCAAGACGACGTCGCAATCCGTCACGAGGTACGTGGCCTCTGTTTTGCATTGCAAACAGCACGCGGCCCATTCTAACGAACGAGCAGGCATTCGATGACATTCTGTGGGTTGTCCTCGGCTGGATCGATGCCATCAAGTTCATCAACATACACTCTCAACTATTCTACCCTCGAGAGGGCGTTAATGAAAACGCAACCCCAGGCCTCGGAGACGCATTGGCCAACGGCCCTTGGCATGGCCAATACTGGATTCCCGCGTTTGCTCACCGCGCACGAATCTTTTGGGATCTCGGATCCAAGGGGTGGGACACGCTGCTCTGTGGTGGCGGCATGAATTGGAACCCGAGATTGGAACCATACAAGAACGCCATCACCAATGAACTTTACATCGCGGCCTCCATCTCGATGTATCATTGGTTTCCAGGCGACAACAACACCACGCCCTGGACCAACAGTCAAAGTGGCGTGAAAGCTACTCGCGAACCCAAGTACCTTGCCGCTGCCATTGAGGGTTACAAGTGGATCACCGGGGTCAACCTCACCAATGATGCAGGCCTCTATGTTGACGGCTACCACATAGACAAGTCCAAGCAGGACAACACCGAGTGCGATGTGCGCAGTGAAGCCGTCTTTACCTACAATCAGGGCGTGCTTCTTACTGGTCAGCGTGGTCTCTTCACCGCAACAGGCAGCGCATCGTATTTAGAAGACGGACACAAACTAATCCAGGCAGTCATCAATGCTTCGGGCTGGGACTTGGAGCTCGATCGGCCAATCGACAACCTATCAGACCTCCCCCCAGGTTACTTGCCGCCATGGCGAGGACTGGGCCGTGGGGGCATCTTGGAAGATTCTTGCGACGCTAGCGCGACATGCTCGCAGGATGGACAGACTTTCAAGGGCATTTTCTTTCATCACTTTGTAACATTCTGCCAGCCAATCGAGCCGGCAATTGTTGAGCCAGGCATGACTGTCGACGCCCAAGCATATGATCAGATCAAGACGGCTCACGCATCGGCCTGCCAGGCCTACCTAGGCTGGGTACAGCATAACGCCAAATCAGCTTTGCGGACCAGAGACCGCGAAGGCCGGTTTGGCGCATGGTGGGGAGCGGGCATATTCCAGGGTGTCTTGCCGACGATGGAAACGGACGGCGTTCCCCACAACGCGCCGAACTTGACCGACTACCGCAACTACGGCCTTCCGCACGATGGCTTATGGGCCAACGGCGACCCGGACAAGGTGTGGGCCCCGAACGGCGAAGCACGCAAGAACCAAACAAGGGGTGTCGTGGTGGTTAGTGATGAGGAGCAGTCCGGACAGCAGGTCCTTGTTAGCTTAAGTAGACAGGAACAGCGCGAAGAGGACGGCGGCGTACGTAAAGCCGGGTTCGAACGACAAGCGGCGCCGCCGACGAGAGGCGATCCGAACGACCGCGGCAGGGGAAGGACCCCGGAGACGCAGAACGGCGGCATGGCCTTGATGCGGGCTTGGTGGGAGCTCGTAGCGGCCTCGGACGAAACGTGCACGAGACAGAATCGACATGCGAGACGAGGATGAAGACACGATACACGTCCGTTTGTGTAGTTGCTTCCATATGATCATGAGTACAGACGGGTTCCCCACGTAAATACCTTACGCACGCATAACATAGCCGCCGGCCGGTCACGACGGCCTCTCCCTTGCACATCCAAGCATTGTTTTTCCATCCTTCGCGCTACCCCAAGTGTGTTATCTGATCACGCGTACTGCCCAATTGGTCGGGATTGCCGACTTTGGTAAAGCACACATTAGCCCACGTTTTTGCCCTAAAGATGTCTTGCCTGCCTGCGATGCTACATAGTACACAATCAGAGGAACACGCCGTTCCAAGCAAATGCTGACTGCTGATTGGGACACTAGCCGAGTGCGAAAGAGTTGCGAAAAGAACTGACTTGCTGCGCACATGAGTAGCTGCTCAGCCCCCCTGCTGCGGTCCTGGTCGCTGGGGCGGGCAGGATTGTAGCGACCCGATTCGAGGTGACCCGCCGACCTTTGGCTTGATCCGGCATGACGGTGCCGGGCGCCCCACTTGGTCTGCCGTGGCTTGGCAAAGCTCTGCGGCGCGCGCCGCGCACCTTCGAATGGGCTTCCCGATCCGGGGGGGAAAGGGCTTACGCCGGCGTTGGAAGGATGGAAGCGGAGTCTGTGTGATGACGGAGAGGGAGCAAACGAGGAGGGCGGGCGCGCGAGCGAGCAAGCGAGCGAAGGATCAGATGGATATAAAGCACGGCGTGTGTCCTACCTCATGGCTTGTGGGATTTTAATTAGATTTCAGACGACATCGAGAACCTTAGACCACCGAGAGAAGACGCTGAAAGATCAACTATTATCAAAGCTTGAGACAAAAGAAAATACATTCCTTCTTGCTGTTCAACCCGCCGAATCATAGCAGCCCCAGCTTACAGATATCGCTGTCCAACCCCGACATTCAACACAACCCAATTACCCACCACTCGCCTTCGCACATCCGTCAACCAATGGGCCTCATCACCGGTCTCGTCTCGACGGTGGTCCACGTTGCCGCCGGCCGGAACCCCTACGGCCACAACCACAACCACAACCACGACCAGGCCACGGCGCCAGCCCACCGCGAAGGCCACGCCGGCTGCAGCGCCGGGCCCGGCGGCCAGCCGTGCGGCATCTGCGCCGTTGCGCCGCCCTTGGGCATGGGGCGGCAGGCGAAGCTCGAGAGGCGGGCGATGAAGCACGAGCGCAAGGCCGTCAGGCACGCCATCAAGGCGCAGCGGTCTTACGGAGCCCATGGCAGGAGTTTCGGCGCCGTCGGCCACGCGGCCGCCGGGCCGTTCTACCAGCCGCAACAACAGCAGCAGTATCAGCAGCAGCAGCAGTATCAGCGGGACATGGCCCACAGCGGGAGACAGGAGGAGGGCGTCGAGGAATGGCATGAGCGCCGAAGGGCTTCCACGGGGGGGGATGTGCCGCCGCCCGCGTACGAGGAAGGGGAGAGCTCCGCGGCTGGCGCACGGCGGAGGAGTGTTGAGGTTTTGGGAGAGAGCGAGAAGCACCAGGGGAAGGGCTTGAGAAGCTGATGTTAATGCTGAACGGTTTGCCATGATGTTACTATAGCGAGCAAGGTGTTAGATAGACGGGTCTGGATGCCAATTTTTTCTCTTCTTGGTTCATTTCACCTTTATATTTTCCCTGGTCTTGTCTAATCCACAGATGCCCAGATGCTGTCGTGATTCTGATGTACAATAGGGGGTGTCCTCTTTATTCACCCTTACTGGCCAACCCCTCCAACTTTTCGATGCCGATCGGAGACCCGCTATTCCGTCTTCATAACCCGATGAACGTCCCTCCAGGTCCTCCCAACACATGCGGCCAAGACCGTACTCGTCTCTCCTTTAAAACGCGTGAATAGTCGCGAGGACATCGTTTACCGCTGGCCGGTGAGACGGCGGCTCTGGACCTCGCTGAGGGCCTTGGTGCCGTTCAGGAAGATGGAGGTCGCGACGATGGCGATAGCGGGCAGGGTCTGGAAGAGGTTCCAGCTGGTGTAGTACAGGAAGAAGACGCCCTCCATGGCAACGATGGAGCCGAAGAAGCCGACGTGAGCCAGGGGCGCCGCGGAGAGAGCCTTCTGGAGGTGGTTGAAGTTGGCGCCGAGGTTGAGCCACTGCGGAGAGGAGTCAGCTATTTATTCCATTCTACGAGATTTGTCTTCTAGACATGTATTTGCAGGGACACTCACGCCAACAAGGAGCACGGGGATCGTGGCAAGGACGGCAATGACGAAGGCCAACGAGATGATCTTGGGCGGGCTCTTGTCACCCTCCCTGAAGATGTGGTGGATCTCGGGCTGCTTGCCGTAGCGGACGGGCGGCTCGTAGACCGGGGGAGCGGCGATGGCGTCACGCTTGACGGCGACTTCGAAGAGAGTCGTCTCGACGGCCTTGGACGAGCCGAAAGAGCCGATGACGATGCTGGCCTTGAGGGGCTCGGTGGCCAGGAGGAACTGGATCGGAAGGTCCTTCTGGGACTGTTGTGACCGAGTTAGCTACGCTGCCATTGTCGCTTCGGGAACAACCTGAGCTAGTGACGTACAATATCGACGACACCTTTGCCGGTTTCCTTGATCTCAAGAGGGAAGGGGGCCTCGAGGCCGGTCGTGGGCTCCTTGAGGACCAGGAAAGCCTGGTGCGGGCGCTTGGCCTGGTCACCCTCCTTCGCCGTCAGGATGAGCTTGAGGCTGTCCTTGGTCTCCAGGGAGAGGGCTTTCTTAAGGGGAGCGGTCGGGCTCAGTCTGTCAATCACGTTCTGTCAGCAATTGGATCCCCCGGCTGTGTGTCTTGCGAGATTTCCCACATCCCCGGATTACGACAAAGGCCCCAGGAAGATGCGTAGGCGGGCCGACTCACTTCTCCTTGGTGGCATCCTTGCCCTTTCCAGAAATCGAAACGGTGGCACTATCGAATCCCCATGATGAGGCAGCCTGCGCGGCACCGGCCGCAAACAGCGCGAGGGCGGGCGTCAAGGAGTGGAGGAATCGCATGGTTGCTGAGGTTCTTGTCTTTGGCAGCTTTCGGTAGCTGGGCTGGAGCTTCACGACTACAGTGTTCACTTAGGGACAGCTTTCGTGTCCATTACGAAGTGCCGGTGGGGCACGGGCCAGGTGCAGCGGGACCAGGGACTGTGCATTTGGGGAGATGCACGGTCGTTCGTACAGTACGGATCGAATCATCACCACGGAAGCTGCATCAACGGGCATGTCGTTTCTCGGTAGGTTGTAATAATCTAAGAGTCTAATGGCAAGACGAAGTTTCGGCCCTTCACTTGTAAAGTTCTATGCTTCGGAACTACAACGCCTTCTATTTTTGTCCAAATGCGCCAAGTTGAATAATCAGAGTTCGTCCCGGGAATCGCTCGGCCCAGCAGCGGCCTCGCTCTCTGCTCCCTTGGGTAGGTACTCGTCCAGCTCCAGCCACTCAGCAGCAAAAACAGTCAAGATGCGCGCCCAGTCCCGTACCGTCGGCAGATCCAGGTGTTCTCCATCGTCCTCAATCTTGTGCCACACATCGGGAAACGGTGTCGGGATGATGTGCAGAATCTCGACTCCGCGCTCCATGAAGGGCACGTGGTCGTCCAGGACATAGCCGCCGCTGAAGCCCACACTTTTCTTTTGCCTGTCCGTCAGGAAGGGATGCTTTGGCCTGGTTTCCAGAATGCCGAGTGCGCGCATACGATGCTCGATCTTGGCCATCTTCTTGTATGCCCAGTGAGTCGTTGGGAAGTAAGACGGAATCCGTGGGTTAGGTGCGCCGAGGAGATCAATGAGAAGAAAGAGGCTGATGGACGAGAGTGGTGACTTGTACAGCGAGTCCGGGTGGACCGTATCCTCCCAGCTGCGTGCCAGAGCCCTAACGTTGTTAGCTGGATGCACCTTTCCTCTCCAAAGGCCGCCGACGTACCTAGCTCCGTACAGAGAGTCCGTCTCGGTCCACGATACCCACGCTTCTTCGCCATCGAGCAAGATGATCTGGACGCCCTTGTCCTCCTCGAGCCCGCTACCGGCGTCGCCTGATGCCTCCATGGCCTTCCACTTCTTCACCAATGCCTCTTCGATGCTCCGCGCCGCGTGCAGCAGCATCGCGCAGGGCGCTGCACTATCAATCGCGCCAATGAACCCTTCCGGGTGGTACAGACTGTCATAGTGCGCAACGAGCGTCAGGTACTCGACATCTCCTCCCTTGGCCCACGGCGGGTCGCGGCGGAAGATGAGGTTGGTGAAAGGTATGTCCTTGTCGCCGGTCGCGGGCGTCTTGGAGGTCGAGTTGTGCCACTCAATAATCCACTCGGGCAGGTTGGCGCGGAAGAAGTCGACGAAGTGCTGCTGCACCTTGGCGGAGCCCGGGGTGCCGGGGACGCGGGGGATCAAGATGGGCGCCAGCAGCGAGCCTGTTTTGATGTCGAAGCCATCGCCGCCCGAGGGAATGGCTCGCAGTGCCTCGTCGCCAAGCTCGGTGTAGGCGTTGGCCGTGGCGAAGAGCGAGCAGAGGACGATGAGGACCGACCCCACGAGGGGTAGCTTCGGCAGGCAAGTCAGCAGACCCATTTACAGCGACCAGATCGGACGCAGCAGGTTCATGCTGCTCAGGTCCAAAGTTGTTATGGGTGGGCTGGCTGTGGCGCTCGGCGGCTTCTTTTGCGCGGAAAACGTCAAGTTGTGGCAGCCATGTTGACAGAAGGAAAATGGGTTAAGTCGATGATCTGGAGAATGATGCGACTCAGGTCCAAGACGCCCCGCCGGGTGGTCGGGGCAAGGGGTGATCGAGGCATGGAGTAATCGAGGAGGGAAATACGCCGATTGTGGCTCCACTCACGGAGAGAGATCTATCGTTCCACGCCCTAGAGCGCCATGGCCATTCTGGGCTTGTCGGCTTTGGACCCCGAACGACGACTCACCGATTTGACACTAGATCTTATCACCCAGCATCCCTTATTTGGGGAGGTGTATTTTCAAGTAGAACATACGTGGCCATCGTGCCGAACACGGCTTGACTGGTGGCGTCCAATCAACGGACAACATATCTTGCTCCGAACTTGGCATTCTATCCCCAACGGCTGAACCACATCGCCTATCCCCGATGTGCGGTCCAACTCCTGGTGGTTCATCGGCGTTAGCATTCAACCTCTTCACCACCAAGGCTGAAAGCGTCTTGCGATGATCGGCAACATCCTATGGCTCACTCAGTCTGGGACAGCATTAATTCCTGCGGCATGGACTTTAGATCTACAATTCCGAGTCGCGGAACAGAGTGCTATCGCCGTGTGCCTTGGCCGTTGCACATGTTGAAAGGATCTGGCATGCAGAGGCAGACAAAATCCTGCCTGAAGCGCCAGCATCCGAGTATTCAATGCCTCTGATAGATGCGCTATATAATGCGAGCTCTTCATCTTCATTGAGGGGTAGAATTTCATTATCTTCGTCACCATAGCAATCCATTCATCCTGGTATTGAGACATCCAACCATCTCCAAACTCCATATCCTATCAAATCAACTGACTTAAAACTCCAACTCCACTTCACCCAATACATAATGGAATCTCCTGTGTGGTTCATCACCGGTGCCTCCTCTGGTTTCGGCCTTGCCATTGCCAAAGATGCCCTCGCCCGCGGCCACCGGGTCGTCGCCACAGCTCGCAACCCATCCAAGCTCTCCGAGCTCGCCTCTGCCGGCGCCGACATCCTGCCCCTCGACGTCACCGCCGACGAGGCCACAATCACGGAGACGGTGAACAAGGCATTTGCCCTCCACGGCAAGATCACCCACATCGTCAACTCGGCCGGCTACATCCTCGACGGCACCATCGAGGAGGCCAACGCGCAGGAGGTCTTTGACAACTACAACACCAACGTCTTCGGCACCCTCAAGGTCTGCCGTGCCGCGGCCCCGCACCTCCGCGCCCAGGGCTTCGGCGTCGTCGTCAACATGGGCAGCGTCGGCAGCTGGGCCGGCGGCGCGGCCGTTTCGATCTACTGCTCCACCAAGGCCGCCGTCAGCATCATTACCGAGGGCTTTGCCGACGAGATGAAGCCGTTTGGCGTCGACGTCTGCATCCTCGAGCCGGGCTACTTCCGCACCGGGTTCCTCAACGCCGGAGCACGTACTACGGCCGAGCATGTCGTCGATGCGTACAGCGTCGGCGCGGCGGGCGAGTACAAGAAGCTGCTCGAGATAGCCAACAACAACCAGCCTGGTGACCCGATCAAGGGGGCCCGCGTGGTGGTGGATGTGATGACCAAGTCCGGTGCTGCCGAGGGCCGCGAGATCCCCGGAAGATTGCTCTTGGGCACCGACTGTCTCGCCGACGTTCGCGCAAAGTGCAAAGACACGTTGGCTTTGTTGGATGAGTGGGAGTCTATCTCTGGTTCTACCAACTTCTAGTCATAGTTTCTTTGTGTTTGGCCCTCTAACTTTTACACTTACACCTGATGCCTCCGTTTCCGAACGAAATACGGGCCGCATTTCATCTAACATAAGCCAAGAATATTTAGGCTACAACTATAATATACGCTTGATTCAGAAATGATTATGTACTTGGCGCCCTCACTTTCTGTGTCTCAATAGGGCAATCTGACTGGGTGGTGCGTTCTTATGATCCGTGTTGTCTCCCGTTTTGCTCAGAGCTTCTCCAAGCCTCTTGCTGAGGTCCTCGTCCACATTGGCCCATGACTCTGTCGCAAGGTGTTTGGAGTTAGAACTGCCCGGCCATTCCAACATTAACGTCATGTTTGGGGCTAACTTACTGATCGCCTCTTTCTGGACTTCTGGCAGCGCCTTGCTGGTGTGCATGGAAAGGTTGTGGATCAACACCTTGTCCTCGCCCTGCTCCTTGAACAGCTTCCAGAGCATCCGCGGCTGCCCCCAGTCCTCCTCGGTGACGTCGAAGGTGTAATCTTGGACTCTGCCGATCCACTCCCCGTGCGCAACATCTGCTGGACCGCTCTTGATCTTGCGGAACGAGGACCGAACTGGCATGCATGTCAGCCTGGATTATAGTTGCAGATGGAGAGTTGCGAAGCGATAGCCTGCCATACATAATCAGGGTCGGGCCCGTAGTTGCCGTCTACGCGCATCGGGCCGTCTCTCCGGCACGGGGAATAGACGTTGAGCGCCCGGTTGCACGGCAGCTGTTGATAGTTCGGCCCAACGCGGTACCTGGCGGCGTCGGGGTAGCTGAACATGCGAGCATGTAGCATGATGTCCGCCGACGGGGCAATGCCGAGGATCAACGTCGAAGGCGAAAAGGCAGCTTGTTCAATGTCCTGGAAGTGGTTGTCCGGGTCCTTGTTGAAGGTAAGCCTGCCGACGGGGATCAGGGGGTTAGTCCTTGTGAGACCAGACCCTGGTGATGTCGAAGATGTTCCATCTGTAGTTCTCGGCGTCCTTGAGCGCGAAGCCTCGGATGTCGCGGACGGTGTCCGCCGAGCCCCTCTCCCCCGCGACCGTGGAGATACGGGCGAGGACCTCCGTCTTCTTGCCGACCTCCTTAAACAAGGCGGCAGAACACCACTGGGTGATGTCGTGCGTGCACTCAAACTCACCCCAGGCACCAGCCGCTTTTGCGTGAACGACTCTTCTCGTAAGTCAGCCCCCAAAAAAAAGTCTTCTTCCCTCACGGATGGGGGCTGCTCGTACCGCTCCGGGATTCTCTCCCTCGGGAAATGCGCCAAGGTCTCGACGAGCTGGGTGCCCTGCAGCAGCCCAAGCCCGCCGCCGCGGACACTTGGCCCGCGAAGAATGACCGAGGATGCCGGGTCTTGCACGGGCCGGTCCTCTGCGAGCGTGTAAACGGGGGGTTCCGTTGACCGAGTGAGGGTGTCAGGGATATGTCGGTAGCAGAATACGAACTGGGGACGACTTACAGTTGACATAGTCGACAATTCGGATTATTTCGATTTGGCACGAATAAAAAACTCGCCAGGATTACCGTCTGTTTTATATACAACCAGGCGAATGCTTGAATTTCTGGATCTCTGAAATCTAAAACTCACGATGAGGTCATTGATGCCGACCAGACCTTCGCATGGTTGAGGGCCCACACTCCAGACCATCGGCTGCGTAGTTGTTCATCATCATTCAGGCTTTTGCCAGTCGCGTTGCGTGACGGATTTTTGACGTATGGCACAGTCGTTCTGCATCTTTCACATCTCTCGATGTTATGAGACTAGGGCAGGCTATTACTCATATGCTTGTATTGACTTATGCAAATAGTTGGCCGTGCGAGGCCTCTAATTATATGTATCCCAACCCTAATAAAGTCCTTCCATGGTGCTGTTAAACATACAAAAAATTATTTCTAAACCGTTGTGAGTAGTGAAGAGGAGCGGTTTCGAAGCAGTCCTTCCTTACACTGCCGAAACCCGGGTTCAAGCTGGGGCTTCTCCCTTGCGAAGCCTTCAAGCCTTCTTCTTGCCCTTGGGCATGCGGACCAACCAATAGAGGGCCAAGGCGGCGAAGATGTTAAAGAAAATATACACCATACCGATGCCAAAGTCGCGCCATCTGTGCTCAAAGTGGGAGCTGATGGAAGTGAGGAAAGTGTTGGTGCTGTCGATGGGGCAGAAGCTGCAATCAGCCTGTGCGGTGGGGTTCTGGAGGTATCCTCCCGAGGCCTTGATGTAGCCGCTCATATAACTGGCGCACGTCTCGTTGTTCGGCGGGTTGAAGTGGATGTACTCATTCGCGGCGCATGTCACGCTCGAGTTTGCCAGACCTGTCGATAAGATCGACGACAGCAGGTACGTGAACGGTGACACCCTGTACATGAAGATCCAGAAGCCGGGCATAGACTCGGGGCTGGCCAAGACACCGCAGAACAGCAGACACATCATGAACATGAGATTGGCGAGGTTGCCGCCCATCTCCGCTGTGTCGGTGATGGCAATGCAGGCGTGGGCAAAGGTGCAGGTGAAGATCATGAACTGCCAGAACAGAAGCCACATCAACCCAGCGCGCTCGCTCCTCTGGCTCGGGTCGCCGTTCTCGTACAGGCCGACGGGGTAGTAGACGCAGAGGAACATGAAAACCGACATGAGGGAGTTCCAGGGGATCTCGGTGACGATTTGCGACAGCATGAACACCTTCCAACTGTACGTCTTGGAGGGGCGTTCGCGGACCTCGTAGAGGGAGCGTTGTGTGACGAAGTGCGGCAGCTGCTGTTGCACGAGCTGGCCAAAGATGCTGAGAATGTTGAATATGGCGAACATCTGGTTCTGCAAGCCTTGGATGCTGAGCGGAGCGTTGAGGAAGACGAGGCCGATGAAGAGGGAAATGGAACAGCAGAGGATGAACTTCGAGTAGAGGTACGAGGGCGTGCGCCAGTATTGCTGGAAGACTCGGCGGGTGACGATGACGAACTGGTCCCGCAGAGGAGCGGCAAACTCGCGATGGGACAGCATCTCGTCTTCACCCGAGCGCTGCTCGCCGTTGGCGCCCTGAGCCTTGAGTCGTGCGAGCTCGTCCTGAACGGCCTGGTACTCGGGGCTCGACTTCCACGCCTGATGCCAGTCAACCTCGGTGGACGAACCGGGGGCCGCGCCAATCGCAGAGAGCATCCACTCGGCCGGGTTCTCGCCAGGAGGGCATTTGGGCGCACCGTTCCGTTCGAAGTAGGACGTGAGGACGTCGGAGTTTTCGCCGATGTCTCCAAAGTACACGGTCCGACCGCCCTTGGCCAGGAACAGCAGGCGGTCGAAACGTTGAAACAGCATGGCGGACGGCTGGTGAATGGTGCACAAGATAGACTGGCCGGCCTTGGAGAGCTTCTCGAGGAGGTCGAGGATGGCCCAAGACGTTTGAGAGTCCAAGCCGGAGGTAGGCTCGTCGACGAAAAGCAGCAAGGGCGGCTTGGCGGCCAGCTCGACGCCAATGGTGAGGCGCTTCCGCTGCTCGACGTTGAGGCCCTCGCCGAGCACGCCCACCACGGCGTCGGCGTAGTCTTGCATGTCCAAGAGCTTGATGACTTCGTCCACATATGCGAGCTTCTCCGCCTTGGGCGTGCTAGCAGGCTGTCGCAGCAGAGCACTGAACTCCAGCGCCTCGCGGACGGTACTCGTCTCGAGATGGAGGTCCTGCTGCTGAACATAGCCGGTCTTGCGCTGGAAGGACTCGTCGCGGATCTTCCCATCGACGAGCATATCTCCCGTAATCACGCCCATCGAGACCCGGTCTGCGAGGCAATCGAGCAAGGTCGTCTTTCCGGCGCCAGAGACACCCATCAGCGCCGTCAGCGTGCCGGGTTTCACCCAGCCGTCCACATGGTCCAGAATGCGCCTGGTCTCGGTCTTGATCTTGACGTCGTAGCACACGTTGCTCCAGTGGAAAACGCTCGTGGAGCCCTGAATCGTGCCCTCGTTGGCAGAAGCACCGTTGCCGCCCTTCTCGACAATCGCAGAGGGGCCTGACACGGAGGCTTCGGGATCGTCCTTGGATTTGGTAGGCGCAGAGACACCCCTGCGAAAGACGAGGACCTCTCCCTTGGACTTCTTGGCCGCAATGTACTCGGTGGCGACGAGGTACACCGCATGGAGAACAACAGCAAAAACAATGATGATACCAATGTTGCGCCACTTGTGAGAGTGAAAGTACTTGTACTGCAAGTTGATGTACGCGTCACCGTTAACAGTATTTCTTCCGGGAACAGCGCCAACGACAGAGCAGGCTCGGTTGGCCAAAGTGGTGTTCTCGTAGCCGGCCACTGTAGGGCTAGGAACGAAGGAACTGCACGAATATTCGCGATTGTGGAACTCGTTGATCATGAGCTGGAGAGATGGCGGTGAGTTTCTTGCTCAAATGACTTTTGGGATGTGCCAAACTCACCGATTCAAAGCCGTAGGCAACAGGGTCGAGGTAGTTGATCCACCGGCACCACCCGAGCATGTAGTCAACGGGGATGGCAAAACCAGTGAAAATAACCAGAGCTAGAATCAGGATCGAGGCCGGCACCATGGCCTGAGACAAAGTGCGCGACAAGGAGGCGCTGTTTGGCGTCAGCGGGTATCACTTCCCGGTATGAGATGGGGAAACTTACATTGATCTGAACAGGCCGGACATGGCGAGCGTCATGAGGAAAGTGGTGAGAAGAAAGTAGAAGAAATTACCAGGGTTCCTGTTCAGGTTGGACATGAAGTAGATGATCAGGTCGAAGCATATGGTGTTCACGACCTTGTACGGCATGTCCACCAAGACTGAAGCAAAGGCCTCGGCCGATGCGTGATAGAAAGCATAGCGTCTCTGTTTCTCGACGATGGGCCGTTTGGCGTACTGGGTGAGAATCTCGAGGGCGCTGGAGAAAGCATTGGTGAGGATGGCGACGAAGAGGATGGCAGACCGACTGTAGAAGGACGAAGTGGATTGCGGAAGATTGTAGAACAAGGAGGATATGATGAGCCCTTGGGCCGTGTTGGCGAAGAGCATAAATAAAGTCAGACTGGGATCTCCTATGAGAAGCTTATAGCAGCGCCAGAGGCACAGCTTGACCTGCTGGCCATACGAGAGGATGAAGGGAGACTTGAGGCGTTGGTTCTTGGCCTGGACCGACTGCTTCTGGTTCATGAAGACCTCGACGTCGGGACCGCCGAGGGGATGCGCGGCTTTGTATTGCTCGATCTGCTCCTTCAGGTCCTGGCACTCACGGCTGGCGTTCCAGCAAGCGGCAAACTCGTCGGGGGTTCTGGGAACGCGGGATTCCCACCCGGGGCGAACGACACGCTCGGAAGGCGCCGTCATGGAGGTGAGGAAGTCGGGGGTGGTCTGGCGAGACGGGCATTCGAACCCGAGGTTGATAAAGTACTGTTTGGCTTCCGTCGTGCGACCGAAGAATATTTGCCGCCCTTCGTAGATGAGGAGAACCTTGTCAAAAAAGTCGTACGCGCTTTGGGGTGCTTGGTAGATGGAGACGGCGCACGTCTGCCCGAACAGCTCCGACTGCAAACGCAGAGTCTTGCAAAACTCGACCGCGTTGGCCGAATCAAGACCTCTGGTGGAGTTGTCCCAGCACTGCAGGGGGGCGTTGGACAGGGTGGCTTCTGCGATGGTCACGCGCTTCCGCTCTCCTCCAGAGACACCGCGAACGTATTCGTTGCCCACACGGGTGTTGACCGTGTGGCTGATGCCGTACATGGCCATGACAACGTCGCGGAGGTGGTCGCAGTACTGGTCTGCCGAGACCCCGGGCGGGAGAGTTCGGGGGCAGCGCGCTCTGGAAGCAAACGTGAGGGTGTCTCCGACGGAAAGCTGAGGGTAATGGACATCGACTTCGGCGGTGTATATCGCGTCTCCGGAATGGTGTTTGTGAAGCTCCTTCGCCGTCAGACCCTGGTAGTTGAAGTAGGCACGTTCATCGGTGTAGATGCCATTCATCTCGCCGGCAATGGTCTTGAGAAAGGTGGAGCAGCCGGACCCGGGAGGCCCGAGAACGACGAGCATCTCCCCCGCCTCGACAACACCGTTGAAGTCCCGGAGGATATCGATACGGCGCTGGCCACCCGTCTTCGAAGTAAGGCTGCGAACGAGACCGGGCAGCTCAAGCCACACGTTTCCAACGTCCTTTTGGTAATCCGTCTCCTTGCCGTACCCGAAGACGTTCAAGTTCTGGAACGCGAATCCGGTCGTCCGGTAACCGGCTCCGTACTCGTTTGTAACTTTTGCGAGAGTCTTTGCCCATTTGCGGGCGCTGAAATTCTTTCCGTGGGGGTTGAGTGGCGAATTGGGGTCTTCGCTGCCGAACAGGGCCACGTTGTTCCCGTCGACGTTGACAGCCGAGTGGCGGGTGTATTCCCGGGCAAGCTCTTGCACGATAGATTGGCGGCGGTCCAGCTCCGTGTCGTTTCCATCTTCGTCAGTTGTCGATGCAGACGCATCGGCATCTCTGCCGTATACTGTGCTGTCCCCCATGACTTGCGTAGCTTTCTCAGTTTCTCCGTTTTGGGTTAATGTCGAGTCGTGATCCACAAAAGTCTTTTGGCTACCGTGGGAAGAATGGCCGGCGCCAGTGATGCGAGAGGTTGCGTCGGCGTTGTATGGCACAGACATGTCGTCGGCCGGTGGATGAAATACAACCAACTGGCGTAGAATGCTGGCTGATGGAGCGGTTGCAGGTATGTCTTGCTATCCTGTGTTCAAAGACGAGCAGTTAGACTCCAGGATATATCCTTTATAAGCGGCGTCCCAATGCTCACCGATCAACACCAACCAGTACTCTTGCTTGGTTCTTCGAAGCACCCGTCCGAACAAGACCTCGATCAGATGGATAGGAAGGGTAGTGAATATATTCTTTTCGGTTTCTCTCTGGTTAGCTGAAACGTTCCATGCAGATATGGGCTGGTCGAGGTTTATCAAGGGCTCTACGGAGTCTCTTGCTTCCCGGGGGTCCACGGCACTCAAACCGTAGGGTGTCCATCTCATAACCCGAGTCCCCTATTCGTTCCAGGGCCCCGGGTCATCCGGGGGGCTGAATCCGCCAACATCCCAGAAACAAGCATCGAAATCCATTTATTGAGCCGGGTTTAGATGACGAAGTCCTAGCTAGCATCTTCCACTTGTCCGCTGCCAGCGTGTAAGTCGACATTGTGGGCCCGTGGCGGCTTCAGGTGTCCGAGGGGCGGTAGTGTGGGGCGCGCCCCTATGGACGGCCCCCATTGGCGGCCCATATTGGCGGGCTTTCGGGAAGTTCATGTGCTCCGAGCGGACACCGTCGATCCGTGAGATTTTCCTAGAAGTCCAAACCTCCCACCGTCCACATGCAGCTTGCTCCCGCAAAAAGAAACCAACTGTTTGTGTGTTTCTTGTCTTCTGGACGTGCTGACCACGAGCCGCACCTTACTTCCCCGGTTTCCTCCCTTCCTAAAGCCAGATACCGGTACAATGGTCCACTTATCGGATCAGTTGGAGTGATCAGACAAGCTGATAGTGTCCCCCCATGTCAACCCGAGAGTACCGTGCACAATAACATAACTGTAATAAACCTCGGCAGACAGTTGATTTAGTGATAACACAACTACCTTAATAAAATCAATAAAAAATAGAGGTGAAAGGGATAGTCTTGGCCTATCCTGACCTGGAGTATAGCGTGGGAAGCAGGCACCAGGGTAGGTTTGTACTAGTCTAACCCTCCCCGGTGGGGCTGTTTTAGAACTAAAAAATCTAAGAAAACAAGATTTGAACCTGCAACCTTTAGGATATGAGGTTTATTGCTGTTATTGTGCACGGTACTCTCGGGTTGACAGGGGGGGTGGGGGCACTATCAGCTTGTCTGTAGACTCGATTAGTTGTCATCGGTATCAACTGATATTGCCACCTACATTAGATGCGGAAATTAACATGGGATTCAATGCCGTCGGCGTGTGGACTGCATACCTGCAGGGTACTGGGTGGAAGATGAGACGCCCATTCAGTTGGCCAAAGGCAGATAGACTTACATCTAACCTCAACCACTGACTCCCGGGTGCAACTCGGGGTCCGCTTTCAAGCCCGCATTCAAGCCCGCTTGCAAACACCATACGCCATCCGTAATATTTCGGTTTCCAGGGTCCATCCCGCTTAGTCAATCATCGCACCGTACCCGGGCCGCGACTCATCTTAGGTTTGCCCCTCGGTCGTCTGACGCAAGCCCCCGGTACGAAGAGGTTAATAGTAAGCCGCTGCGTCGGTGTCGCGGGGGTAACGGAGACACAATGTGTTGGTTCCGAGGCATCGCAATGGCGTCATCTGCCGCGCCGGCACATGCCAGAGCGTGACGTGTGTATTTTCCACTCTTCAAGGAGCCGGGATGTCAGGCCCGAAGCTGTTTTCGGTTCGCTGACTCGATACATCTTCCGGGTCTATGATGTACCGCCTCGGCGGCGGCGTCCTTGACGCCAGCATCACAAGGGCCTCTATCTGTGGGACGGTGAGCAACAGCGAAGGTGAAGCAATATCCGTTGATATTGGTGATAACCGTGATGTAAAGCTGGCAAGGAGTGGGCTGCCCGAAGCGGGCAGAGGCTGGCTAGAAGGAGGGAGGAGGTGGTGGGTCACGTGACCCAGTGGGGTCCTCCATCAACACTATCTGATTCTGTTATCAAGATCGAAGAGTGTACGAGATGGCAAGGCCCTGTTGCACATTGTAGCTCTGTCCGACACTCCCTTACACCCGAAGCAGTTCTGGACATGCCGGTTGTGGAGAGCACGGAAGCACCATTGATGATCTATCTGGAGCTTGTGGTTTTCAGCACCAACAGAAATAATCGGCTTTCCATCGTACATTGCCGAAACACCTGATAGGATACGGTTGAAGAGACGCTTATCCGTACTCACACCATGGACTGCAACTGTGCATAACACGGCTTGGATGAGGAGGTGGGGTTTACCAGCGTACGAGGAGAGTCGAAAGGCTTGGGCACGATATTTTGGAAAACAGATCCCGAAGCAATTTAGTTGTCCGAACGGGGACGAATCTGATAAGTGCTTGCTGGCTAATCTTGGGATACTCGAGACTCAATCCTGTCGCGATATACCAACGGACACGATGACAGGCCTTCACATCCGGTATCAATCCTTATATCCGGCAAACCCCTCCCGATTGTCTGACAGCCGACCCAACCAACTGTGTTTGTCTGTAAGATAACCAACAGGCACCAACGCACGCGTGTCTCATCACCTACACACACCCCGGACCAAAAACAAAAACAAAAACAAAAAAAAGGTCCTTCAAACCAACCGTCTGCAGTAATCGGATATGTAAAGTTCTCCGACTACCAATTCGCACTTTCTGGCAATGCTTTGACCAGTCTCCTGGATCGTGATACCGGAATTGGGGCATTCGCCATGTCCTGCGCACATCTTTCTAACGACCGGTCCTTTGGGCCACGAGTTTATCCCGGCTGTAGATCGTTCGACTTCACGCTGTACTTTGAGGACGTCTTTTTGGCGTGTTTGCCATCTGTTCTGTTCCTTCTCCTCGCGCCGTCACGGATGCTTACCCTCTTACGCCTGCCGCCTGCTTTCTCGGTCAAATCTAGGCTTCTGTGCGGTAAACTAGTACGTCTGTGTGTTTTTTTTTTCTTCTCAAGAAGCCGTCTGTGATAAAGCACTCGAGTGTCTGATCAAGTATCGTGTTCCCAGGTGGCATTGGCTGTGTTGCTTGCCTTCCAGATAGCTTTCCTGGTACTACGCACGCGGACGAGGCCGTTCCAGACTTCGGCATCGGTCGCAGCGGATGCTTTGGCGCTCGCCGCCACGACCGCAGTTTGCCTGCTATCAGTTCTGAGCCACCAACGATCGCAGCGGCCGTCAACACTGCTCAGCCTGTATCTCTCCGCAGCAGCCATTCTGGGGGTCGCTCGCGTCCGTACGGCGTGGCTTATCGGAGACGCCGCGTTGGCGTCAGCGACTGCGTTGACGTTCGTGCTCGTTTCCATCGTGGCGGCGCTTCTTCTCGAGTCTGTCGAATCGAAAAAGGGCGTGCCCCGTGACGAGAGCCTGTCGGACAGCAAACAGGCAACGCCAGAGCAGAGCAGCGGCTTTTGGGCGAGGACCTTGTTCACCTGGCTTGCGCGGACTTTCTACTCGGGGTATTCCAGAGTCATTTCGCCCGGCGATCTGCCTGGTCTCGACCCTAGCCTCGAAAGCCGCGCTCTACACGAGGACCTGGCTGTTGCTTGGGATAAATGTGAGTCTCTCATCTCTGGCCAGATGCGACAAGGGGACCCCTCACTTATCCTGAATTCCCGACAGACGACCACCAAAGTCGCCGCAGTCTGCTGAGAGCTTGTTTACGGAGCTATCTGGGCTCCTTTCTGTCACCGGTCCTTCCCCGGCTATGCCTCACCATCTTTACTTTCACGCAGCCGTTCCTCATCAACACGACTGTCAGCTTCGTGGCGCAAAAAGATGCCGATTCAAACTATGGTAGAGGGTTGATCGGCGCCTGGGCTCTGGTATACTTGGGAATCGCGGTGAGCGGCTCGGTCTTTCGGTACCACAACCTTCGTTTCAAGACCAGGCTTCGCGGGGGGTTGATTGCACTCATCTATCAACAAACTATACATACCAGGGAGGTCGACGCTGGGGAAATCACGGCGGTTGCTCTCATGGGAACCGATGTGGAACGTATAACCGGAGCAATGTCCATGTTTCACGCAGTCTGGGCCTCTCTGCTGGACATCGCCGTCGCCAGTTGGCTGCTTGGGCTCCAACTCTCGCTTGCCTGCCTGGCTCCCATCATTCTCGTTTTAGGTGAGTAAGACGCGCGCGTACGGTGCCGCAGACGTGAGCTCTGACCTACATTTCCCAGTCTTCATATCTGCCGTGTCGAAAATATCCGTGGCAACCAAGACGGCCCAGACGCGATGGATCGAAAAGATCCAGGAGCGGCTCCGCACGACCGCCGCCATGCTCGGTGAGATGAAAGCCGTGAAGATGCTCGGGCTCGGCGAGGTCATGTCGAACAAAATCCGGCATCTCAGGGAAGATGAGATTGGTACTTCCAAATCCTTCCGAAAGCTCCTCGTGGCCACATTGTTGCTCTGTAAGTCCCCCGGGCGACACGGAACCCCCCGACTGCGCTCCAAATGCTAAATCAGGAGACAAACCCAGCACTCACCCCGATCAATCTCGCCCCCATCGTCACCTTTGGCGTGTATGCCCTCATTTCCGTCTTTTGGAAGAGCGGAACGCTGCTACCGGCGCAAGCATTCACGTCGATTGCCCTCATATCGCTGCTCACCACGCCCGTCGTCAGTTTCATCCAGCTTCTGCCCATGGTTGTGCAGTCGCTTGCCTGCTTCGACCGGATACAAGACTTCTGCAACTATAGCCACAACGCCCAGATTCACCATCAGCGCCCTCGTAGCCCTAGCCGTCACCATGGTCAGCCGAGAGCAGACCCTGGGCGGGGGTCGCTGATCTCTGAGGGTACAAAAAGGCCCTCACTCTCGCCAGGGAACCACATCGTCTCATGGAAAGGACAGAGTTTCGGGTGGCACAAAGACAAGACTACACTTCATGACCTCACCATTGACATTCAGCGAGGCGCTGTGACTGTTGTCGTCGGTCCGGTCGGGAGTGGCAAGTCGAGCTTCTTGAGCGCGATTCTAGGCAACTTGATCTCCACGTCTCCAGTGGCAAAGCCGACGGCAGGAAGGGGGTGCCAAAGGGACGACGCGGCATACTGTTCCCAAACCCCCTGGCTCGAGAACGGCACTGTCCGGCAAAACATACTCGGGGCTTCGTTTTATGAACAAAAGTGGTACGACACCGTAGTGTCGGCATGCGCGCTCGAGGCCGACATGCAGGCGTTACCGAAAGGCGACTTCACTCTCGTCGGCAGCAAAGGCGTGAGCCTCAGCGGTGGCCAGAAACAACGCGTCGTAAGTGGGCAGGAAATCTTCCGTTCGGCTGTGGCCCGGTATCGTTCCGCTGACCTTTTCCATCTTCGCACCTAGGCGCTTGCACGAGCCGTCTACTCCAGGCATAAAGTGGTGGTTCTCGACGATGTTTTCGCTGGAATGGACGCCAGAACAGCCCATCATGTCTTGAATCGCCTCATTGGGCCCGATGGGCTTTTCAAGAAACAGCGCGCCTCGGTCGTTGTTGCAACACATCATCGTACGTCGACAGTCTCATCCCCCCCCCTCGCGTTTCTGGAACACCTTACTCATGGTGCTACAACAGACAATGCCATGGCTCTTGCAGACAACATCATCACCATCGAGCGCGGCAGAATCCAGGAAATTGGCAGTCCTGAAATCCTCGTCCGTCGCCAGGGATATGTCAGCAAGCTCGGTCTGAGGTTGTTGCCCTGTGATGGTGTGGCCGAGGACAAGGCGGGCATCGATGCGCCTGAAGCTCCGATCGACCATCCGCCAGTCGAGCTGTCGGACAGGAGCGAAGAAGACGAGATACTCCATACCGATGTCCGACGCAGGAACGGGGAGACGGCAGTTTACGCGTACTATTTCCGCAACGCAGGGTGGAAAGCTGTGGCCCTGTACGGCATCTCCGTCGTGGCCTGGATCTTCTTCTCCGAGTTCTCGAGTAAGTCGTCGTCGTCGTCTTCGCCCATGCAGGGACCAAATCAGAGAACTGATACATGGATACTCCCCCAGCCGTCTGGATCAAGTGGTGGTCCGAGGCGAACACCGCCGCGCCCAACAAGAGTATCGGGTACTACATGGGCGTCTACGCCCTGTTCGGCGTCCTCGGCACTCTGACCGCCTCTCTGGCTGCCTGGTTCGCCTTCCTCGATGTCGTATCCAACACGGCCTTCAAGCTCCACGCCGATCTTCTCAGGACGGTTCTCGCGTACGTCTTCCACCGCGGGGCCAAGATCTCCCCTCGGAAGCTGAAGATGAATCTAATCCTTCCCGCAGCGCCCCTTTCCGCTTCCTGGCTAGGACCGACAGCGGAGAGCTCCTCAACCGGTAAGCTACTCCCCCCACCCCCGAACGCGGAGGCAACAGTGTACTGACGATCCGGCCCCTATCAAGATTCAGCGAAGACATGCAACTTCTCGACATGGACTTGCCCGTCAACATGGTGAACTATACTTCCAGTCAGTAATTTTCTATCGCCCATTTCCACCACTATTCTGTTACAAGATGTAGCCAAGAAAAAAGAGAGAGAGAGAGAGAGAGAGAGAGAGAGAAAAGAAAACTGCCCCGGATGCAATACGCTAACAGCACACGTACAAGCCGCCGTGTCCGTCCTGGCCAAGCTCGCGGTCCTGGCCGTCTTCTCCCAGTACCTCGGCGCGGGCCTGCCGCTCCTCGGCCTCGTCCTCTACGCGCTCCAGCGCTTCTACCTGCGGACGTCGCGGCAGGTGCGCCTGCTCGAGATCGAGGCCAAGGCGCCCCTCTACGCCCACTTCTCCGAGTCCGCCGCCGGCGCCGCGACGATCCGCGCCTTCGGCTGGCAGGCGGCCTACCAGGCGCGCGGCCACCGCCGCGCCGACGCGTCGCAGCGCCCGGCCTACGCCCAGGGCTGCGTGCAGTCCTGGCTCTCCCTCGCGCTGGACCTCGCCGTGGCCGCGCTCGCCGTCGCGCTCGTGTCCGCCGTCGTGGCGTGGCGCGACGGCTTCGGCGCCGGCGCCGCCGGCGTGAGCCTCGTCATGGTCGTCGGCTTCAGCGAGGTCCTGGCCCGTCTGATCCAGACCTGGACCAGGCTCGAATCCAGCGTCGGGGCGGTCGCCAGGGTCAGGCGCTTCGTGACCGAGACGGAGGCCGAGGCCTCGGTCGGGAAGTCGCCGCCTCCGCCCGCGTCGTGGCCGTCGGCCGGGGCGCTCGGGTTTTCCAATGTAGTCGCGTCGTACAGGTGAGTCGCTACGTTTGCCAAGACGGCCAGGGAGTCGCCCGGGGGAGAGACGTTTTGAACTAACCAGGCAAAATGTCTTGACAGCCCCGACACGGACCCGGTGCTCAAGGGCGTCACCCTGACCATTGATGCCGGCCAGCACGTCGCCGTAGCCGGCCGCTCAGGCAGCGGCAAGACGTCGCTCGTCCTGGGCTTGCTGCAGATGATGGACGTGAGAGAGGGCAAGATCGAGCTGGACGGGGTCGACGTGTCGACGCTGGCGCCGGCCGAGCTCCGCTCCCGGATCAACGTCGTCTCCCAGGACCCCTTCCTGATCCCCGGGACCGTCCGCGCCAACATCGACCCCTTCGGCGCTTGCCCGGGCGACGCGGAGATCACCCGGGCCCTGGAGAGGGTCGGCCTCTGGGGCCTCGTCCGGGCACAGGGCGGCTTGGACGGGGACGCGGATGCCGAATCCTGGTCGGCCGGCCAGAAGCAGCTTCTCTGCTTGGCCAGGGCCATGGTGCGGCGGTCCAAGCTGTTGGTATTGGACGAGGCGATGGGCAGGTGAGTCTTCCGTCATGATTCCGCTCCCCCGCCCCCCTTCGCCCCTCCGGATCAGTCGTCTCGCTGACGCACCCGCAGCGTCGACGCCGAGACGGAGGCTCTCATGCAGGAAATTGTCGACACCGAGTTCGGCGACTGCACGGTGCTGGCCGTCATGCATCGACTCAAGCACGTTTCTCGCTACGACAGGGTCGCGTTGCTCGGGGACGGGGAGCTGTTGGAGTTCGGCGAACCGGCTTGTTTGATTTCTGGCAGGACCAGGTTTGCTGAGCTGTACAAGATGAACGAGAATTGATCGCCAGATTCGCTGGCTTTCCGGCATATGTAACCGCTTGAGAACCCCAATCTCACCTGCATAATAAAACTAGATAGATAGGCACAGAAGAGTCGGGACTGCAAGAGGGTTGAGAGACGCCTACGGGTCTGAGCGGTCTCGCCCCTTTCCTCGCACAATCACACGTTGGTCCAACTCCAGAGTTGCCGATTTCTCGCGGCACTGTGGATGTTTGCTCGAGATTTTGAAATGTATCTGAAGGTTTCTCAACAACCTCTTTGGCCCAGTAGACAGAAAGAATGACTAACGAAACGCTGTGTAACTGTTCTCCCTACTAAGAATTTCCAAAACCCACGTCTTGTCTTGTCATGCGAGTTTGCTCGCCAAAGGGGTATACGAACATCACCTCACTTGCCTAAGTCGCCGGGGAAATCAAGACACAGTACAGCCACGTTGCAAATTCCAAGCATGCCAGATAGTTGAATGTGAACATTATGCAAAGAACTGCTTTCGTCCTTGCGAGTAGTAATAGTAGTAGTGGTGGTGGTGATGTATCTGTAACTCAATCCAGCCATGCCGATATCGCACGGCTTGTGCTCAACCAAAAATAAAGCGCCATCGTTAAGTGCATGCCATGTTGAAAGTGGGATAAGCCTCCAGCAACGCCGACATCCATGCAAAAAAATAAATAAAGCGCAATCATTTCCCTTTCGAAGCCGCCATCATCCCGTAGGCTTGCTATAACTCATTCATTCTACTGAAGAAATCGTTGCGACAAGTCTTTTCGAAATCCTCACCCCACTGGACCCCACAATCCCGTTTCTGTGCGGGGGGTCAAAGTCCTCAGTCGGCCAAAAAAAGCCTCGAGACTCGGCTTCGGCGGACCGCAGATTTAGTCCTTCTTCATCCCGTTCAAGAGGCCATTGGTCAAAGGCGGTGCCTTGGCAGCGGCAATTGCCTGCTTGTTTGCCAGCTGCTTCTCCTTGGGAATGGTGAGAGCATTGATGCCCAGGAAGTTGCAGATGCTGGTGATGACCAGATAGGCCCAGCGGAAGTAGACAACACCGGAGAAGACGAGGTAAGCGTAGAGGTAGTATAACTCTAATTGGGCGCTGACAGCAGGGAAGCCGAGATGGGGGAGGTTGGCGAGCACAGCACCACCGACGAGGGGCGCGAGCATGACGGTCCAGTACGGGAAAGGCTGCTTCGTCAGGTGGGCGAGGATCATCTTGGTGGTCAAGCGACCGAAGACGAAGGCCATGATGAAGCAGAACAGCACGAGGTGGTTGTCGCTGCGGATGGCCGAGTAAGGCGAGTAGACCCAGGCGCCGATAGCGAGGGTGAAGACGGTCATGGGCGTCCACTCCAAGAAGACGGGGGCGACGGGCTCGCCGCGCGCGCGACGGGCCTGGATGACGTGGAGGACGCAAAAGGGGATGTGGGTGGCGAAGAGGGAGAAGACAAGCATGGCGATCCAGATGTCACGGATCGAATAGTCGCCCAGCAGGTAGTGGAAGCCATAGAGGTGCTGCTCGGCCTTGTCACCGAGGATGTTGATGATGGGCTCGGTCCAGATGCCGGGGCCGTAGATGCCGGAGACGACCATGAAGGAGCAGGCGATCAGGATGCCCTCAGTAGGACCGTTGATCCTGCCGAGGTACAGGGTGTGGGTGTGGTACGTCTCCCAGGTCGAGAAGAACATGGGCAGGCAGGGCACGAGGGCGGTGAAGACGCCAGACTTGGAGGTGCCGAGACCCATGGCGGCGGTCTCGAGAAGACTGGCCAGGGTGCAGTTCAGGGAGTCGATGCCGTGGTCGAAGAGCTCTCCGAGTCCGCTCGATGTGCCGGTGCGTCGCGCCTGCTTGCCGTCGAGGTTATCCATCGTCTGGTACATGAACAGGCCGAAAGCGAAGCTAAAGTACAGCCATGAGGGGCCCTAAGAAGCAGCATCAGCGAGAGATTCTTTCATGACGTAATTGCGCGTCTTAGTCTAGAGCGCGCGTTTCAACGTACCGGTCCGACCAGATCGGGCATGAAGATGACCAGAAGGCCAATGTTTCCGAGGATGAAGAAGAAGCCCAAGAGGGTGACCATGTTCGGGGCCAACCAGAGCGGCAGGAGCTCAACAGCGGCATTCCACTACGGAGTCTGGTTAGCAGAGTCGTTAGAGGGGAAGCGCTGAGCTAAGCTGAGCTGAGCTCGAGGCCGCTCGGACGGCGGGCGCGGGGCAGCAACGAGAGGGAGTGGGAGGAGGAGGAGGGGGATTGTCGGAGGGGCTACGCACGTATGGTCGAAGGATGTAGTTGGAGATGGGCGACTTGTCGACGGCCGAGTATTTGTAGGACTTGAGGTGGATGAGGGCATCGTCCGAGATGCATTCGGCGGCGGCCGTCCCTATTTGACTGGTTGTTAGCCATCGTATGCCGTCAAAGAGTCCGCCGTAGCTTCCAAAGGGAGCTCCTAGGTAGACGGAGGCGCATCATGTTGCGATGTGCGTGTTCGCGACGCCAAGGCCAATTGCATCTAGGCGGCCGGGCTCTCGCGAGAACGGCGGAGGGGAGGAGGGATGGAGGGGTTTCGTGCTCACTGTCTGAAGTCGCGGCGCCCATATTTAAGGAGTTGCGCCGGAGACAAAATAAGTCTGGAATGACGACGACGGCAGGGAAGGAGTTGGAATAAGGTCAGAAGCAAGAGTGGGATGTATTTTTCTGACAAGGGCGGTTGGGAGGGGCGGGCGGATGGAGGGGGAAGAGGGGAGGGAGGGTAGGATCAAAGCTCCTCTTAAAGAAAGGGCAGATATGTGAGGAATAAGGAATAAGAAGAGGCGTTCGGCTTCGACTGCTTGCGCAAGAGAGGGGCAAGAGAGCAGAAGGCAGACTTGGGACGGGCCTTATTGAGTTCGCATCACAATCAAGGCCGTGCCATCTGGTATTTTTTTTATTCTTTTATTCATTTTAGGGGTGAAAAGGTGGCCGGGGTCAGGCATATGGAGTGGAGACGTTCCGCGTTGGGGGGACTTGCGGGTTTGTGGACAGACTGACAGCGCAGCAAATGACATGCGGTGCAGGCACAAGCTTCCTGTTTCGGGGATACCTAGGTACCTACCTACCTCTACCTGGGGAGAGCAGGAGGGGAAGGAGAGAGAAGAGAAGAGGGAAAGAAAGGCTCAATGTGTCGTACCTACCTACCTACCGGTAGCTACGCGGCCATCACGACGTGCATGCGTCGGCCCAGCCCTGCCCCTGCCCCTTCACCGCAGCAGCGCAGCGCAGCGCAGCGCAGTGAAGCCTAGGCGGGTGGGTGGATGATGGGTGGATGGATGGATCGGATGGAGAGCTATGCAGGTACGTACCTCTGCAGTCGAAAAGCTCGTGATTTCCGCCTCCGAAGCTCATACAACGTGAACTCACGCGCAGTCGCCTGCGAATGCCACACAACCACAACCGCATCACTTACACGTGCCCACGAACCGAGGGAGTTGCATTGCACATCACCATCATCACCGCTACCACCACTATTTTGCCCAGCGACCGCTCACATAGGAACCTCCCGCCCCTTCCGATTCCCGCCTCACCATCTTCCTTCCCCTGCAGCGAATCACATGGATGGATACAGTCCGCCGTCCCATGTCTTGTTTTCGGCGTTCAACAAAAACCAAAAGAGCCCAAGGACCCTGCCTATCAAACCTCTGAGGGACCGGGGGCGGGGGGACTTGCGCCGAATCTTCTAAACGCCCCAAGCTCCTCACTAGGTAGTTCCTCCCCTTCCCACACACACCTCCCGAAGACGAGACAGCGAAAAGTCAAAGTAGGACGCCCTTCGCTTTTACCGCCTTTTTACCGCGCCTTCCGTCGAACGTCATTGGGCCGGATCGGAGCGGACTGCTGGACGGCACTAACGCCGCCCTGCAACTGCAAGCGTGCATCAAGCTCGCATCTTGTTTTTTGGTTTTTGTACGGTTTCTCTTCTCGTCTCGATGACTGCGTTGCGTGCGTGCGTGCGAATATCGGTTAGCAGGTCCTTGACATGTGAGAGAGACACTCTAGAGGCACCAACCCCCGCGCTGTCTCGTCGTTTTCGACGTTTTCACGTTTTCGGAAGCCGGCCGTTGCGGTGAGAGACGGGGGCGCGCGGCCGGTCAGCGTCCGGCCAAAAACCTGGCGTCGGGCGCTACTGGCCGAGCACACCGAACCCGCCCGCCAGCCCTCGCGCACCACCAACCCCCACGAACCACAGACCGACCCGATCTCCGGCAAGATGCAACCTAGATCATCTGGTTGTCGGCTCTTCAGAGAAGGAAAAGAAATCTCGTCGCCAGGCCCGCGTACGTATCAAGGTATACAGGGGCTGGTTGCTTCGTCCTGCAGGGTGGGCATGTGAGCCGACACCCTTGTCCAGAACCCTCCGCTGTCGTGCAGCTTCAGGTATGTAGTTTGACTTCAGCCTCAGATCAAGGCCCATTCAAGATCGGGGACGGACCCGGATCTGAAGGCGGGCTAGCTGGCTGGCTGACTGGTTGGCCTGCCGTGCCCCTCGTGACTCCCGTCCCGGCACGTCAGATATGGCGGCATCCAACTTGCATGTGGCATGCATATGGTCTGGTCGAAACGGCCGCCTATCCGCCCTTTGGGTTTCGGCCTTCCACGGGACCACCTGTCGTGCTGTGCTGCCTACCCATTACGTCTCATGTCGCCCGCGTCGATATTTCCGTACACTTGATTGAGGCAGCTCGATTGCACCGCGACTTTGATTGGCGCCCGCGATGCGTCGAAGCCCCGCGTCCTTCAAGCCTCGCCGTCCGTTCACACCGCGCCAGTGGCCGCCGCCGTGCCAGTCTAGGAGTCTAGGCAGCATACCACCCCGCAATCACGGGGACGACTCTCAGACGGGATGAATAGGGTTGGATGTGGTCTCGTGCGCCCCATCCCGTCAGATGAAGCTCCCTTTTTCAGCGGCGGCAGAGACATGGCGGGGACGCTAACGAGCAATGGATGACGGGGACGGGGACGGGGACGGGGTGGGCACTCGGATCACAATGAGCGCGTGTTTGTCTTGGATGATTTTTATTTTCTTTCCTTCATGGAAGCTTGACTTTTTGCTTCTGATTTCATTCTTCCAGACCCTTGTTTCTCGTCATCTACATTCCCTCGTGCAAATGACTCTGGAACGCTGTAAAAAAGCAAAAAAAAATAATCACAGACGCACACACACGACCGCGATATGCTGACCGATTCCCACCCTGACCTTGCTGTCCTCCGCCGCCGCCGCCGTGTTCTGTCCGAAACAGAAAGAAGAAAGAACGGATATTAAAGACATTAATTTATGTGGTCTTGAACCAGGAACCTGCCGCCGGTGGTCTCGATTCCGCGCGCCCATATAAACGCCGAGCATGTGGTCGTACAAAGCTTTGTGCAACAAGAGGGGGAGAGGGGTAATGCAAGAGTGGACGAGACAGGACACGCACGCAACACGGCATTTCTTTTCTCCCTTATCTCTTCTTCAACCACCCCCTCCACCCCCCCCAAAATCTCAAAAGTTGAACTCGACTGCTCACTTAAAGCAGGAAAGCGAGGCCGCCAACCACACCACCGACGAGGACGGCCAGTCCGGCGCCGCGACCCATTTCCAGGGCGGCGGCGGCGCTGGAACCGGAGGCGGCGGCGGCCGGCGACGAGCCGGGGATGCCGGAGAAGACGGCGTTGGGCGACTCGGTGGCCGAAGCGGAGGCCGAAGCGGTCGAGGTGACGTTCACGCGGGTGGGGTTCTGGGCGCCGCAGGGGTTGTTGTCGCGGCAGTTGCTGGCGCACGTGTTGGAGCCGATGCCGCAGTCGGCCACGCATTGGTTGCCGAACTCCTGGCAGACGTGGAAGGGCAGCGTCAAGGAGTACTCGGACATGTTGGGCTGGTTGCCATTGCCGCAGACGCAGCCATAGGTGAGCGATGCCTGGAAAGGAGAGTCGCGTCAGTGTCTCTGTCTGGCCCGTCTTCTTTTCCGTCCTTCATTCGCGCCAGCGGTTGGGGTTTTACTTACAGGGTCACACGTGTTCACCTCGACGGGGTCGGAGGAGACCTCTTGGCAGATGACGGGGCACGAGTACGTCTGGTCCTGGCACCAGCTTTCTGCAGCATCGTGTTAGCAGATCCGGACACATGCGCCTCGAAGGGGGGGGGGGAGGGACGGCGTTTCCAGGACGTACTCCTTGTGGACAGAGAAACACTGCTGGGGTCGATAACGTAGTCGGCGTGGGCGGTGGCGACGAATGCCGCGGCCACCGCGAAGAAGGTGCTCTTGAACGAAGGCATTTTATCCTGTGTGTATGTATGTTGCGAGGTGTATGTGCTGGACTGGAAAGCCTTCGAGGGAGACAAGGACGATTCGAAAAGGTTGTCGAGTTGCGAGGCTGCAAAGGTTCTTCAATGAGGAAAAAAAAAAGTATTAATCCCGATCTGCCGGACTGCGTCCCCTGGTCAGCGAACCCGTTTGTGTATGTTTATGGGCGGCTTTCTGGCTGCATTCCTGAACTCTCCCAATCCGCCGGCCCCCCCAAAGCCTATGCCTGCCTAAACGGCCAGGCCAGCGAGCGTGGGATTGATCCACTGGGGCAAGAGCCCATTAACCCGGCACATGGCTTTTACTTGGGAGGGAGAAGGCGAGAACGTGTTCTGGAGCTACGAGCGAGGCGGTTTGAGGAATGGGGAGGTGACGAGTCTACCTACGCGCTAAGAGTGTTTTGCAATTCGGGGCCGTGTGTTGTGTTGCTGATGAGGAAATTGGACGGCGGTTCTTGGGCCGGAGAATGTATTAGTAGCGACAGTGGCGTAATACCGGCTGTGGGACGTTTGTGAAGGTGCTTCAACGAGGGAGAGCAGCAGCAGCAGTAGCGGTAGTAGGAGAGTAGTAAAAGGGGGGGCTAGCGACAGATATATGTGCAGAACACGAGCTTGGATCCAGAGAGAGAAACAGAGAGAGAGAGAGAGAGAGAGAGGCTCCAACTTGCGTAACGACAGGCAAGACACGACCAAGGGTTCTGATAGGGAGGAGGTGTGGAAGGGAGGAGAAGAAGGAGGGGAATGGGGTGGAATCGAAAGAGAAGCCGACTGGGTGTGTGTGTGTGTGTGGGTTCATACTATGTATGAAGCAAAAGAAAACCCGGTCGAGGCGTATCCGTAGCGGAGTGCCTCGGCGTGAGGAATAAGAGCGAGAGAGAGAGACAGAGGCCCGTGGATAGAGAGAGAAAAGGAGGCCGGAGCCAGGGCCTTCTCTGCCAAGCGGATCTATGTAGCAGTAGGGCACGCATTGGGGGGAGCTTCTTTTCTCTGCTCGCGAGGGTCCCAAAGAAAGGAGGCCCGGGGTGTCCCTGGGCGGGCCGGGCTCACGATGGGTGCTCTTTACCACATACGGATACTCCAGCACACGAGTAGTGTATATTTATGAACAGTATGCGTACAGGTACGGCATGAAGCGACACGGCATGGGAAGAATTCTGGTTGAGCCGAAGCGAGAGAAGACGGGCGGAATTGGGTTTAGCACGTCCTCCACGCCAGCCATCCGGCGGTTTTCCTGCTGGCCGGGGTGGCATGTCCGCTGGGGAGAAGGAGGGACGGGGGGTGTGGAGGGGGGTCTGTTCATCCACCTGGCCAATCACAGGACGGGCTTCCCCGGGCTGAAGATATCATGGAGGTCAACACCTCGTATGTATTGTGTGCCCCGTACTTCGTAAAAGTGTATTCTAGTATGGTACCATCCTTGTCGGCGGGAGACGACGGACGGGGCTCGGGCGATAGCAAGCATTTTACCACTACACGTGTACTACTATTACGATATCTATGGAGTCACGGCTCTGACAGATCAGATTGACAGACTCTGACCGACAGACAGCCATGAGGACGCGCAGATACCGCCAAGGGGAGCCCATGTCTGGAAATGTCTGGAAATGTCTGCTTCTTGCCGCCCCTGCCATCGGCCCTCCAGGGGGGGAGGATGGTGTTGTTCCTCTGACACCACCCTAGAGTGCCATATCCCTCGAGATCAAGGCAAGGCGAACAAGGCATCTAAGCTGCAGTCTACGGTACTGACATGTCCCCTGAGCTTATTGGAGTTGTTTTTTCGGTGGAGTTTGAGGAGGCTTAGGAGCTTGGGAGTGGGAAGGGTTCAGTGGGCCGGACATGCATGCTTGCTTAGGGTAGACAAGGGTGGGGGGATTGCTTCTCGCGGCGGCCGATGCTGATGGTGCAACTGGCTTTTGCTGTTTGTTTGTTTTTTTTGTGCTGCTTTTTATTTTATTTTATATTTGCTCTGACGCTTAAGTTTGTCGTCGTCGTCGATATCATTCCTGCTACTGCTTGTCCCAGACGTTTGTTTCTGACGCGCTTGGGGTGGGGGGGATGATTGTCCAGTATTGCCCGCCCTGAGATGACCCTCCCTCTCTCCCTCCCCTCGCTCTCCACAAACTGCGACCTTGCACGACAGCCCACCCAAAACCCTTCCCAGGCTCTTTTTCTCTGCAGTGCACCGCAGTATGCGAGCAGTATGCGAGAGCGGTCGTTCGCGCGACGTCTCCCGGCCTTCTCTGCCGAGGAATTTGCAGCCCTGGACCGCCGGTCTTGAATGATATTGGGAGAGCCGGTCTGCCTGCCTGCCTGCTCATCGATCTTTGCCGATCATCCCGTCGCCCACGCCCCCTTACACCCCCCGTCTTGCCTCCCGCTAATACATGCGTGCATGTACGGAGCACTTGATGCTATCTTGTCTTTGTGCCCACCCGTCCATTCCACATCCAACGGGTGTCTCTCTGCCCGTCTGCCAGCCCAGCCCGCGGCGTCGGCCCAGCATTCCTGTGCTCTCCCAAAAATACACACTGACGGCGCCAAGTTCCGAATGTTTCTGCGCCGTCGACCAATCTGCTGGGGCATGAGACTTCACACGGCTTGCGGGCCCCTCCCCGGGAAAATACAACCAAGGCAAAAAGGCTGGTCGGATTCCACTTTGCATGCCTGGTGACCTGGGCCGCGTTGCTGATTACGAGGTTGCAGAGCAGACTGTGACCGTTGCTGCTCGGCGAGTGCGAGTTACGGAGTATGGTCCCCGCAATACTACCATACTGCTACGGTATGGCCCATGCCGTATGGGCATGGCTACCGTACCAGACCCCTTCTCTCTCCCCGCCCAAATAGACTCTCCTCGTAGTGTACAGCTTTACGACACCATTACAACCATTACAACCACCACCACCACCACATCACCACCACCACATCACCACCATCACCACCGATAATACGCAACTGCCATAATACGAGGCAAGAATCAGTCGTGCCTGCCTGCCTCACTCTCCCTGGCGGACCTGTTTCCGATCAATACCCAACCCCCAATCAATCGTCGGCTTTCTCCCCACGATTGGTCGCGACGCCACTCGGTGCGTGCGAGGACGTCGCTGCTCCCGGCGTCCCACTGGGGTGGGCCGATCGCCACTCGTATTCTGCAAGTCTGCACCTTCACCCGGAGCCTCGTGCAGGATGCGCCGGTGCAGCTGGGCCGCTAGCTCTGCAGGCAAGAGCGCTCCGGCGTCGTCGACTGTTTAATAACTGATACACACAGAGCACTTGGAGGAATGCACAGCACAACACAGCACAGCACAGCACAGGTTTCCCGAGGCTGGAGGGGGTTGGGGGGAAGGTTCCCGGGAATATCAAACATTCGAAGTGGCTGGCTTCGCCCGGACGCTGATGTACGGATCCTTTGTCCAGTATTGAATCTCTCCGAGACAGACCATCTTCGGCGGGCGGCGCGCCGATCCAAGCGTCCCACGACGCCCCCCCCCCAACGCCCCCTCCTCCGCGTGGGTGCTTGTTGGATGTGACTCGTGGAGAGGAACCAGATCGAGCGCTGAATAGCGCATGGTCCCGATTAGCAAAATATATCTTTTTTGGAGTGCTAATCTACGGAACAAATGGGGGAGCTACGAACCACACCGTCGTGGTTGTAGTCGTCGAAGGACATAAAGCCTCGCAGTCACAAAACTGAACCTGTCAACGTGCTAGTCTACGGTGAACCGTTCTATGGTGGTCCGAGTTCGCGATGCTCGGGTTCGATGGCCAATAACCGCCAAGTACCGGGAAAGCTTGACGGGCATCAATGGCGCACCGGGGTAGACGGGCGTACACTGAATCGGACTGGAAGCCCGAACAAGCCCCAGTCGGGCAAGATGCGCTAGGTGAGAAGGTACCAAACCCTCCTCCGCATCCACTCCTGGCTGTGTTCGGTAGCTTCGTACCCGCACCGATGTGCTGGGGTGGCAATGAGGTGGGCTGGTTTCTCGAAGGTGCGGGGGGGACGCTTTCACCGACGGACATCGTGGTCCGGGGGTCGGTTCTCTCCGTCTGGACTCCGATGCACTGCAGGCGGCTCTCTCTGGGTTGATATGCCATCGATCCCGGCCGGCACTCTAGGTCGGCGAATACAAAGGCCCAAGGACGCCGTCAAGCATTGTATCACATCATACGTAGGCAACAGGCAGGCAGAAGAACAAAGACAGCGTCTCGTCGTTGACAAGACTGCCATTGTTCGAGGTTCCGAAGGGTTCAATGGTCCAAGTGGGTGCAACGGGGCTCCCCGCGCTCATGGCGGCGGCTCGAATCTTCCATCAAATTATAGCACCTTACCTACTACCTCCGATCCACCTCGTCTGATCACTCGCACATACGTTAGACTTTCATTGACATGCTCTTATCCGTATCCGGAACTCTTTTTTTTTTTTTTTCCGCTGGGTTGGGTGTTAGTTGTCGGGATGCGGTGCAAAAGAGACAACAATCCGCCATCACATGCCGTGGCTGAGCATGATTCCCCCCTTGGGTAAAGGGACAGACATTCCTTCCCTGCCCTGCGGGAACTAGCAGAAGTGGGCGCAAAGAACGAGTCTCGGATTAGCTACCTACCTACTACCCAGGCAGGCAAGGCACTGACAGGTGCGCCGCTTACTGCCACGCTTACGATTTACATGTACGGTATACCACACCCTCAGGCCACAAACAACAAAACAACAGCAACAATGCATACGCTTCTTCTCCTCGGCGGGTCGGCTGGCAAGTGTTGTCAACTGCCTCCGATGGTGATTGACGATTGGTTCGCACGCTGTTTTCTAACGGGCTCCTTCCACCTCGTGACTTTTCCAGCGAGTCGAATCGAACGGGCCGACTAATCGCCGTCCGCACGTTGTGCCGACGTCAACAACCGCATCCCATCCATCTCGGTCGTTTTGCACAGCCACGCGGCACACCACCATCCACCCCCAACGGACCGAATCCTAGAAGCGCCCCGAGACACACGTCTTTCATTCGAGCCATCTTAGACTCTCCTGATACCGTCCAATACGTCACAACCCCTCCGCAAGCACTCACACCCCCACGACCAACGCCAGCAACGAACTAACAAACGAACGAACGAACGCGACTGAAATCGCAACCCACGACATTGCTGTCCCATGAGGTAGCGGCCTCGCACATGGATTCATGGAATCGGCGATAGAATCCCAGTTCCGCCCCGGCCACGTCAACGGCCGCACAAAGCCGCCGTCCAAGGTCGCCGCGCACGGGGCAATTGAAGAGTTGCTGTCACGCCAGAACGACAATGAGACATCGCGCGGAGGACTGTTCGGGGACGACGAGGACGACGACACCGAGTCGCAGACCGGATCCTCCGTCACGAGCCCGTCGGTGACGTCGCCCCCGTACTGGCTCGGCCACCACCAGCGCTCCGCGTCCAACATGTCGGCCGAGTCGGTCCTCCCCGACGGCGCAATCACCATGCACGACAACGAAGCGAGCGATGTCGACGGCCGCAACCGGGCCTGCTGGGCCAAGAGCGTCGAGATCACCGACTACGTGGTGGTGAACGGCAGCGCGACCAACATTGGGGCGTTTGTCGTTTGGAACATCAGGGTAGAAACGCTGCAGGTTAGTATCGTCACCCCCTCTTCATCGTACTCACGACCTGGTACGCGGAGTGGCCCGTGGTGGTGGTGGGGGGGAGTGGGTGGATTGCCAACGTGCGACCTGCCAGGTGCTGACGTTCTGCCACGCAGGGGAGCTACATGAACATCCGCAAGCGATATTCCGAGTTCGACGACCTTCGCGAGAGACTGGTCAAGACGTTTCCCAACTTCGAGGCGGCTGTGCCTCCTCTACCTCCCAAGAGCGTGATATCTAAATTCCGGCCGAGATTCCTCGACAAGAGGAGATCAGGTCTCCAATACTTTCTCAAGTGCGTGTGCGAACACACAAGAGGTTGTCGGTTCTGTTCGATGCTAACCCGCGGCAGTTGTATAATGTTGAATCCCGAGTTCTCCAGCTCGCCAGTGCTCAAAGACTTTCTTTTCTCGTAAGGAACGCGCACACTCTCACACATACGCACACATGCACACACACACACACACACACACACACATACGCATCAATGTACAAGCACCAACTCTACGCACATTACTCTTCTCGTTGTACATTTTCTAGGGCATGGCGGTGAATACGGGTGCGGCAATGCAGGGGACATAGCTGCTGGTCGTCGGTGCCCAACCAAGGAAAAGGGAGAGGGGCATTGGATATACATAGTGGTCCCAGGCCGCAGAGGAAGAGAGAAGGAGAGAAAATAATAATGATAATGTGTTGCACGACATTTAACCTTGCTTTTTACCGGATGCGGTCGAAAAGAGGTGGCTCGTATGCGGCCGTTGGGTCATCGGGGACCGCTAAGCCCGTTGCCGAAGAAAAAGTTTCGGCGGCTGCGGGGCATGACAGAAACAGGTAAAGACGCTGGATGCAGAAGTGCACCGCCGGAGGTGTGGCCCGTGACGATGTGCTGTCCACCCGGCGGGAGGTGAGCTAGCTAAGCTTGGTTGGGGGGACGGTCCCCCCCACAGATTGACGCGTAATGTTCAGCAGGGTTTGGCCATGATTTTGTTTTTCCTTTGGCGGGGACTGACCAGCGGACTCCAAGGGTCCAAAAGGGACTTGTCCACCTTTACCGTACTTGGAGACAACCCCCCCCCAGTCCGCTTCAATACGTATGATGCCAGAACGAGTAACAAGAGTCAAAACCTCTAATGATGTAACTGTTGACGGACCCCGCGTTTTGCATGCTGCGGCGGCGTCTTGATATGTAACTGCCTCATTAGGGTTCTTCTAAGCCGCAGAGGGGATGAAGATAGCCCTGCACGCGCAGTCGCCGGGCACATGCGCGGCTCCGAGCCGTCCGGTTGAACGGCTGGCAGACTCTGCTCTCTCTCTCTCTCTCTCACACACACACACCCGCCAGCAATTGGGCTAAGCATCACCACAACCTTGCAACTCGTCCCGTCCCTCCCTGGTTCTCTTGCCCGCAAGGATGCGCCCCCCCTCGCATGGTGTTTGTTGTTCCTCCTTGCTGAACCGCACCAAGACCTCTGTTCGCAGTTGCCTCGGCGTTGCCGAGATCCCGATCAAAAGAGCATCTGAGTGCCGCCCCACGACCACAGCCACAGTATATTATCGACCGATTGTTTCCTTCCCGGGGCGCCAGCCCCCGAGTCTCGGCCTCTTTTATTCTTCTTCTATTCCTCCTCGAGGTAGATCCAGGACTTCCGTCATCCCTGGAGACGTAGTAAACCATATATGATTACTTACTCCCACGCTGTGTTTTATGGCTCCTTCTGTTCACATGCCCATGTCGTTGGCTCCATTCAGTCATCATCATTCACACTACTCTCATCATCTGGACGAACCCAACACCGCTACTGGTGATAATTAGCACGCCGTCTGTCCGTCCGTCGCCCTCGCCGTCGACACGCGTCCAAACCGAAGAACAACTGGACCCCGCAGCGACGGCAACCGGCACGACGGCGGCTCTATCAAATGGTTGTTTGAAACATTCAAACGAAACCCTGGAAAAGAGAAGAAAAAAATAGACACAAAAAAAGAAACGTGCCTAATGCCTGCGCCCATCAGCTCCCGAGCCAGGTCCCTGTCCCTCCTCTTTCATCATAACCAGGTGGACCCCGCAATAACACCAGCAGCCATGACGAAACCCAACCGCCACGAGCTCGACAACCTGCCAGTTCCTGCTGAGCAACCTAACACTGGCGCCGGCGCAGTCTCCTCTGCCACTGCTGCTGCTGCTGCTGCTCCTGCTGCGCATGCTCATGCGCCTGAACCCCAAAGGGCCCCTCTTCTTCATTACCACGTCCCCTGCGCCGCCAACATTATTACCCCGCCGGCCAGTCCCCCCGTGCCGCTCGAAGAGGACGATTCCCACTCCAACTTTTCCGCGACCGCTGTGACTGGCACAGCTGCAGCAACCCGCCCCCCCAGTGACGACACATGCTCGCTGGCTCAGTCGCAAACCGGCACCGCGTACAGTTCGCGCAGGGAGTACATGGACAGCCTGGTGCCGCCGTCGCACGACGTGTTTGAAAAGATTGCTGAAGTCCAGCGCACTCGCGAAGAGGAATTCAAGAAGAACAAGTCCAAACTGCGTTCCATGCAGACCCAACACCTCCACGACCACTTCCACAGTCCCCGGCACTCCCAGGACGGCCATAAAGACGACGCCGCCGCCGCCGTTGGAGACGACGCACAATCTCAACCGCTGCCGCAGTCGCAGCCGGGGGCTGGAGGGCGCGAGAGGGGTGACAGCGACGCCATCAGTAGGGCGGCGGCGCTGATCCAACGGAACTACCGCGGGTACCGCGTGCGGCGAGAGATGCAGGGCCTGAGCCTGGACCCCTCGACGAGATGGGCATCGGCCATCAACGAGCTGCAGTTCCGCGAGCTCAACCGCCCGCGCGCAAAGAGCTCCGCCAGCGCGGCAGGGCTGGCCGCCGGCAACGGCGACCAGCACAGCGTGCTCTCGAGGGACCCGGAGGGCGGCATGAGCGGCCCGGCGACGGCGCGAGAGAACTGGAAGAAGGCGGCGACGATCGCGCGGCGCGCGGGCCACGACGACCTCGAGTCCGACTCAGACTCGTCCGCGTCGTCGTCGGACGCCGAGGAGACGCCCGAGCACCGGGACGAGAAGAGGAGGCGCCGCGAGGAGGCCGTCGCGCGGCGGAAGAAGGACTCCAAGATGATGGGGTTGCAGTACTTCCTCGAGATGGTCGACCTCAAGCACCGGTACGGCAGCAACCTGCGCGTGTACCACGAGGAGTGGAAGAAGACGGACACGAACGAGAACTTCTTCTACTGGCTGGACTACGGCGGCGGACGCAACGTCGAGATGGAGGCGTGCCCGCGCGACCGCCTCGAGAGGGAGCAGGTGCGGTATCTGTCGCGCGAGGAGAGACAGTACTACCTGGTACAGGTGGACGACGAGGGGCGGCTGTGCTGGGCCAAGAACGGCGCGCGCATCGACACGACCGAGGCGTTCAAGGACAGCATCCACGGCATCGTGCCCGCCGACGACCCGACGCCCGCCTGGTCGCAGAACAAGCTGCCACCGCCTTCCGACTCGGGCAACAACGACAACGATGGCGACGACGTCGACAGCCGGTCCGAGTCCTCGGTGGAGTCGGCGCTGGAGGCGGACCGCGCGGCCAAGTACGCGACGCCGGAGCTCGACGGCGCGACGGGGGTGCGCAAGGTGTCGCACATCTCGGCAGCGACCGTCTTCAACAAGCTGCTGCGCAAGTCGGTCAAGAAGAACACGTGGATCTTTGTGGCGGACACGAGCTTCCGGCTGTACGTGGGGATCAAGGCGTCGGGGGCGTTCCAGCACTCGAGCTTCCTGCAGGGCAGCCGCATCTCGTCGGCCGGGCTCATCAAGATCAAGGATGGGCGGCTGTCGAGCCTGTCGCCGCTGAGCGGCCACTACCGCCCGCCGGCGTCCAACTTCCGCGCCTTCGTGCGGAACCTCAAGGACGCCGGCGTCGACACCTCGCACGTGAGCATCTCCAAGTCGTACGCCGTGCTGGTCGGGCTCGAGGTGTACGTCAAGACGCGCCAGAAGGGCAAGCGGACGCTGGAGAGGGCGACGCGCAAGAAGGACAAGATCGTGTCGCCCGAGGCGGCCCGCCGCCGCGAGGAGGCCGAGCGGGACAAGTCCGAGAGCGCGGCGCGGGAGCGCGAGGTGCTCGAGAGGGAGGCCGAGGAGCGCGAGGAGAACCGCGCGGCCGTCCGGCTCATGCGGAAGCTGAACCTCGCGCCGCAGGTGCCGGCGGGGCAGAAGGGGTCCGAGGAGGGGCCGGCGTTGGAGCCGCTGGCGGAGGTGACGACGACGGCGCCGGCGGCCGCCGGCGGGGGACCCGGAGCTTAGACGATCCCCGGGGTGTTGCCGACGAATGTCTTATTTTCCTCACTGGATATGCAAAACCGCCGGTCACGGCCGCGATCGCGGTCGCGGTGATGGATTTGGATGTTCGAGAAGGATGTCTCGGATGGAGGGTTTTTTTTTTCTTTTTTTTTTCTCTCGGGGTGTTGTCGAACCGTTGACCTTGGGTGGCGTGCGATTTTTTTTTTGCTGCGAGAGTTTGTTATACCCCCTTCTTCCTTTCCACATCCCCCCCTTTTGGACATTTCTTTTTAACACTGTAGTGTACTCGCTGGGCTGGCTGGCTGGCTTTTATTACATTTTGTCATGTGTTAAAGCAGAAGCCTTTGTCCCGAGCCTGTAGAAACGGGGGGAAACCGTAAATTGCAATGTCTGACGAAATGCTTAAGAGAAAAACGGCGGCGATGTTGAATCAAAACCCCCGCCCTCCAAGTCTCGTGTTCCCCGGCTGTTCTGTTTGTCGGGCCCTGTGCTGTCCTGTCCTGCCCTGCCCGCGTCGCTGCCGTCTACGAAAGGTCAGCTCGTGCTTGGGTCCCTGTTTCGCAGAGGATGGCATCTCCCCTGGGGAAAAGAAAAAAAAAGTTAGCTGGGGGGGTGTATTCCTGGGATTCTTTCTGATGTCGTAGCTGGTATCGTGAGCAGCGCCAACATTCGGCACCGCAAAGACAGAACCGGAGGTGGCTTCCTGTCCGTTATCGGGCCCTCCAAGGCGGTGACAGAAATGGCTTACTTCCGTCGGGAGGGCGAGGATAGACGCATATGGACGCAAACTGGACGGGTTATGCCCCCCCCCCTCCCCAAAGGTAGGGGGCTATGGACTATATATGCCATGGGTGCTGACAATTCATTAAGAGATAGCAACGTGATTCACTGTCTGCCTCGCTACCTTGACGCCTTTGAGCGCGACATCTCCATCCTAGGCCGCCGGACCATACAGTTCCCATCGGGAACAACCTTCGTTACCTCAAGGGACCCGGGCTCGTCACGGGTACACCAAGAGAAGAAGGCACCGTTGAACTGCGCGCCTGTCTAGGCACAGGGGCCCGTGTCTACTCCAAAAAGAAGATGAAAAGAAAACGCCCGAGTACCTGTAGCCCCGAGTTAGGGATGCATGCACACGATTCCAGGTTTATGCGCCGCATCTCTCCCAGCTTCAGCAAGGTTAGGATAGCAAGTCGACGAGGACGGGCTTTTGGGTGCGTGAACTCGTATATTGAGACGTCGACGGGACAGCAGGAGGCAACCTGGATGACAACGCAGCCGGGATAGTCGTCAGAAGCTCCCGGTGGCGACGGAGCAGTGGCCGTTGTCATGGTTTCGTATGGAGACGGTGTGGTCGAAGGGGTTGTCGAGGCCGTGGCGGCGCTTCTTGAAGCCGTGCTAAGAGAGGGTGAGAGGTTGAAGAAGTGGTGTTTCCGAAGCGTGCTGGTCCAAGGTACGGTGGGACGCGGGTCTAGTGGGCAAGGACGCAGTGGTCGAAGAGGATGTCGACGTTGCCAGATCGGCAGGTAGCAAGACAGAGCCGGAGACTTGGGTTGCCGACATCGCAAGCGAAGAAGCCCGGGTCGTCGTCTCCGGCAGTAACGGTTCCCGTAACAGTCATGGTGTTCTCTCACTGGTGCGCAGCCCCGAGCAATGCAGAACGCGCTGCCGAGCACCGTTCCCGGTTCTTGGAGTTGGAGCTTTAGTCTCGTGGAGAGGCTTCATGTTGAACCTGCCGTTGTCACAAAAAGGGACTTCTCGGCAGTAGAGGTTGAATGCAGGCTGGGCCGTGGCTCAGCTGGTGTATGAGACTCACCATATTGACCAACTTGATGTTGGAGCAAAGTTGACGCAGGGTCGTCTGGCATGCCGCCTGCAAACCTTGGACTACCTGATGATACGTTTTGACTGGGAGTCCTGTACCCAATCTGAACTTTTGATCGCCTCTATATTGTAGTTTGCTGGATGACTCCTCTGATCTTAAAACGACCGTTGCCACCATTGTTCTTCGCCGTTACCGTAAATTTCACTCTTTGCTGCCCCTCTTCCCAGTCTCTCTTCAACGGCGCGAGCTCTCCCACTGAATGGCCTTGTGTGAATCGTCTCAGGGCGAGAGGCTGTCATTGCGCCCTCGTGTAACGTCTGTATGAAGGCGACAGCAACCCGCGGGTGTGATGCGGGATCCAAGATGCTAACCCAGCCAGTGGCCCTGGAACTGCAAAGCCTCCACACATGGATCTGGTTGGTGGATACGAGAGTTCACAATCGCACACTCGTCAGGACCAACCCGCTGGCTACGAAGATGCGAGAGGATTCGGCTCTCCTGGCGAATCATCTCAGTACAGTAGAGATCGTTGCCTGCCAGACGCGCTCTCGCCATCCCATTTTGCTCGAATATTCGTCACTCATGTCCCAGACCATTTCCCTATCCGAGGAGTCCCTGCAGCTGACAGCACTGCGAGAGAACATCCGCGGACGTACACCGAGAAAACGATGAAGAAGTAAATTTTTTTTTTTTTTAAAACCCCCCCAGGCTCCGGATCCGTTATCGTAGTGTGGCAATAGAGATGCCCATGTCGAGAAACCAAAGCCAGCTGCCGGCCTAGAATTGGCTGGCAAATCTCAATCTCCTTTTTGGCTTCTAGTCGCATCGAGTTTAGGTGCCGTTTGGGGGGACTCGACGGATATCGACCGTGTCCATGTCCGCCTCGGATCGTGTGATTAGCAGGGATCGAAACCAAGCAGTCAGTCGGCTTGCTTGGGCTGTCGTCTCGCCGCCAGGCACCGGCTGATCATACCGCAAGGCCGACGATTGCGGATGTGCGATGTGTACCAGGATGGCAGCGGACGAGCCAGTTTCGAGCGGCAGAATACTTAATGTACCAATCCGGTCCAAGAAAGGGACCGAAGAAATGCGGCGGGAGGACGGGGGTAGACGGCGAGTTGCGCCCCAGAGTCATCAGCTTCATGTCGTTGAGCCCGCCGGGTTTCTGGTCGCGTGCCTGGCGGGAAATAGGTACACTCGGGACGCGACGCTGCAAGGGACGACATGACTCCCAAAGGGAATCAACCCCCTACACAGATTCCATGTCGGCTCGGCGTGTGCTGTAATATAATAGTCTAGGCTAGCAGGCAAATATGACCCTGCCGTTGTTGATCTCTGCTCCGTTTATGCGTCGACATGGATGGCACTGAATTCAGGGGGCGGCGTTGGCAGCTGGCCAGGTAGGACACCTCCTGCTTCGTTTGTCTTGGGAGGGAAGAAAGGGAGGAAAGAGGAGGTACATGATATCCCACCAACGTGTAACCGAAACTAGATGTACCACGGCGCGCACATACCCATTCCCCCCCTGGCAGGCAGCGCAACTCAGTCACTGCCCACCTACCTCGCAGCAGCCACTGCTTTCAGCAAAGCCAGGCATTCCCCGTGGGCGGATGCAAACACTGGTCGGGCACCTTGCTGACCAGTAGAGTGAACGACGCGACCAGTAAGGCACAGTGCATCTGGTCCCTCAGTGGCCTGGACAGAGAGAACGCGAGCTGACGGCGGCGCCCCTTCCCCCCAAAAATGCCGCCAGAAGGCCACTTCCCGCATCGCATCAACGACGACGACACCGTGACAGACACTGCGACCGAGAACAAGACGGCGGAGACTGCGAGAGGGGGGGAAAATCCTCAATCGACACCATCAATCACCCTCGCTACGATCCGACGGGACAACAATGAATGGCTATTCAATCTTCGCCAATGGCCTCCGTCACGCGCTCCACCAGGAGGGCGACGAACACTGAAGGCCTCGTCCAGCAGCAGCTTCACCCGGTGCCCATCCCACGCCCCCATCACCATCCCGTCCAGGCCTTCGCTGCCAACACGAACGCTGCGACGCGCGCCGCCAATAGCCCCCAAAACGTCGACACCTACCATCATTCCATACCCGGTCGCACCAAGCGCCAGCTCGACTCGCCCGACAACCTCGTCGATTTCAATCACCAGAAACCCAAGCGCCCGAGGACCAGCATCGAGATCCTCATTAGGCCTGCCCCGTCGCCCGCGAGGCCTGCCGACGCCAACGCGACCACCCCCAACGTCACCGCGACTCCGCAACCGACCACCACGACAACGCCTCGACCGCCCGGCCCCCTACCAAAGACTACGCCCAAATCAGCACCGCAACACGTCGCGACAGTGCATCCCCCCAATCCCACCCCGGTTCCCGTCAGCAACGATGCTTCTCACTTGACCAAACACCAAGAAAAGGTCATCAACGGTATTAAACACGAGCTGGACCGCCTGCAGCCCCGCCAGGCAGATACCCACACAAAGGAGGGGGGTCGCAAACTGCGCTCCCAGGAGGCCACTCGCTTCAAGAGCGAACTGTCGGCCTACTTCCCCGAGTACGATGAGGTCATTGGGAATGAGCCCAAGGAACAGCGTATGTGCCATCCTCTTCTTCTTCTTCTTCTTTTCCTTTTCTTTTTTCTTTTTCTTTCTTGCTGGTCTTGCCCCCAACCTCGCCCTGTTCGCTTGCTGACACCTTTCCTATCAGAACTCTTCACTATAGATACCCCGATAGTCATTTTTGACTCGAACCCCACACGCCACCAGCCAGTCTCCTGGCATCGACATCTGGGCACCTCCGCAGAATCCAAAGCCATACATGATGGCCCAGCAAGGTTGCCAGAGGGGCACCAGGTGCCAGTGCGTGGCTACGGCGATGCTTTGTTTGACGAGCTCGTCGATGCCCAACGCATAGATTTTGATTTCCTGGGTATCTCCCATAAAAGAGAGCCCGTCGAGGACCCTCTCCCCGATGCAACCTTCGTGTCGGCCCACAAGAGGGCGGAAAGACTGGAAAAGTCCATCCGCAACACGGAAAGGGGCCGGGCCCAGCATGAAAAGGATCAGATTGCCCGCCTGCTCGACGGCCTTCAAGGCCATGACTGGTTGCGAGTCATGGGTGTCAGTGGCGTGACGGAGACAAGGAAGAAGCAGTTCGAGCCGGCGCGCCAGCATTTTGTCAAAGGCTGTCAGGCGATTCTCGACAAGTTCCGTCAGTGGAGCCTGGAAGAAAAACGTCGCAAGGCCGAGAAAGACCGCGCTGTGGCTGAGAAGGCAGAGGCGGAAGACTCATCCGAGGACCGGTCACCTACGGAATCCACAAGCGGCGAGGAAGCTGCCGAGGAAAATGGGCGTAGTGGCGATATCAGTGACGGGGACCCTCCGGGCTCTGATGACGACGATGATGACGACGACGACGGCGGCGGCGGCGGCGACAGTGACGACGATGGCGACTCAGTGACCCAACAGCTTCGCGAAGAAGCCAAAGCAAGGTCGGGTGCGTCGAGGAACAGCAGGAAGCGCCTGCGAGTCACACCACAACCTCGGCCTCCGCCAAAGCCTGAACCCCCAAGGGAGTTCAAGTCGTTCTTCAAGAAGAGGTACGAAAGGGACGCCGCCTTGCATCGCCATAGGCGTGCCGGCCGCAAGGTGGTGGCGTGGGGACATCCTGTACCGGAGATACCTGAGGCGGATTTTAATCTTCCTGAAGAGTTTCGCGATGAGGAGACGCTGAGAGTGCATGCGAGGAAGAGGCGTCGTGATCGGCGAGGTCGGCACTGAGAAGTTTTGCTCAACTACCGATTATGTGTTTGAGATACCTGGATTGTCCTGCGGCGGCATCTTGCACTGCATCGGCTTGGCGTGACGCTGTTATTTGTACCATTATCATATGTAGACTGCTGGGTGGCATGGCTCAAGAACAAGCGTTTGATTTTGTTCCAACTAAGAAAAACGAAACTCATCAACGGCATGAAGCTGATTGATGTAGCCCTGGAAGTCGTGCCAATCGACGTAGGTGGGACGGGCTTAGCCGAGGAAGGTCAATCTGGAGTCGTCGTCAGTCCTTCCAAAGTGCGGTTTGGTGCATGGGGACGGTTAGCTTGGGCATGGGAAGGAGCTTTGTGAGCTCAACCAAGAGTCGCGCCTTCCCTGCTGGTGAATTCCGCTGGCTTACATAATATGGGTCCAACCTGACCCGCCCAACAGGCAAGCGCCGCAGGAGCCAAGGTGGGCTCGGGCAGCTCCATCTCCAGTCGCGGGCGAACGAGCCGTGGGACGCGCTGACCTTGGGAGGCCTGAACTGTACCAGCTGCTGTTGACCTCAGTTTTTGTGTTTGGTCGCAGCAGAAACTTCGCTCGACTTCGCACCACTCACCTCGTCGCCAATCGGAGAAAAAACATACTTTTAATATTCTGAGAAGCTGTCTAGCGGTCTTTTCCCCCGAGCACATTTAATTCCGACCGGCGCCCCCCACGACCGAATCCCAGCCTCGCGACCATCGACTACGACAGGATGGTTGAGACCCTTGACGAATCCCGCACCTGAGAAACTCGCGCCGGCGCACCTTCCTCGATCGTATCCGCCGACCTCACACTCGCCGAGAAGGCCTCGAAAGACTCGAGCGACTCGGTCTTGTCGCTTGACGTCGATCCGCGACGCAACCCTCCCAAGCGCAAACTAAGCAAACATGAGCGCCATCGAGGCCGCTGCGGCGGCGGCCGCCGCTGTCGACGAAGTCATCGCCAGTGATTCCGAGGATGACCTACCTCCTCTGAAAGACGAGCCGCCCTACCCTTATTTTGTCCTCAAGCAAGATGTCGAGATCGAGGTGAACTTCCGATCGAAGCGGATCCAAGGGAAGTCCCATATCACATTTGGCTTGGTGTCCGGCGCCCTCTCCCGGCTCGACGAGCTCGCCATCGATGCGCGGCAATCCGAAATAGATGTCAACAACATCACCATCACCGCCCTGAAAGACCAGATACCTGCCGGCCCGACGAAAAAAGTTTCAGCCACGTACACGGATCCGTATAAGTTACTGGATTACCCCGAATACTACAACTGGAACGCTTCACATCACGACCTACGGAAGATCCGGATGCGCCCTCTCATGCACACCCGACGGAACGACGTGCCCGCCGAGAATAGAGAACTCGTTGGCTGTACGCCCGTCGACGGCGCTTTACGGGTCAATCTCCGAGAAGCGAAGAAGAGCAAGGACACCAAGGAAGTCAAGGAAGTCAAGGAAGAATCGGCGGCATCAGGGGCGGGTGTGGCCAAACGACCGCTGCTCAAGATACGTGTCTCGAGCGTTCTGCCGAATGAAGCCGTGGAAAGCGAGCTGGCGGGCTCACGAGAGTTTCGAGTCACGATACCCTTCAAGACCAAACTTGTTAGAGATGGTTTCCAGTTCGTTGGTGTCGATCCTGGCGACCTCAGATACCCACACGCCTTTACCCGGCATTCGATCGAGCCGGGGACGGCGTCGTGCATCTTCCCGTGCATCGACGACCCTGGCCAACTCCCGACCTGGACGATGGCTGTCAAGGTTCCTAGAACGCTAGGCGATGCACTCTGGCAGCCTTTGGCCACGCAGAGAGCAAACGGCAACGCAAACAATCAGCGGGACCGCGGGCTCGCAAATCAGTCCAGGGCTGACAGAGACTTCGCCCTGACCGAGGAAGACAAGCTCCTGGAGATGACGGTGGTGTGCTCTGGGAGCCTCTCGGACGAGATTGTGGACCCAGAAGACGAACGGAAGAAAATCATGACCTTTGACCTCGACAAGCGGGTCGCAGTCCAGAAGATCGGCTTTGCGGTCGGTCCTTTCGAGCATGTTGACCTCTTCTCGGACTTCCGCACGGAAGAGAACGACGAGAAACTAGGCGGAAGCGCTCTCAAGATTCATGGTTACTGCCTCCCTGGAAGAGCCGCCGAGGTCCAGAACACTTGCGCGGCGCTAGCTGCCGCCGCCGACTTCTTCACACTCACGTTTGCCCGGTTCCCCTTTGAAAGCTACAAGGTGTGCTTCCTCGACGACATGGTCGAAGATACCGTGGCATTGCAATCGCTCTCCTTCGTCAGCACTCGTCTGTTGTTCCCCGAGGACGTGATTGACCCGGAAGTCGACGTCACAAGGCAGCTGGTGTATAGCTTGGCTTCGCAATGGAGCGGAATCAACCTTTTCCCCAATACTAGGAGAGATCTCTGGGTCGTTATCGGCATTGCTTACTACATGACTGATCTCTTCTTGAAAAAGCTGTGTGGCAACAACGACTACAGGTTCCGCATGAAGACAATGTCGGATAAGCTGGTGACGGTGGATATCAAGCGGCCATCACTGCACGAACTCGGTCACATCCTTCACCTCGGAGATTTCGAAATGGAATTCATGGCACTCAAGGCGCCTCTGGTGCTCTTCATTTTGGATAAGCGCCTGATGAAGGCACCTGCCCAGACCAATCTCACCCGCATCATCTCGCGAATCCTTTATAAGGCGAACATTGGGGAGAAACAGAGCGAGTGGATCATCAACACGGAGTCCTTTCAGAGGGTCTGTGAAAAGAACGCTAGAAACAAGCTCGAGGCGTTCTGGGCTCAGTGGGTCTATGGTTCTGGGTGCCCGAGATTCGATGTTTTCCAGCGGTTTAATAAGAAGCGACTGTGTGTTGAAATGACTATTCGGCAAGTCCAGGATAAGGCTCTGAGCGAGGCGGAAGTTCTGAAAAAGACCGAATTCCTCCGCGCGATCAAAGAGAAGGCCAACGGCGTCCAGGTCGATACAACAATGGGTCTCTTTACAGGGCCCATGACGATCAGGATCCACGAAGCCGACGGCACGCCCTACGAACACATAGTAGAAATTCGCGAGGACGCTGCCAAGGCGGCCAAGTTCGAGATTCCGTATAACACCAAGTACAAGCGGCTCAAGCGGAAGAGGAGGGCAACGGAGAAGCTAAGCGCGCAGTCTGCTGCGGATCCTGACAACAACGAAGAGGCGCTCTTGTACTGTCTGGGAGACGTTCTGACGAGCCCGGAAGACATGAGAAAATGGGAGTTCTCCGAGTGGGAGCCTGACATCGAAAAGGCCATGGACCAAGAGTCTTACGAGTGGATCCGGATGGATGCCGATTTCGAGTGGGCCTGCGAAATGAAGACGAACCTCCAGAGCTACATGTACGTGTCCCAGCTCCAGCAAGATAGGGATGTCGTGGCACAGCAGGACTCGATGTTGTATCTGAAGAAGAGCCCGCCCCATCCGCTCGTTTCGACGTTCCTCACGAGAACCCTCGTCGATCGCCGGTACTTCCACGGTGTCAGAACCATGGCCGCCGATATGCTGTATCATCACGCCACGGAAAAGGTCGCCATGGCAGGCATGACCCATCTCATGAGGGCTTTCACGGAGCTCTTCTGCTACCCGGACTCCGCAACACCTCGGCCGAACGACTTCTCGGACAAGAAGCAGTATCTTGTGCAAAGCGCACTCCCCATGGCCATCGCCAAAGTCCGGGACACCAACGGCAAATGCCCCGAGCCAGCCCGGCGGCTGCTTCTGAACCAGGTCCAATTCAACAACAACGCTAACAACCCGTACTCGGACCACTTCTACGTCGCGAAGCTTCTCGAGGCCCTGGCCCACAGCCTGATCCCCGAGAAACGACGGGACGCAGGTGATTCCATGGATCTGGACACATCAGTTGAGGAGAGCAGCTTCCTAGGAGAGGCCATTGTTGAGATCGACCGCTTCCGGAGGATGGATGAGTGGGCCAACTCCTACCAAAACATCTGGACCACTACTGCCCTCGAATGTAGACGGAAGCTCATGAAGGCGGGCGTGATTCCCAAAAGCGCGTTGGACTTTATCCAGTACCTGCAGGACGATACATGCGATCTCGTGCGAATCAAGGCGTTTGAGGCTCTCGCGGATCTCGGTTACATGATGGAATTGCCCATCTTCCGCCTGATCGTCTCTGTGATGAGCACCGACAGGTCCCCGTTTGTGCGAGACAAGCTCCTGAAGATTTTCTGCACGGGTCTGGCAAGCCTTGCCTTTGGCGAGCAATCCCGGGCGAAGCCTGCACCTGTGGCCGCCAATAGCGGCGAGCTTACCATTGTTAATAACACCGAGGGTGAGACGCAAGAGCGGCGCAAGCAATTCGCCAGGAAGCAAGACATTAATGTTGCGCTTGCGGCCCTGCGAGCGGAGATGGAGGAGCAATACGCAGAGCAAGAGCGGCTTATGATGAAGGCAATCTGGAAGGCTCTTGATTCCAAGGTGATTGGCCGGGCCGAGAAGACCACGCTCATTGAGCTGTGCGGCGCCATGTTCGATGCTGCTGACCGGTGGACGGTTACGATGAAATATCCCAAACGGTGGAGAGTCAGCCGTCCCGTTCAGCGTCACCCAGGCAGGGCAAGTATACCGTCGTCCGATTCGTCCTCCTTTTGCTAACGCTTTTGTCAGAACATGATCCACTTCAAGTCTTTTTACAAGACGGCGATTGAACCTCCTCAGAAGGTCAAGGAGAAGGAGCCCGAACCGCCAGTTCGACCGCCCGAACCCAAGCGTCTGATTGTGAACATGAAGAGTGGCGCCGCCAAACCCGTCAAACAAGCACCCCCCGCCCCACGGCCTGTCTCTACTGCTCCTCGCCCCTCCCCGGCTCCGGCAGTGCAATCCCCAGCCCCTTCTGCGGCACCGTCGCCGGTTCCGCGAGAGGCAGACTCCATCGTGGCCCACTCGGTCACCAAGTCGTCCACACCAAAGCCATCCACTGGAAAGCCTTCCACTGGAAAGCCTTCCTCATCCGCACCCAAGCCGCTAACCACGAAGCCTATCGTCACCAAGCCAACCATTACGAAGCCTGGAGTGTCGAAGCCTGTTATATCCTCGGTGTCTTCGTCGCTGCATCAAAGCGGACGCTCGACTCCCCAGGCGACTCCCGAGCCAAGCAGCAGCAGCAGTAGCACCAACAAGTTGCAGAAGAGACCTCGACCTGAAAAGGTCCCAGGAGTGGACGACACGTCTCCTGTTCTAAAGAAACCAAAGTTGAGCATTCGACCCGACGGCACAGTTGTGAAGAAACGGAGGATGTTCAGGTTTAAGCACCCCAACCTCCGGCAGATTCTCAAGAAGGCCGGCGTCAAGAACATGGGCCCCGTCCGAGACCCGTCCCTGCTGAAGAACCGCAAGCCCGGGTATTCGCTGAGCGCTCGCGCGTCTCCGGCTGGATCACCAGCTCCTACGCCGTCGGAGAGCATCAATGCGAAGCCCGCTCGGAAGCCTCTGCCCGGTGGTCCCTCGGCGGCTAGCCCTTCGCCGGGTCCGGCATCACTGCCGCCCAAGCCTCCGCCGCAGGCATCTCCGCCGCCTGCCGCGGGTCAAGCCCCCAAGAAGGTCAAGCTCGTCATCAAAAAGCCGTCTTCGCAGCCAAAATGAGCAAAACTCGCATTGCCTTCCGTGAAGACGTAGTGGGAGACCACGGATTGAAGACAGGGAGGTGTCCAACTCACAAAGTCATTTTATTAAAGGGTCTCACAGATTGGTCTTTTTTTTCTTTTCTTCTTTCCGTTCGATGCTTACTATCCTGTCTCTGAGACATGGCGGCATCAACCATCCACCAGGCGTTTTTATTGGTTTGAGAGATGACGAGAGGAGGCATCCGTTGGCGACGGATATAGACCACTATCAACGGCAGGCTTCTTCTGGCATTCAGAGAGGGTAGAGAAACACAATCAATAGGGAAAAAAGGGAAGGGGGGGGGGGGGGGGGGGGGGGTTGGTTGGTTTACGAGAGCGAGTGGAAGAAGCTGGACAATGAGTCGAGAAAAGACGGTCGTCAAAGAGCGACTTCTGTGCACGATTGTAGGAGAGAAAAAGCCATCCAGCCATTTTTTTTTAGCCCAAGCAAGAGAAACCCCCAATCGTAATGATACCTTCGACCCGAGCGGGCCCGGTGCACTACATCGTCGCCTTGCTCGAGCCTCGTATATTAATATCCGCCGCCGCCGCCGGTTTTCCATCAGAAGCCGCCTGTCCCCCCTTGTCGTGTCTGCTCGCTGAGACTTGGGTACGTACCTAAGACGGGTCCCTCGCGGGGGGTTCTCACAGGTAACACGATGATACCAAAAGAGACAAAAAAAAGAAACCGAAAAAAGAAATCACGGCGGGAGAAGCACGGTATAAATGTCTTGATGCCCTCATACTCTATGTGATAAGCAAACGTCTCTGAATGAGACTGACACACAGTTAGTGGCCCATTTAGGGGACCTGTGTATAAAAAAAACAAAAATAAAAAGGCCGGTCTCCCATACAACCTACCTGCTAACACACCACTTTTGCGACCTTCTTATTAGTAGAAAACATGCTGTATCACTACATTTACCTGAAAAGGCCTGGAATATGCCAAATATACTGTATCAAGTTATTGAGCCGGGGGAGAGGGTGGTGGTATGATAGGCTTCTAAAATACAGGTACTTTTTCTTTTTGGCTGTGGTTTAGACCGGGCTTTTTTCCCCTTTTTTCCCCACGCGAGTGCCTCCTTGCCTCCGCGCCGGTGACGACAGCCCCCGGTCTCCATTCCTTGCTCCGGTCACATTCCGAACTGGGCGGTCATCCTGGGGTTGAGAAGGGGCGCGAAGGTGCGGGGAGGGGGACAGAGGTTGTCCTCGAAAAAGCGCCGGTCGACGAAAGGTCCGGATGGGATAAGTGCCCGTGACCTCGGCTCCGCGCCAACTGCCGGGCCGGGAGGGAGCTTGTCCGTGACGTCGCTCCGGCCAGCAGTTGGTTCGACAGTGTTGGGTCATTTCATATAAACAAAAAGTGGTAAAAACAAGCAACTTCATGATGCAATTTTCATTTCTAGAGAACTGGTTGCTTCCTCTCTGTTTGGTATGGCTGTACACGCTCCACGCTTTAGCAAATCCCAACCCTCACCCGTCTCTATGGTAAAGTTGCCATGACGATGTTCTACAAAAAAAAAAAAAAAGAGAGAGAGCCGCTCCGATGAGAAAAGAAAGAGACAAGGAAAGTAAAAAGAAAGAAAGAAAGGGATCAAAGTGAAACAAGGCAACCGACGGCCTGACTTGTGTGGTAATGATGTCTCCCAGATTTCCTTGGTGAAACCCGTTTCCTGGACCCGAACCGGAAACCCAAAACCCGCTCCCTGGATTCAAGAATGTGGCTAACGGTTTATCCACTCCACTCCGTCTTTACCCAGTCCGTAACGCCAGTCTTTTGGTGATTGCAAAGCAGTCGCGACAAATAAGGAGAAAACCTCGCCTGTTCGGTTGATGGCAATGAAGAAAAGCCCGATCCTAAGCAAGACGTACGCATGCTCCTGGAAAATGAGATATCAAAGGAGAAGCCGGGCGCCAAAGTGACATTAGTGCGAGTGCGAGTGCGAGTGACCGTTGCCATGATCATGGCTGTGGTCATGGTCGTGGCCGTCGTGGCTGTGGGCTGACTGGCTGCGAAGGCTACCGGCAACCGTCGACTCGGAGCAGCAGCCGCCGGCCGCGCAGTTGTCGACGCACTCCAACAGGCAGGTCTGCTTCAGTGAGCCAACAGAACCGTTGCCGTCGTATTGGACCATCTGCTCCTCCTCGTCGTGATGCTCATCGTCGCCGCAAAACTCGGGCTGGATGGTGGCCGCGTGAATACCGTAGGCGTGGAGGCACTTACGGGCGCGCTTGGCGAGCTCCATGTACTTCTCGCCGCCCTCGGCGGAGATGGGGAAGTTGACGTGAACGTGCAGGGAGGCGACGATCTTGGTGTCGGACAACTGCCAGATGTGGACGTGGTGGCAGCTGAGGACGCCGGGCAGGTTCTGGATATCCTCGCGGACCTCCTGGAGGTCGATGTTATCGGGGGTGGCCTGGAGGAGAACCTTGGAGGTCGCCTTGGTAAGGGGGATGGCGGACTTGAGAATGATGAGTGTGATGAACAGCGAGACGGCAGGGTCGGCGTAGAAGCGGCCGGGCCAGTCGGTCAGCCAGATGACGAGGGCAGTAACAATGACACCAACGTTGCCGAGAGCGTCACCGATGACGTGGAGGACCATGGCGTTCATACCCATATCGGCGTGGTTGTGGCCGTGGCCGCCAGACGCCTTCTTGCGCTCCTTGTTGTGGTTGTGCTCGTGGTGAAGGCTGGACTCGCGTCTCGGGCGCTTGGCGGCGGCGCGACCGCGGTGGCCGCCATCGATCAGGTAGGTTTGCTTGGTATCATTGGACTTGAGCAGAGGGGACTCCTCGTCAGGCTCGCCATCCTCGACAACAGTCTCGTCGACCTCGCTCTCGCTGGCCGACTCCAAACCTTCGGGCTGGGACCGGCTGGCGTCGATGATCTCCTGTCGGAAGCTCGAAGGGTGAATGCTGATATCCTCAATGCTAGTGAGACGCGAGTGGTGACGGGAGCTGGTTCTGCGGCGGTCATGACTCTTGGAAGCGGAGGAGGCATGGCTCGGGGCGCGGCCGGAAGGATCAGAGTCTCGCTCGAACCTTATGCGACGAGACGTGTCGGGACGGGCGGTGGCTCTAGCGACGATGGCCTCGGGGTAGAGGTCGCCAACGTTGCCGCTGTCATTGTTAGCGGCGCCCGCCATGGCGGCGCGGCCTTCCTCGGCAGCGTGCTCGTCGGAGTGGGCGTGGCCATGTTCGCCGTGGTCGTGGGAGTGATCGTCACCGTGAGAGTGGCCGTGACCGCCGAGGACAAAGAAGCCGACAAGGTTCGATGCGAGGCCGAAGGAACCAACGATAAGAATCAGCTGGGGGTTGTCGATCTGGGGAGGGTCGAAGAATCGGCTAACGGCCTCGAGGATGATGGAAACGCAGAGGGCGATAAGGAAGACGGCGTTGAAGAAGGCGCCGAGGATCTCGGCGCGCAGCCACTGGACGAGGAAGTCAGCCCACGACAAGTTTGGCCAAGGGAGGGAGGAAGGGGTGACGTACTCCGTACGAATACTTGTCGGTGGTGGCCTTACTGGCCACAGAGACGGCCCAGAGTCCGACACAAAGGGAAATGATGTCGTTGAGCTACGTCGGTCAGCGATGCGTCGTCGCACACAACGGCGGCAGGGCAGGACGTACCATGTGGAAGGCGTCCGCAGTAAGGGCCAGCGACTTGACAAGCAAACCGACAATCAGCTCGACGAGGAAGAAGACGACATCGATGGCCAGCATGATGCTGATACGCGTCGACTTTGACCACGCCATGACGGGCGATTGTCGAGGTTGGTGGTAGGACGACGGATAAGAAGAAAAGAAAAAAGCGAATCCCGTGTATGAATGAGGTCGAGCCAGTGAGCAATTGTGGTGAAAGTCAAAGTCGCTGTCGCCCGGTGAGGTGAGGATGCGCAGGTCGGGGTGGGAAAGGGCGGAGGGAAGAAGGGAGAGCGGCCGGAAGAGGAGAGAGAGATGCGCGGAGGGGCGTTGTCGGAATGATGATTATTTTTGTATGTATCCGTATCCGTACCGTTGCAGTGCAAATATTAGGTTTTTTGGCCAAAGGTCAGCGGGTCGAGGGGACGGAGAAGCGCTGGTTGAGTGTGGCGCTGTGCTATTACAACCTGGGACGGGGGGAGGGGCGACGATTAGCAAACGAACGGCAGCTCGTCTTTTCTTTTCAGCTTTACAGAGCCCTAGGTACTTTATCTATAGTACTTGTACTTGTTGTTTGACGATGCCGGGTAGCACTATAGGTATCCGTACCGGAGGGGTTTTTTTTTTTTCTTTTTTTCCGTTTCTTTTCTTTCTCTTACTCGGTAGAGAGCTGGAACAGCAACAGTCGCACACTTTTGGAGGCCGACGGGGATGAAAAACAAGAGATGAAAAGATCAAAACACAAGATCGGAATACGGCCGGACGCAAAGACCGCACGATGCGCAGTGACAGCAACGGCAGTTTTGCAAAATGTTGCCGCATGTTACGGAGTTGCAGAGTTGCAGCGTTGCAGCGTTGCAGCGTTGAAGTGCCGGTACAGGTGGGCACTGTATCATGTCTAAACATGGTCTTCTTTTCCTGTTCTCTCCCTCTTCTTATTCCGCTTCCCTTCTTTGCCACTTACTAGATGCTACCTCATCCCTATGCATGTCTTGCTGGCGGAGAATAGGTCGGTCGTGTGTTGCATGTGCTAGCCGCTCCCAGCGCGCAAAAAACAAACAAATGAAAAGGAACTAGGGGCAGGCGACCCCAACTATGCCTGCCTGCCTGCCTGCCTGCCTGCCACCCTTGTGGAACAGGAACAGGAGGTAAATAGGCCAAAGAGCTTTTGGATGGCGTGGTCTTTACTTGACGATGCGCAGGGAGAGGCCTTTTCCCCTGTGGCAGCAATGCGTTGAGAGAGAACAAAGTGCACCCACCACCTCTGCAGCTTTCACTCTCCCTGACAAACGCAAGGCACCCGAGGATCCATCCCTTTGGGACAAAAGCATCGCTGCCTTGGGTACCTAATGTAGCTCCGTACCTAGGTAGGTACCTAGGCTGGAGCATGCATATGATTAAGGCAAAGCAAGGTAAGGTACCTCCTAGCTAAGTACGTAGGTAGTGGTGCAGCACCTGCTCTAGTGTACCGGCCGCCCCAGAGCAATGCTTCGAATACCTATACATAGGTTAGGTAGGTAGGAAGTATACCTAAGGTAGGCAGATATGCACGCCATCGGTCCTCCGCTCCAGCCTACCTAGGTACACGGTATATGCACAAGCCCCTATGTTTATCATCTTCGGCAGGTGGTACCTAGGCAGTACATGTCAGCGTAATGTCGTGGTAATAGGTACCAGGGCACTCCGCAGAGCTTGCGCCTTCCTCCCAAGCGCACGTTCATACTCCTGGTACCGGTATACTACGCGCTAGACGGCTATGATGCAGCACTATTAGAGGCTTTTTTCCGGCACCATCCAACGCACCCCTTCTGCGCGTTTTGTGGTTCGGATGCGTCCAACTGAAGTCTATCCCACCCTAGCCTGGTTTCGCCGCCCCCTCCTTCTCATCCGACTTCCCCCTTGTGATCCATCGATACCCGTTCATTCCGGCCGGTCTGACCGGGGGCCCGTTGTGGACCTTGCCCCTCTCGGGACCCGTTAACTAAACCTTTTCACGACATCTTCCTGGAGGGCCGACGCCAAAGCTTCATCTCCAAGGATGCTTGCTTGAAGGAGGCGGTTGCGGAATCCGGCAAATGCCTCGCCCATTTCGTCTACTATGTCTCTTCTCAGATGGCCCACCATTCTCGATCGCCGTGGAGGACTTGTCAGCGCGGTTTTGGCGGTCTGATTAGGTTGTGAATCCCATCTTGCCAGGATTGCAGAGACTTCATCCCCTCTTGCCCCAAACGTTTTTATCGTCTTCCGCTGTTCTGAAGGAATGCCACCCAAAGCTTGGGTTCTCGGCCGAGTGGCGTTCATCCCATCGGTGATCCGGAAGATTACGCCAAATCATCTCGGAGCCGAGCGCTATTGCTGATCTGCTGCTACTGCCCCGGCGTCGGGCAGCACTGACTCCCCGACAAATCCCCGTTGCTGACGAACACGACCAGGACGGCAGCATACCTGAAGACCGTTGTTAGCACCATTCGGTCTTCTCTCGGCTCTTGGGCGCGTCATCTTACGCCGCTGTCGCCGCAAAGATCTCCGCTCGCTTCGCGCTTGTCATTATGCCCACACTCAACGCAAACACGGTGGTGAAGGCGCATATCATTCCAAGCTTCGCGCCCCAGGCCGTCACGTAGGAGAAGCCCACGATGGCTCCGATGAGCAAGATCGCCGCGAGGATCGTGCTGATGATACCTACCGCCATCGTGACCGACTGTTCCTCGTGTCGACGTATGCCATAGCGCCCTTCGCTCGGCGAGTCGTGCCTGCCTGGCCAGTAAGTACGGACCGCTTCTGAGAGGTAGTCTCGCTCAACGGGCGCTTTCAACGACACCAAATCATCCCCGTCGTCGAGATAGCCCTTCGCTTTGCCGCCCAACTTCGGCTTCGGCTTCTTCCCTGCACGTGGCACCAAGCCGCCATCCAGCCAGTATCGCGTTGCTTCCAGGGCCCCGTTCCTGGGACGATGCATGGCGGCGATCTGTTTTTGCAGGACCAAAGCCTCGTCTACTGCATGGTTACCATATCTGTCCCAGAAGCCGAGGTTGACGGGCTGTAGCCTGTCATTTTCGACCTCGGTAATCGAGTGGCATGGACTCACGATACTCTTTCAGCTTCTCCCTCACCTCGGTCACCGCGGTCATCATCTCACTGGCCATCGAGTTTGGGCGTTTAGCCTGATCCAAAAGCTCCTCCCACGTCCTCGCGGCGTCCTTCAGCTCGATTGAGCCGTTCGGCCATACTTTTTCGTCGATACGCTTGAGCTTTTCCTCGAGCTCCAGCAGCTCGCACTGCAGATATAGTATGTTGCGTGCGCTCAAGTCATTGAACTTCCTAAATATAAACGTCTCTGAATCCGGGTCTTGCGACAGCCATGCCGAGACGCCGGCGAAGCTTCCTTCGCTGCCTTGCGCTGGCATTTTCTTGGGGTCTTCTGTCGTGGCGCAGGAGTCGAGGATGGAGGGCGGAAAGCTGAGCTACTGTGGCAGTGGATGACGGTATCCTATCACAAAGGCGACACAACCAGCTGCAAGGTTGACTTATTTCCATTTCGCCCTGCCCAATGGACTGACGTAACCCCCTCCCACGTGATGTTCGATACTGAGGTACGGATACAAGGCGGTGTGATGCTCGATACAATGGCCGCTGTCCCTCTTTTTATTACTTTCCATCCCCACTCTATCGTGAGTAATACAGTCACTTCTAGTCAACTCTGGATCATTGCTCTTGCATCATAAACCACGCCGAGATACCAAAGGCGAATGCCAATCGACCCGACACCGACCTGGACCCCGCCGTCCTTCCCTTCGATCTCACGCCACTCATCAGCCCAGCATAAGCGAGACCGCAGTTTGCATCATCTCGGACCGACCTTACCCATTACGTCCCCTGCACGCCAGATCGCGCGCGGGTCGGTACCATTACTATGAGCGCGAACCCAGAGGTCATTCCCGACTTGGCCGATCGCATTACAGATCGTCAGCGAGCAATTGCTAGGAGAAAAAGGACATGTCCTATTCCTGGCTGCGGATACATTTTCGCCTCAGCATCCACACTAGATGCTATCTCCAGGCATTTCCAAGACTTCAGTCATAATACAACTGACGAGGCTGGTAACGATTTGATAACACAAACATTTTTGCAGTAGGCTATTAGTAGTAATCGCTTGGCTTTCTAACTTCTAACCTTTGCTGCCTCAGAATACAAGATCGTCGAGGAGGCAACCTTCAGGCAACCTCTGACGAAGGCACATCTCAGCCTTGCAAGTCTGGACGGCCTAGAGACCGTAAGCCTACCACGCCAAGTCATACTTACAATCACTCTTCCAGGGAAGACAATACAGAGCTTATAATTAAACAGCCTGAAACTCGTCTCATTAGCCAAGAACAGCTTGTGGCGGAAGTCAAGGGTATATACGCTGGGCTTGTTATGGTAGAGAGCAAATGCGTCGAGGTTAACAACGCTCAGTCGTCGAGTAAGGATACAAGCCTAATATTAGACAACGAGCAGTGGCAGGCGCTGATTGCTCTGCATCGCACTTTGTTACATGAACACCAAGATTTTTTCTTGGCATCGCAGCATCCTTCTGCTAGCCCAGCTTTACGCCGGTTAGCAAGCAAATACGCTATGCCAGCGATTGACAATGACCAATCGTCGACTAAGCATACAGGCCCAACGATCAAGGACAAGCGCCCTTCTAATTGGGGTCGGAGAAGTATCATGACGCCCCGGGATTTCTCTGGAAAGCGGCATCATTGGGTTGAGGGAGCGATTGGGGGAGTCAAGATCCAAGCCTTGCCAGATACCGGGGCTGAATACAATTCCATATCGTCCGGCTTGGCAGACCGGATGGGACTCGAACCCCGACCCGGCACCGCGACACAGGTTAAACTTCCGTCTGGACGCCTCATTAAGTCACCAGGTAGCATTCAAGCCCTATTCGAGTTTGCGGGGGAGCGGCGGAGTACCCTCATCGATTGCCTCATCATCCCAGGATGCGTACACGATCTCATACTGTCAAATGCTTTCCTGCGCGCTACCAGGACGCTGACTAAGTTCATTCACCGCATCAAGTCCACGGTCTGCGAAAGCCTGGGGCGCCTACGGCTTAACCTCCTAGGGAGCGAAGGACGTCGCCTGCAGTGCTTCATCAACGACGCCCCTACTTTGGCCCTCCCTGACACGGGGTCTAATGCCATGCTGATCTCTGAAAGCTTTGCGGTTTCCCAGGGAATGCGTATTGACAGGAGCCCGAGCTATTGCGAGGACCTCGAGTTTGCCGACGGGTCTCGAGGTACGACGTCGGGGATTGTGCGTGGGTTGAAGTGGACTATCGGGGGCACGCAAAGCAGCATCGTCTGTGACTTTTACGTGCTCAGTGGCCTTCCCGTCGACGTCGTGCTCAGCGGCCATTTCCTGTTCGAGCTCCAAGTCTTCTCGAGGTACGAACATTGCATGGTCCAGCACGATTCTGCCGGAGATGTCGCAAACCTATACAATATCAACCTCATTCGGAAACTGTTCCAACAACGTATAGAGAAAGAGCATCAAGTCAGCGAGGGCAGTTAGTATCCTAACCCCTCAAGCCACAGCAGTGTAATTGTTAATACTGACACCACGTTTCTTCACAGCTGAGATCACCGAAGACTTCTTTAAGAAGCGAGAAGAGGACGAGCTTCAATTTCGAGACGAGATGAGAGGTCACCTGGACTCTGTGCCCGACCAGGACGAACTGCTCACTGCCAGGAGGTTAGAAAACCGTAGACGCAACGATTGGGAGGAACTCCAGGAGCAGCTCAGACAACAGCTGAGAGTGCAGACTCCAAGCGACGAGGCATCCAACAAGGGTCCGTCTCGAGTCGTGACACGGCAGAAGAAGGCAAATAGGTTCTCATTTTTCCGCAAAAAGAGAGAATCCGTTAATACAGATATTGTCTGAACATTCGGCGTTGGGCAAGCTGCTGGGACACCGCGCGGGGATAGATTAGCACGATGGTAAGCACACCAAGAGGGGTCTGGGACCCAGGGTGATAGACTTTTCCTCTCATACACGGCGGCTTTCTTGATTCCAAGGACTGGCTCAGGCAATAGAGATCTTAGGCTATGGAAACATCCATTTTATTGTAACAGATGAAGTATAGGTAACGCTATTGATACCTAGTATATCCTACCTCCTGTTGAAGAGGGGTTCGCGGGAGTTAACTGTCACGGACGCAGCCAACATCATGTTAGCATCTGTAATTTGGCTTATACCTCTCGTTTTCAGGGAAAACTACTTCCGGCTTGGTGTGAAGTGCACCACTGGAAAGCTTGGTGGTAGATCGTCGGGCCAGTTGTTGAGAGTGTGCCTCATCCCGCCGCGCTTCTTGGTGGAAAGGGCGACTTACCCACGACTGTCATATGATGTGCATTTCACGTCAGAAGAGAAGGGTGACAGCCAGCGCCCGTCAAAGATTTCACTTGCACCTCTGTCTGCCAAAACGATTACTCTCATAAATGTGCCAGCCAAAGAGCCCTGACGATGCAAGAGCCGTCACCTTTCGATACCTGCAGAAGGCCGTGACACAGAACACTCCCCCCCCGCCCCCCCGAGCCTATTTCACGAGCACACGAGATTTCGCAACCGCCTCGCCTCGCCTCAAGCTCTCTCCTCCAGAGAGGCGGCCAGCAGCAGGTCAAACGGCGCGGACCGCCCGGCGACGGCGCGTTTCGCGCCCATGGAGTGCCGCCTGCACGCCAACGCCGCGCCGCATCTGCGATTCTCGCCTAGCGAGACCCCGCACTGGCGCTCGATGTCGACGGGACCTGGAAGAGAGGAGGGCGGATCAGGTCGGCTGGGCGGGGCACAGGTAGGGTATACGAGATTTCGTTGCGAAAGAGAGAGAGAGAGAGAGAGAGAGAGAGAGAGAGAGAGAGAGAGAGAGAGAGAGAGAGAGAGAGTTCGGACGTACGCACACGTGGCTGACGCCTCCTCGAAGTCTGTACCGCCGGTGCGATAACCGCCGCGTCTTCGTAGGGACGGGGGGCCATGGGGTCGTCCGCCACACGCAAGTCATCCTCCGGACGGGCGGAAGCCATGTCAGGCAGGCAGGCAGGCAGGGGCGGAGGCAAGCGGTTGGAGAGGAAATCGAGATTGCAATCAATACAAAACCGGCGATCCTGCAATTAGTCTCTTCACTGGGCAAGGATTATTTTTGGAGGTTTTGTATGCTTTTAAGTAATCAGGTACCTCCCTCAAGGAGTAGAGTCGAGAGGCGCAAAACGCAAGAGAACAAAAGTCCCGAGAAACATGCACGTTTCGGATGAGTAGGAGGCAGTGTGTGCAGTTCAGTGTCCGGATGAAGTGACGAAGGTGAAGATGGTAGGTTTTGTTCTTCCGCGCGGCGGCGGTGGCGACGAACGGCACGTGGGCTTCTGCCTGGAGTGCGGCAGCTCCGCCGGGTACGGACCAGTCAGTACCCACTTTGGCCCGTCTCCGAACCGGGGCCCGGGAAGCCGTCGGCTGTTGCACAAGCCCTTGAGTTCCGACGCTCCGTTGCACTGACGAACACGTTCCAGCTCACGAATCTGCGGCGACAGGACAAGTAGAACATCAAACCCTGTCATCAACCAAATGTCCCCCCTCCAAAGATCGACGGTGAAATGCGCCAGGGTCGACGCTGTAAACTCTGGAGGCTTTCCGTGTACCTCATAAACCTCCAAGTCAGAAGGCTAGAGGCCCTGTATGGTTGTGGATTGGTGGGATTACTCTCGACCACGGCGCAGCACCTAAAAAGCAGCTCGGCCTGGCTCGGTGTGACCCCCTGCCGTGTTCCGAACCAAGATTCAGAGGCCGTGTCGTCTATACTATTTACTAAGCTAAGAAATCTGTTCTTATCGGCCCGTGACTATTTTTTAAGTCCCCTACCCATCTGAAATGCTGACCGGCGATAATCTTGGGCATCGTGGTCCTACGGCAAGCTTCTGTCTGTGTGCTAGGTAGCTTTATCCGGGTTAATTTGAAGACCATGGTACTTTACGACTAGGGAAGCGCAACGGCTGATAGTCCAGCGCTGTAGGATCGACTGGCTAATGGGCTGCACCTTCCAGGGCCATGAGAAATGAGAGGGTCCTGAGTAGCAGGTATATCACCCGCCCGAAGATTCCTTTACGACGTCAAGCGCAATCAAGAAGCCAAGAAAGACGACACTAAGCTAGCATATCTCGTCAGTCGCAGGACATCCCCTTACTCGCCGTGACGTATAGTGTTCGGCCAACAACATACCATGAAGCAGCCCGCCGCGATTGTCATGATTTCAAATCCCCCGGACAACGTCTTCCCGAGAAGCAAGGCGTGCTGAATCCTCCAGACCCGGAGGGCCCCAAGCAGTGTGACGCATATGGCAAAGCAGTAGCACGCGGTGGCCAGCGGCTTCCCGATCGCCGCGTACCCAAACCCCGAGTCTGACGGCTGGAGGGCGAAGAGCTGCACTACCACCGTCCCCAGGGTAGCCATCACAACACCCGTGCAAAGATATCCTAAAAAGGTCCGCTCTAGAGCTTGGGGGGGCGGAGCAGGATATGTTAGCTGAAAACTTGGATCCGACGGTCGGAAATAAGGGAACAGGCGAAGGAGGGGGGCTCTTGAGGGGGTAGGGGTCGCGGGAAGCTTCTCCGACCATGCGTGCTGTGGGTGGCACTCTGCTATGAGGCATAAGATTCGGAAGGGATCCAAGTGGTGCACCGGTAAAGGGACGATCTAGCCTTGAACGGCGGTAAGACGCAAGTAGTAGAGCGCTTCTTGAGCCCAACACTACCCTTTCAGCGTCACCGAGTTCGATGTACCTGCAGGTTTGGGCGCATAATGTAACATTATATGTGACTGCGCTAGTGGAACAGCATGTCCTTACATGAGGAAGACAGGAGAACACCAGACAAAAAAACACCCTGTCCCAGCGATCAGTGATCACAACGGAATGCTTTGCAACGAACGTTGGATCGTGACGGATGCCCGGGCAACCAAGAAGAGTCGTCGGATCCAGATTCCGGAGCTTGTCGAGGGCCATCACGCGCCGCTGCACACCGGCTACAAGCACACCCTCTTCCCGCTGACCCGGGGCGGCGACAGAAGGAAAAACAAAGGAAGAGGGTGCGGAAACTTCCTCCACACTTAATCTTTGAGCACTTTTATTTCGTTCTACGTGAAACTTCACGAGCAAACATGCGTGCGGGAAACGAACCACAGGCGCAAACCACGTACCTAGATGGTCGCGGCCGGTCTCAAAGTCGACCACCACGCTGACATGCTCGCCCCAGCATTGTCGAATCGCCCTCAGCTTGGCAGTCGAGGCCGGACCCTGGGCCGACGATCCCGCGGCCGAGGCCCGAGTCCCCTCTTTCGTCGTTTCGTCCTGGCCTGACTGCGGCTGTCCGATTCGAGCGTCTTCTTGCTCTTTACGAGGTTGCATCGCTTCATGCGACGTCATCGAGACGGCATCTCCTGGCGGTTGAGGCTCTCGTGGCGTCATTGCTACGGGCCTAGCGTAGGAAAATCGCGATTCTACCTCAGACGGCGTCGGCGGATCATGCAGAGCAATCGGGGCTGGAAGTTGGTTGGTCCCAGGTTGGGCAGTCGGCAGACCAGCTAGCGAGCGATTACTGTAGAGGCGGCTTCGGTGTCACAAACTGACCCGAGGGATTAGCTCTGATGCCCTCCTTGGGCTTGTAGTTCACGAGCTGCAGATATGGCGTGGTGGTGTTGAGGGCCTGCAGTGCGGTGACATGGGCCTCTGGGAGTTTCCCGGCTTGCAGATGATAAGGCAAAGGGTGTGCTGGTCGACGTCCTTGGTAATATTTCGCTTTGATTGAAACAAGCAGAATATTTGGTTGCTACCTAGTTATTATCAATCAACGGGTTTGGGGCTTAGTGGATGAGGACATGCCGAAGATGTTTATTGCTCGATATCGGGAAGCAGGGAAATGCTCGAGGGAGCTGGAGCAAAGTGCTGTGTTTTAGTTAAACAGTCGTATAACGCTATTCTATGCTTCTAGGTTTTTTACCCGAGATTAATTAGGACTAATGAGCTCTCCTTATCCCGAAGTTACGGTAGTTCGTTTGCCGAGTTCCTTTATGACTGTTAGCTCATTTACGCAGACTGGCCAACAATTGACTTGATCTGTTGTGGGTTATTGCCATCTCCTGATTGCCGCAAGCATGAGAAATGGGATTGTTGATGGGAAGAAGATGCCAAGTCTGTACGTACGTGTATAATCCCTGTACTCCGGCATTATCCCTGGACCCTCCCCAATTCCCTTAGTTCATGACGCCTCCCACGGAAGACAGAAGCTTTTTCAGAAGCGTGTCTAACCGGAATGGTGGAGAGTCGCAGGGCAGTAGGGTTCCATCAGAGCGGCTTTGAGAGCTTGTGCGTGGAGAGAAAACGTGGGTATCTTGTTTCTTGTGGGGGCAAAAATGTGTATGTATGTTTCAGGTAGAAACAGGATAAGAAACCCTCCCCTTTTGTCAAGGCACCCGTAGCTACATAGTAGGTAGGTACTTGCCGTTTATGATTGACAACATGTTCGGAGGTTTCCCCAAAGGCAGGTAAGATCAAAGTGTGGGGGGGGGGGGGTTCCTTCCATCGCGCTTCTCGGTGAGAGCCTCCACCACCTCGACGTTCCTTCCGAATTGCTGCACCTTCAGCCAAGACCAAGAGCTACATTACAACACATCATAGACCTCAGTCTGGTCGCTCGTCGTCGGAACCTGGCACGTGAAGCTCCAGTGGAAATGGAACAACATGCTGCGTCTTGCATGAGCCGTCGTTCCGTCCGGTGTCGCATTACATGAGATGAACAACTATTTCAAGCGGGACAGCCATCACAGTTGCTAGGTCGAATCCCTTCTCTTTTTAGACCAGTACATTCTGGGCGAACTCCACTGACAATGTTTCGGTTTATAGAGACGACAATAGGCTCTGAGGCAACGGCATCGGCTCTCCACACACCGGCGATGCAACTTGGCCATGCACAGCATGCAGATTGTGCCCGAAAAAGCCTGCCACTGTATCCGTTCCCGACACATCTACGTGGCCAACATACCATCAGCACAAAGTGACCGCTCTGTGGACGTCTTTGCTGTTACGACCCACCCCCATCAAGTCCGGGACAAACTTGGGCAGGCCAGGCACAATCGCTACAATGCCGACATTGGTGCACCCTCCTTCTCACCGACACAATCTGTCGGCGGGAAGCACCAGATGTCTCGCATCCAGTCAACTCGTTCCTGGGGATTGTTCCACGATTCATGGTAAGACGATTCGCCTCGTAATCAGTCTAGTCTGCTGATCGCGGTGTTGCGACCGTAGTCCGGCTCGCAATGTATCACAACGGCCACTTTCCTTTTTCAGCCAAGGTGTGAGAGGTGTAACCAACCAACTGCATAGAATCGACGATGCGTTGATATCAGCAGCAGCAGTCTTGGGGAGGTTCGTAAGTTATCACCTGCTGGCTGAACGCACGACTCGGAACCAATAGGAAAGCTTGCCGGCCATGGCCGTATGCAAACGGCATGACAAGCGTCTGTACGTGTAAGTACCTAAGCCGACCCATTCGCAGACAGGGCAGGCCGCTCTTCTGGAACCCGGAACCTCGAACTCCACTTCCTCCAGTGCTATCCCGGCAGTTTCTGACCGGGCCAGCCAATCCTACCTGATCTTGGGGGCGAGACGGGCCGCTGTGCCGCAGTTTTGGTATCCTTTCACAGGATTCTCAAGGTTCACGCAGAACCCAGGAAACCCACCAACATCTTTCTTTCTGTTGGTCGTGCAATTCCACGTCCGTCTTATCCTACCATCCGAGATACTGTGCCTCTAGCTAGCATCGCCACCAACAAGACGGCATTCTAGGTGGCCGACTGCAGTCTTTTATACCTCTCGTCAATCGACAACCCGGGACGCCGGCCGCTGGCGGAGGCGGGTGAGGTGAAACCTGTCTGCGTGATCACCGTCGACTGGGTGCGCACTACGAAGCCGAGCTACAGATTCAGCAACGCAGGGCCGTCGGACTACATTTCCTGAGGATGCACATAACCAATAGATGAACCAGTGCCTGCATCATTGAAGAGTGTATGCTGCTTCCTAAAATTAACGCATTGAGCGTTGCATTTTCGACGACACTGCCAGTCAATATTTGGTAAGAGCAAATCGCCAAATGCAAGCCACGAGTATCTTTTTCGGCCTTGGGACAGACATCTGCGACCAAGGCCAGCCTGTCCGACATCCCTGGATTCCTTGACCACGCGGCGAAGGCTGCCGGCCTCCCGGGGTTATCTTCCTCATGCCAGTGGGTAGCCCCGGTTGGGGAAACCATGCTGAGATCTTGGTCCCTTAGCGTTGTACCACCTGCTCTCCTCGAGATTTCGCTAGGTTGTATCTTTTCAGCAAGACCGACAGGCATATGCGGCTAAGCAAGGAGGGTACTTTGGCCAAGATGCTACAGCCAGGAACGGTGTCGTAGAAAAATTCGTCGACAGGCAACGCCAGGCTTCACTCGGCTCAATCCAATGACGGCGGTCTGATGTTACGCAGATGGCAACCAGCCTATTGGAAGAGGCACAAGAAGCTGCAGCATCAAGGTCAACAAGGCACAAGAAAGGTTCCTAATCTCACACCCCCTGAACGGGCTGACGCGAGACAAAACAGCGCAGCCCCAACTCCCCCACTCACGCCAGTCTGTTCGTGGTCAGTTGTCCACAAACCCATGTTTTCTCTCCCCAACAACCCCAATTACTTGCCTATCAAACTGCTTGCCTTTGACCGCTCGAACGGACCGCTCCTACCGATGTGTTTATATCACTCAAGAGTAAGCCTCCCGTGAGCCAGCGCCAACAAGAGAGTACAGTACAAGCATGGATTTGATGGGGCTGCACCACTGTACAGGGCAAGGTCTGACGGAGAAAGTCAAGTGACTCGACTCGGAGCAAGTCCGTAATTCTAGTCCCCTTGCTTTCGGTGGATTAACCGTAGGTAGTTATTCCTGGCCTGCATATGACTCAATGCCCTTGTCTTGGTGGACGAGCTTCCCATCCCAGCTGGTAATGTCGCCATGCACCACTAACCGTTCCGTTTCCTATCGTCGCTAGCCGGGGAATTACTCTCAAGCATCCGACAGGTCATAGATGAAGCCTCTGTTTGGCAGCCATCTCGGGTGAAAGTTACGCTCCGTTCGATGCTAGTCCTTTTACGTCTGACCCGGTGGTATCTTTGGTCACCGTGTGGTTCCATTCTTACCCCCCTCCGTATCTCTTTCTATCGCTCTTGTATTAGCCTCCTGCGTTGTTTACGGCTATTTGATGTTTCTTTCATATTGATGATCGACTTCATTTATTGCGGATAAACATCGGACACGTGTGGGCAGATATGGACGTGTAATCTGCCCACGCACCGGTTCTCATATAAGTCTTACATGGTTCCGTGCCGTCTCTGGACTTTGTCTATACCCTACTCCGCCTACCCAAGATCCAAGATATCGAAATTTGGCGACTTCGTGAAGAACCGACTTTCGAGTTCACAGCATATAAGTCTCTCAGCCTTTTCTTAGCAGCATCCTTGCTTTCTACGGTTGCCATCACCGAACCAGAACCCATCACATCTGCTTCATCACGAGCCCCGGCATCCACTGACGGAGGCCCCATCACACCCTTGGGATACTTTCTAGCGAGAGATTTAAGAAGAGAGTTCCGACATCAGTCCCAAGATGGATCTTCTTTCTAGAAGCCACGAGAGCCGCGAAATCGAGCCGCCTGCTTCTCCCCCAGAGACCGAGATAACCAACTCAACGCCGAATACGGTGTTTTCACCGCCGTATAGCCCCAAGCAGAAAACCCAGCAACTTATGAAAGACACCAGAGTTGCGGCAAGGAAGAAGCTGGACCAGTTGACGCTGGAGGAGAAGGTGCGATAAGCCTGTGCGAGCTCCATTTGGTGTTGACCTCCATGCTGACTATCGCATAGGTCTCTCTGCTTACTGCCTCGGACTTCTGGAGAACCAAGTCCATACCTTCCAAGAATATTCCTGCCGTGAAAACATCAGACGGTCCAAATGGTGCTCGCGGAGGCATCTTCGTTGGAGGAACCAAGGTTTGTCGCATGGCCGTCTGGAAGAGCTGGGCATGCTAACCCCAGTAGGCTGCTCTCTTCCCGTGTGGTGTCTCCCTAGCCGCGACATGGAACAAGGAGCTGTTATACGAGGTTGGGCAGCACTTGGCCGACGAGGCCAAGGCGAGGTCTGCCAACATCCTCCTTGCGCCTACCGTCTGTATGCACCGCCATCCCTTGGGAGGGCGCAACTTCGAGTCTTTCTCCGAAGACCCTCTTTTAACGGGGAAGCTGGCTGCTCAATACATTCGTGGGCTGCAAGAAAAAGGAGTCGCGGCAACCATCAAGCGTTCGTGTCCTCATTATATGAAGCGGCGGTCTCCTCTGACAGACTACAGATTTTGTTGGCAACGAGCAGGAGACACACAGACTGACGATAGACTCGCTTATCGAAGAACGCCCGTTGCGCGAGATCTACCTGCGTCCGTTCGAGATCGCCGTCCGGGAAGCAAACCCCTGGGCACTGATGTCGTCCTACAATCTCGTCAACGGCGTTCACGCGGACATGCACAACTTGACGCTGAGAGAAATCCTTCGTGGTGAATGGGGATACGATGGGTGAGTCGAGCCTGGCACAGGGCTGGACATCATGCTGACTTGCGCAGAACTGTTATCTCTGACTGGGGCGGCACGAATTCCACGACCGAGTCAATCATCGCCGGGTGTGATGTTGAGTTCCCGTACTCCTCGAAATGGCGCTTCGACAAGGTGATCAAGGCTTTGGAGGAGGGAATGATTACCCGGGAGGAAATCGATCGCGCCGCCGAGAACGTCCTCACACTGGTCGAGCGCTTGAAAGGAGATGACATGTCGGAAGAGCAACCGGAGAGGGAAGACAACCGTGAATCAACGAGAGAGCTGATCCGCACTGCTGGCGCCGAGGGTCTAACTCTTCTCAAAAATGAAGGCGCAGTCCTGCCGCTGAACCCGAAGACGACAAAGGTCGCTGTTATTGGACCCAACGCCAATCGCGCCATCGCCGGCGGGGGCGGCAGTGCCAGCTTGAACCCCTACTACAGGACGATCCCACTTGAGAGCATCCGTGCCGCGGCCGAGCAGGAGGTGACATTTGCACAAGGGTGTCACATTTACAAGTGGCTCCCGGTGGCCTCCCCTTACTGCACTGAAAAGTCAGGCAAACCAGGCGTCAACATCGACTGGTACTCCGGAGATAAGTTCGAAGGCGAGGTGGCCGTTGTGCAGAGACGAACAAACAGCGATCTCTTCCTCTGGGACTCTGCTCCTCTGAATGAGACCGGCCCTGAGTGGTCAGCGATCGCCACGACCTACCTGACGCCAAAGACCACCGGCAAGCACACTGTCAGCTTCATGAGTGTCGGCCCTGGTAAGCTGTACGTCGACGGAACGCTCGCGCTGGACCTGTGGGACTGGACCGAAGAGGGCGAGGCCATGTTCGATGGCTCCGTCGACTACCTGGTCGAGGTCGACATGGAGGCCGGCAAGCCGGTGGAGCTCAAGGTCGAGATGACCAACGAACTCAGGCCGTTGGCCAAGCAGAAGCAGTTCGGCATCACGCACAAGTACGGAGGCTGTCGAATCGGGTTCAAGGAGGAGGACCAGGTCGACTTCCTCCAGGAAGCAGTCGAGGCTGCCAAGGCGGCTGATGTGGCCGTTGTCATTGTCGGTCTCGACGCGGAGTGGGAGTCCGAGGGGTACGATAGACAGACGATGGACCTGCCGTCTGACGGAAGCCAGGATCGACTCATTGAGGCTGTTGTCAAGGCAAACCCCCGCACCGTCGTTGTCAACCAATCGGGCACCCCTGTCACGATGCCGTGGGTTGACCAAGTTCCGGCCATCATCCAGGGATGGTACCAGGGGCAAGAGGCCGGCAACGCGCTCGCCGACGTCTTGTTCGGGTTTAAGAACCCCAGCGGGAAACTTCCAGTACGTCCCGGTTGCGTTGTTGTGTTGTTGCCGAGGGCGTTTTGCTAACAGTCATTAGTCGACCTTCCCCAAGCGTATCCAGGACACGCCGGCCTACAACAACTGGCCCGGCGAGAACCTGAAGGTAAACTACGGCGAGGGCCTGTACATCGGCTACCGCCACTACGAGAGGGCCGACATCCAGCCGCTGTTCCCCTTCGGTCATGGCCTCTCCTACACCATCTTCGAGTACGGGCGCCCCTCGATCAGCACCAAAACCCTTGCGCCTCGGGGCACAATCGAGGTGGTCTTCGCCGTCAGCAACATCGGTCCGGTGGCTGGCTCCGAGGCCGTGCAGATCTACGTACGCGACGACAAATCGAGGCTGCCCCGCCCGGAAAAGGAGCTCGTCGCCTTCGAGAAGGTGTTCCTGGAGGCCGGAGAGACGAAGCACCTCCACATTTACCTCGACAAGTACGCCGTGGGCTACTACGACACAGCGGTGCCGGGATGGATCGCCGAGGAGGGCACCTTCAGGGTCCTCATTGGCGCGTCCTCTGCCGACATCAAGTGAGTTCTTATCTATCACGTTTGGGGGGGCACGGGACTAACTTCCTACAGGCACTCTGTCGCGTTTGACGTCAAGGAATCGTTCAGCTGGATCTTTTAGTTTTTATCCCCTTGCACATTATACCACGTCATATCCTGCACCCTTGATTTCGTTTTTGATTCATCCGATGCTACGTCTGGTCATATAGAAAGGCGCATGGTTAGTGGGCATATCACACTGGTACCAAACGATGCAACCGCTCCGGCTGTATTCGACCTCCGCTGCGATCCCTCTCATTTGGCATCACAAACCAGCAGCCCCCAGTAGCCAGAGCAGAGCAGAGCAAACGAGGGCTGTGACGAGCCTTTCATATCGCTCAGTTGGGTCTGGGTGGTATCCTCGAGTAGTAAAGTCGATAAATGATGGGGACAATGAAGTAGTTCTGGCACCGTTAGAATGCACATATTACACCTTCGGCCGAGCTGTTCCACCAGGGATGCATGGGGGGTCGCGCGCATATAGGTCTCGTGCAAATATGTTTGATGCTGTTTTCGTCGAGGAGGCTTCCGGCCGCCGTTTTCGTGGCCAAGGATGGGAACCGGCTAGTCCGTGCCAGACGCGTTCCCGTTTGCATCATACCGGCGGCGGGAGCGTCTCCCATTGCTGAGACCCGCGCCCGGCACCATTCAAAATGCACGCGTCCGAGATGGCGGGGTCAGAAACCTCGGGGGACATCCTCCATGGTCCCAGAGGGGGTTAGAGGACGGGAGCTCCGAGTCTGCCCCTATCTCGCATCGTGGGAGGGGGAAGCTCGCACCCGCCTCCCCTACCCCATCCATCGCTTCGCAGTAGCTGTGCCCAACCGGCCGGAGAGCTGAACCGTTTCCACCAATGTAGCCCGAGCTGGTGTTGGAGGGCCTCGGTGAAGGGTGTAGGCGTAGCTGCGAGCGTGTAGGATGTGCCTTTTGGAAGAGTGGGGGGGGGGGGGGGGGGGGGGGGTTGCGGGTGAGACGGCGATGTCGTCAGGGCCACCGTGTTTGGGGCGGGTGATGCCATGTGAAGGGCATTGAATAGATGAAGGTCCAGCTTTCGTGGGGGCGGGACTACCTCGTGATGAACTCTCGCTCCGCGGTGGAGGAAATGGCGGTGTACTCCGGACGACCGTTGGCGTGGTGTGTGATGTGTCGTTTCCATGGATCTAGTTGGAACGGTCATGGAAAAAGGGGAGGGAGAGGGGGTTTGTATCCAGGAACCTTTGACGCGGAGGCAGACATCACCATCCATGGAGGGGGGAAGGTGGAAGGGGTGCTTCATCTGCCACGTCCCAGTCGTCGTTTCCATCCTGGTGGAACCGGGTGAATGGCCATGGCGGTGTTTCTAGAAGGTCACGAGAGCAAGCGCTTTGCTGCCTTGCCCGGAAGGAGATGGGAGGAGGTTTCCGCGACCGACGGGATTCGTGCCTCGGTCTGGTTGAAAGCTGGCGTCGAATTCACGGATTGAGAGGGGGTGGGGACTTTTGTGAGGTTGCTCTTTTTGCGTGCTCGTCCTTTGACTGGTCGACGGCGGGTGTCTAGGTTGGGTGATTTAGCCAGAGGCGAGACCGAGGGGGAAGAGGAGGAGGAGGAGGCGATGCCTCCAGCACCCTCTCACAAGCTACCTTGTGGGGCCGCCTTGGATACGTATATCTCTCACAACCACCTTGCTCATAGTCCATAGTCCATCCTGGGTCACCGTTCATCTACAGTACACCAGACACCCCCGCTCGCTCCGGAGGGGCCAGGGTTCCGTGCCGGACTTCCGGTAGGCGCAGGCGGCCCGGCCTCAGCCGCGGGCGAGGCGGACCCCGAAAAGATCGCCGTCGGCGAGGTAGATCTCCTCGACGTGAGGTGGGGTCGGCGTTCCGGGGGGGCATCTCGTCGATACCGGACCTCGAAGGGGGGGTCCAAGTACAGGCTGTGGAAGGACTCGAGGAGGAGGAGGATGCTGAAGCTGCGGGGTGGGATTCAAACTGTTCCATTCTTCAGCGCGTGTTTCGTCGTGGAGGACTGTGGGATGGGAGATAACCCTCGACTGCATATCCTGCGAGGTGGCTCATCCACCTGGCATCCCATTTCTATTTGAAACCCAAGGAGACAGACGCTAGAGGTCGAGCCATGCTTTATGTGTGAAAGGCTGTGTTGTCAGCACACGGGTGGACACGCACGGCATCGTGTCATTGAGTTACTGATCGGTCTTGCCCTTATCCCAAATCCTCAAATAAGTTCCATGCTCGTCCAGTCAGTTTGCCAGTCTCGGACCAGAGTTCTCTCTCCCGCCGTCTCGGGGAACTCCTTGGTGCAGCAGTCAGCAAAAAAGGGGCCGAGCTGCCCAGACTGGACTGGAGCTTCCACTTCCAGCAGGCACAATGTCAGAGCCCCACTAGGAGGGGCTTCCTTCCCGGCCGAGCTGTCATTGCTATTGTCAAAAAGTGGACCCACCCGCTTTCAAGCAACGTTTCCAGCGTGTGTCGTCGCCCCCCCTTTGTTCATTAGTGGAGGGCATTGCGCTGTTGAACTTCGGCACTGGACCCGGGGCCGCCCCAGTGATGCGCTGCTTGGCTGCTGTCCAGGCACCCCCCGTGCGCATCGTGATTCGTGAATTGATTGCATCTGGGCGCAACCTCTCTTTCTCTCTCTTCTCGTGCCGCCACGCGTCATCATCTCCTTTCCTCTCCTTCGCTCCAAGTCCGACCAAGGCTTGGAGATTCTCTAAGCTCTCCGACGCAGGCGCCCGACAGCCGAATTGTACCATCAGACGAATACCTTCATTTTCAGTTGCCTTGATCAAGATTCCTTTTCCACCAGGACTAAAGTTCCCACGTCGTTTGAACCGTATTCCACCTATATCCGCCACCTAATCCAAACAACTCCCCAACGGCGTTACAGGCGACGATCGCGCGAGCTCCCGTACCCGCACCCACATACACCAAACATCCGGCGTACGCAAACCCGCCCATCTCATACCTTTAGTCCGTGATACGCGGCGCCAATCCATTCCAGGGCCGCTCAGTGGACGAAAACGAAAAAGCAAGAAAGGAAAGGGGAAAAAAAAAAGATAAGGGAGCGCGCCGCTGCAGGGGAATGGCAGGCGGGCGCACAGCATGGCTCCGCCTTACAGCAACGGCAACGGTTACGCCCACAAGGGGTCCAAGTCTGCCTCTTTGCCTTTCAAACTCCATGACGATGCTGCCAGCTTCCGCGCCCGCCTCCGACCTTTGCTTGCTGCCGTAGTGCGACTGGCGAGAACAATTTGGGTCTTTTGGCAGACCCGCGGACGACGACTGGCCGCCAACATCATGCGGCAGAGTGGTTGGCAGTTGAGGCAGAACTTGACTGCGCGCCGCCTCCTGAGCTTCCCGCATCTGCTGGTGTGTCTATGGTTTCTTGTGCTGCTTTGGGGCGAGCGATGGGTTTTCGGGAGCCGAGTCGCCCACTGCAAATGGAGCAACTGGGAAGATTGGGTATGTCACGTCCGCCTCACACGCGCCTAACAGTATGGAGATGCTGATGCTTCGCAGCCCGCCGGAGCGAGCCCGCACCACCTCGTCTTCGTTGCCGACCCCCAAATCATCGACCCCAAATCCTACCCCGGCCGGCCCTGGCCCTTGTCCGACCTGACGGTGTTGATAACCGACAACTACATGCGGAGAGGTTACCGGCAGCTCCAGTCGCAATTGCGGCCCGACTCGCTGTTCTTCGTGGGCGACCTCTTCGACGGCGGACGGGAGTGGAAGACGGCGCGCGGTGATTTCAAGGATCCTGAGTGGGCCGTCAGCCGGCGACCCAAGAACGAGAAGGACCATGTGAAGAAATGGAACGACAATTACGGCCAGGACTTCTGGCTCGACGAGTACGAGCGCTTCGGCAACATGTTCTTCAAGGACTGGGCGACCCTTGGCGGCACCAAGGCCGGTAACTGGCAAAGAGGGCGCAAGCTGGTGGCCAGCTTGCCCGGAAACCACGACCTGGGTTTTGGCGACCAAGTCAAGGGAGTTGTCCGCGAGCGCTTCAGCACCTACTTTGGGGACGTGAACCGTGTGGACGTCATTGGCAACCACTCCATCGTCTCCGTCGACACCGTTTCCCTAAGCGCGAGCGCCTCGCGGCAGGCCGGCGTTGACTTGGAGGCGATCCACACGCCGGCAGACATCTTCCTGAAGGATGTCCGATTCACCAAACGGAAGGCCGTCGAGAAAGAGCTGCGGTTCTGGAGGGGCGACGTGGAAGGAGTCGTCCACGAACACAAGGTCGAGGAGTTGGAGACGGCGGATGTGAAAGTGCCGACCATTGCGCCGGGTGAAGATGGGCCCGACTTTCCTACGATTCTCCTCACACATGTCCCTCTGTACCGGGACCCGGGAACGCCTTGCGGACCGCTACGGGAGCATTGGCCACCGGCCAAACCACCCAAAGGACAGAAGGGTCCTGTCGTTCCGGACCATCGCAACGCCATCTCGGTTTCGGGTGGTTATCAGTACCAGAACGTGCTGAGCGAGGACGACTCGGTCAAGCTCATCAAAAGCGTCGGCAACGTCGTCCACGTCTTTTCCGGTGATGACCACGACTACTGCGAGACCGTCCATTCTCCTGCAAAGGATAACGTCCGTGAAATCACCATCAAGAGCATCAGCATGGCCATGGGAGTCCCCACACCTGGTTTCCTCATGGTCAGCCTGTACAATCCTGTGGACGCCAACGGCAAACCACTCCCCGGGGCTCCCGAGAAGACATTGCAGACGCACCTTTGCCTGCTGCCGAACCAGCTTGCAACATACGCCAAGTACGCCGGGCTCGTCTTTGTCACCATCGTAGCGATTAGTATCCGCTCGTTCCTGGTGCCTGTGCTCAACTTGACGCCGTTTGCGCTGCAAACCGAGCAGCCGCAAGGCCCGATTCTGCCTACGATCAAGGACAAGGTTGAGGACGATGGGACCTACAACATGAATTCGACATCAGCAAGCTCCGGAACCCGGTTTCTCACATCCTCGTCATCGCGGACCAGAAGCGGATCCATCCGCTCCAACGGCTCGAGCCCCGTGCCGCCGGCAAAGACCAAGCTCAAGAAGCAAGGATGGGGACACCGTGCCCCGAGAATCGAAATCTTTCAAGACGATTTCTACGGCAACACGAAGCCGCGATTGACGTGGAAGGCGGCGTCCCAACGGTCTCGGACGACTCTCGGAAGGGTTGCTCGAGAGATAGGTGCCTCCACGTGGAGAGTGGTCTGGATGGTAGTTCTGTTCTGGGCGTATCTTGCATATAAAGGATAGAAGAGCGATCGCTTCTGAGCGTGTATAATTATAGAAGCCATGGAAGAACTTCATCGTCATTCAGCGGGTTGGTTGCATCGTTTGGCTGGTTGGATGTTGTGGGGTTTCTCATTTAAAACGTAAAAGATCTGTTGGCGGCGTCCGTTTGTAACATGGCTCCTGGGCGATGGCTCAGAGGGCAGTAATGAAAATTTTATTCTTGTCGGGTATCCTCCTTTTGATGCATCGCAACCATTTCTCGGATGCTCCTTTGATCGACAACAAGGTGGAAGGCCCTGTTCAAAGGCAGGCAAGTGCCGCTGATACTCTTCGTGAGTGCCTACCTTACCTAGTTATGGACCTAGAAGCGGAAGGCATGGCATGGGGAAGGAGGACGTACATGCACAAATTCAACTTCCGTACCTTCCTCTTCCTTAGTCGCACCCCCCCGACTCTTTTTCTATTCGAAGCCATGCCCGTCACCCGGCACCTCTACCTCTACCTACAAAACACTCTATTGGACCATCGCCCAGCATCTCCCATCCATCAACAACCGTCCTTTGACTGTTGAAGAAGCCCACCGCCCAAACTTGATCTCCCCCTTAGCCTCACATAGCATATTCCTCCTCTCTGGTTCGTATCTTTCCTCCGCATTCTCGGTCCGCTTCGAACACACCGGCCGACACAGAAACCATGGCAGAAGGCTGTAACCTTCCAGTTCCTGCCCGAGGAGACATCTACACCCACGACGGCGGGCTCAAAATCACCAATGCGGCAGCCAATATTTTCGTCGTCTATGATCGCCAGCACCAGGACGGCGCTCGTTCGCCTTCGAGTCTCTCCGTCGAGTTTGTCATGGGCAATGTCTATCTTATCGATTCTGCCTATTTTGCTCCTTCCAAATGGGGCAATACCCGCCTCTTCGGCAACTTGATCAAGGGTCTCGGCCTTGATATCGAGGGCTGCCGTCGGGGCGATACGTACGTCAAGACGGTCTACGACGATGTTGTCTGCATTGTAGGCAACGAGCGTGGCGATGCCTGCTCGATTGGAACAGTCGCGGGCAATCTCGTGACCGTCTTGGACTTGTCTCAGGTTCTCGGCCATCCGAAGCCGCAGAACGTAACCATCTCCTACATTCATGGTCTGAAACTTTACGAATCTTACCTTGCCTACGGTGGTGGCCTCCATAGGGCCTATTCCACATGGGCCTCGATGACGTTCTCCGCAACCTCAAGAGCCTCGTCCATCCAATTATCGGAATCCTGTGTCATCAAAAGCGGACGACTCTCGAGCAGTGCTGATAACTCGGCCATGGTCGAACATCGTTTGGCACCGGACCAACATAATCAGGCCCATTCCACTGACCGGCTCAACGATGTCAACACCAGCCAAGGGGAGGCTTCGCAGGAGATTGAAGACGCAAAAAGACAGATCGCTACTGTTGCCCAATCCATCGATTTGCGGAAGCCTGGTCTACTTTTACTAGACAAGGGCTTTGGTTTCGCTGACCATTCCAACCGTGGCCGGTTCTCCGTTGGCACGCCGCTCATATGTGTCAACTGTCAAAGAACAGGACACGAAGCCCGAGACTGCATTGGCCCGGTAGACGCCGATGGATTCATCGCCGCCTGCCCACTTTGCAACAAAAATGACCATATCTATGATCAGTGTTATCTAAGAATGAAGCTCAAGGCCTCGGAGAAGAAGGCAATGAACTTCGAATACTTGGTCTTGAGGCGACAGAACAAGGCCCCCGTCAAATCCAACATTTGTTGGATTGTCGCCTGGGCTAGGTGCGAGTGTCCGCGGATCATCCTGCCACATACCAGAGCGTTCGCTCTTGAGCTGTTCAACTGCAAGACGGCCATGTCTCCGTATCCGGATTGGAGAACCTATCGCTACCCTGCATCTGCAGCTGAAGTCAGGGCGGAACACGGCTTGTTGCTTCGCGACCCAGCCACTGTCTACGAAGGCGGAGAAGGGTGTTATCTCAGCCCGGGATCCCAATGCTCCTGTTTCATTTCTGATTTTTGCGCAGTCAAAAAGAAAATGGAGCAACTGGGTGTCAAGTTTCACCCAGAGCTTCGGAAAGCCGCCAATAACGTGCCCAAGAAGAGGAAGAAAAAGAAAATTACCAACAACCAGACGGAAGGGAACCCTTTTGCCACCGGTGCCAACTGTAACGTTCTTCAACGCCCTCTTCCACCGGCGCCGCCTGTGAGCAACGCGGCTTCAATTAAAATCAAACAAGAGCATGATAACTGAGGTCTCGCCGACCAAGTCTGTTTCTTTGTTTGGTATGACTGCTGCTTCCAGGCTGCAACGTCATGTCGTGTTAGGTGCTCGCGCCATGTTTCGATGTATGTGGCATCATCTCTAATGTATGGCAGTGAGGACCTTGGGGTTCCAGAAGATTGACGGACGATGCTGCATTAAGCATGAAGAGATGCCGGTTTCAAAGCTAGAATTAACAACGGTTCAATAGAAAATTTACAATGCGTTCACCAAATGGCTTGTTTACATTGGCCAGAAGTCTGGCATGGGAAGTATTAAGTAATACTGTTCGACGTTTTCGTTTTCGTCTGCCATCGCACTTGTTTCGTCCTTCGCATCGCGGATAGGGTTAGCCTATTTGTAGAACAAAGTCATCGACCATACCTATGTTGGTCTCTTGATTGCATCCGTGGAACGAACGACAGGGAACGCTGTCGTACCAGTATCAATTCAAAGTTGACGCAAGCCTGTCGCAAGGTTAACGGGAGCTTCGTGCGTTTCATGTCCGCTGCTTTGGCACCGGCTTAATCATTAGGTTCATTCCTTCACCCCTCGGAAACGTGTCTGGAGCCATCAATTTTTGGACTCTCAACGTGGCCCGTGTTCGTATTCGCCATGATGAGACGATGGCAATCCGGTTGATTGCCATCAATACCGCGCTAATGGGCATATATAACTGTCGTTCCCATATTGAAAGCTGCAAGGTTTTGTTGCATAGCTAGACTAGATCGGTGATTATCTGTTTCCATACGAGATAGCATCCTACAAGATGGCGATAACCAAGAGTTTCGGCCAGGCATTATGCCTTTTTATAGGCTTTGTAAGTTCATTCCCACAATGAGCTGTCTCCATGAACGATGTGGCTTCAAATCGGATAAGACGGTGCCTAAACATGTTCCCTTGACGGGTCTCATAGACTGTTCTCTATACCGCCTCCTACATCATCTACAACCTCTTCTTCCACCCCCTCCGCCGCTTCCCGGGACCGCTCGCCATGCGCGCCACCCGAGCGGCGTACTGTTACCGTCTCTGGCGCGGGAAGCTGTCCTTTGACATGCTCGAGCTGCACCGACAGTACGGCGACGTGGTGCGCGTCGCACCCGACGAGCTCGCGTTCGCGGACCCGTCGGCGTGGAAGGATATAATGGGTCACAGGACCGCCGGCGGCGTGAGCGGGGTCAAGACGCTGCCCGAGTTTGGCAAGGCGGCCTCGTTTTACCGGCCGCTGCCGGGTTTTCCGCCAGACATCATCACGGCGGATGAGCAAGAGCACGCGATGCTGCGGAAGCAGTTGGGCCCCGGGTTCAGTGACCGTAACTTGAGGGAGCAGGAACCGGTCATTATGAAGTACGTCGACCTCTTCATCCAAAAGATGCGGGAAGCTGCCAAAGGCTGTCAAGGTCCCGGACACGGCGATGGCGATGAGGCTGTGGCAGGGAAAAACGGCATCCGGCCTGAGCCGAAGCAGGAACAACCGGTCGATCTGACGCTCTGGTACAACTATATTACCTTTGACATCATCGGAGACCTCGCCTTCAGCGAGTCGTTCGGGTGCCTCGAGAGCGAGAGGCTGCACCCCTGGGTGAAGACACTCTTCCTGATGGTCAGGACCGGCGTGGCGCTGCAGACGGCCAACCACTTCCCGATGCTGCGGAGGCTGATCACGGTGGCACTGTCGACGCGGGTGATGAGGGAGCGAATGCAGAACCACCTGGATATGACGATGCAGAAGCTTCTCCGAAGGGTTGAGTTGGGGGAAAGGGAGGGACCGCAGAACGATATAATTGAGGCGTTGTTGAAAAAGAGAAAGGAATGGGTGAGTTTGTTTTCTTCCGTGAGCAGGCCTGCTGGCATTTTCCGCTCTTTTCTCCTTCCCCTTGATGGGCTAAGGAAGAGCAGAGCTCTCATATGATGGACGGTGACTGATTCGGGGACTTTCTCATGTTTGAACAGGGCCTCTCACTTAGGCAAGTCGACTCGAACGGGAACATCATCATCATCGCGGGGTCCGAGACGACGGCGACGCTGCTGTCGGGCGTGACATACCTGCTCATTAAGCACCCCGAGAAGATGAGGAAGGTGGTCGGCGAAGTGCGGGCGGCGTTCGAGAGGGAGGAGGAGATCAACCTCACGTCCGTCAACTCGCTGACGTACATGATGGCCTGCCTCGACGAAGCGATGAGGATCTACCCACCCGTCCCCACGGGGCTCCCGAGGACGGTGCCGGAGGGCGGGGCGACGATCTTGGGGGAGTTCGTCCCCGAGAAGGTAAGTTTTTGTCGGCCGTCGACGCGGGATCGGTTTGCCAGGGCTTTCTTGTTCGGGAGGAAGGATGTTTTGCTGATACGTGCCGCCGCCCCTCCCGCAGATGACGGTTTCCATCCACCAGTGGGCCATGTACCACAACGAGAAGAACTTCAAGGACCCCTTTGTCTTCCATCCAGAGAGGTTTCTAGGGGACCTCAAGTACGCGTCGGACCGGAGAGAGGCGTTCCAGCCTTTCCACGTTGGGCCGCGGAACTGTCTTGGGAGAAGGTGAGTCGGGCCCCTTTTTGATGCTCCTCGTGATTTGTCCCGTATCATGAGGCTTCGGGCCCTGTCCTGACTAACATGCGGCGATGAAAGTCTGGCCTACTTCGAGATAAAAACCGTCCTGGCGAAGCTGCTCTGGAACTTTGACCTGGAGCTCGCGGAGGACAGTGAGGAGTGGATGGAGACTCAGAAGATTTACACGATATGGGAAAAGGGGCCTCTGCATGTTTACCTGCGGCCCGTTGCGAGAGGTTGATGTGATATAGTCGGACCACCATGAGGTGTCTGTGGCTGCATCATGTGACTTCACAGTTTGCCTCATAAAAAAACCAATACACACCAACAGGAGCCATTTCGCGGAACAGTTTACAAGCGACTCTTGCTCTGGGCAAAAGTATGGTTATTTGTCTACTTCATGCCCAACAAAAACCCTTGAGTCCTTTCAAGTCAGATGCGCCCCTCCCCCCCCTCCCCCCGGAATTTTGTTGTCGGTGGGACCATGGTTACCAAGTGCAGTCTTCATCCTATTTGCACATTCTCATTTACCAACAAAGGCATCGATGCGGTTTCACTATATCCTCTGGTATATCACTAGGATACGGATACTGACCCCGCAGACGGCCCTGTCCGTTCCAGAAACGAGCGCCACGTGGTATTCGGCAGCTAGCCCCTTGGCTCAATTGCGGGTGCTGTGCTATGCATGGTGGCTGTTCAACGGGGCTCAATGGAGTTCGAGTCATGAGTAGGAATGGCGGGAGCTTGTGAGCTTACTTATTAAACGTCCCACGATCCCTATCCGAAACCCGGACGTCTGCCAGTTTAACAACATTCACCAGATCATCTTCCTCTCCCTACAGGAAATTCCTTCTCGGAAGGTAACAATCAACACGATGGCGTCGCCGACGGTGGCAAACATGCAGCCCGAGAAGAAATATATCCTTCGCATCGTCAGGTCAGCCTGCTCAAGCTCTTCCTGCTCATAACATGTTGTTCCTGGGGCACCACTGACGGGGTCCCGCGCACAGTGACGAGGGCAGTCTCAGCAACGCGACCCTCTTCCTCGGCAGCGATGGGAGCCTGGTCTTGAAGACGGCCGGTGCCGGCGCCGGCGAGCCGCCCGTCGTGGTGAAGAGCGGCCGCAACCCGTCCACCATCGCCATCGACGGCCCCGCGGAGGAGGCCCTGATCCTCCAGGGCCCACCCGGCAAGGGAGAGCACCGGCTCAGGGCCTCCACGAGAGTGACCCCCTTCGGCGTCGGCAGCGCCATCTGCCACGACGCCTGGGAGGTCGCGCGGGACGCGTCCGGCCAGCGGCTGCTGCTGCGCTACAGGAACGAGAACTTTGGGGACCGGAGCTGGGTGGCCGTCCCGCCCCGGGAGCCGGAGGACGGGGGCGCGTGGACCGTCTGGTGGTACGAGCCGTTGCCGTTCAACGTGCAGGACTTGCCGGGCTACGTCGGGGTGGATGTGGAAGTTGTCCCTGTTTGATGACAATGTGGAGGAGGGCCGACTGTTTGGTATCACTGGAGTCGCGATGGCAATACCGGCTCAACTGCCTCGGAACGCCGCGTTAAGATATTTCTGCTTCAAAACCCCTTTCCTCTGCGTCTTGCTCAAAACCCCAACCGAACAACTGAAGTAAGGGTTCGGGAATACGCCCACAACAGTACCGGGCAACGGGGTAAGTTTACACAACATCTTCCAAGGCCCCCTGTTGACCGCAATGGCCGAACCTGATGATGATGACTCTGCGCTGAATCTGAGAAAAGGATGTCATGTTCAATCATGTGTCTCGATCTGATGGCATCAATCGTCTGTCAACTACAGTGCTGCTCTCCACCGCGTCTACTCGGATCGCGCAGCCATCATCACTCCACAACTCGTCTCCCAGCTCCCGTTCGACGTTTGCCCCTCTGGCCCAGAGTCATTTGAAATAGCCACCGTTGGCGAACAAGCCTTTGGACTGTTTCGGGGTCTTCTCCGCCGCAACAGGCTTTGTTCTGATGGGCTCCAAGCCTACGCTCCTGTAAGCCTCCCATAGGCGCCTCGACACTGACAAAGAATTGTCCTCGTCGTTCGTCGTGCCGGCCCACTCGCGGAACTGGACCTCCAGCAGCTGGGAGAGCGAGGGAACCTTGCCGGTCTCGCGCATCTCCTTGACCCACTGGAGCATGGCCGTGTAGTACCGCTTCGCCAGGCTGAAGAGCCGGTCGTTCATCAGGTCGGTGTCGGGGAGCGTCAGCGTGGCGAAAGTGACGCCGCGGTCGCTTTCCCCGTTGATGGACGCCACGGAGATGCTGAACCGGACGGGTCTGGGCCGAGAGTGCGCGGGGCCCGGCCCGCTGGCGAGGACGGGGGCATCCGGCCACGCGATCTGGTCCAGGTCCTCGCTCGCGCCCGGCAGGGGCAGGGGCACGCTCCAGGGCTGGATGCCGTGGGCTCTCTGGAACTCGACCAGGAAGGGGTTGTGCAGTGTCCACTCTGTCCACTGGTGCAGCGGGCCGTAGACCTCGGTGACGAGGTGGGTGAGGAATCGATCGATCGTGCTGTTGGCGTACGTGAAAAGCAGATGGGTCTGGGTCTCGAGACGCACCCAGTCGACGAACGGGGCCTTCGTGTGACTCGGGCCCGCGGTATCGCTAAGCCAATTGTAGCTGAACGTCGTGGTTTCCGGCGCAGTGTGGAATCCTGCCGCACGTCAGTTCGACTCCGACGGCTCTGCTAATTTATTTGTGTTGGTACCGTGTTGAGCCCGGAGAGCTCTCATGAGACGGTAGAGGATCCAGTTCCAGTTCATGTCTGGACCCTCATAAGCCATGGTCGGCTTGGTTTGCTGGAAGAACTCGACAATCAGCCGGTCCGCAATGTAGCCCTCCTTGATGCGGTTCGCTCGGAGCTTTCTGAGGTCCCAGTAGAAGAAGAGGAACGCCTCCTTCCAGTCGACGAGGTCCGAATCCATGCTGACTTTCTGGGTCATGTTTGAGGGGTCTGCGGCGAAATAGTCGGGAAAAGTGAGAAACACACGGAACGCAGCGGGGAAAAAAGAACAGCAGCTTTTCTGTTCTCGTTCCTGGTTCTTTCTGATGACTTATAACTACCCTCCCCAAAGCGTCGCAGCAGTCGACTATGCCAGGCCCAACCGGCAAACACCTGCAGGCAAACAGTGCTCGCATTTGCCAGCAAACACCGCGAATGTGGCGGCCTTGACAAACATGCAAACACTTGGCTATCGCCAAAAAACCGTCACAAGCGGGCCGGGTGGCCGGGGCTGTGCCATTCCATCGACGCCCACACAAGGGTTGACGACTACGTTCACTCAACGACTCCCCCCCTCCTGTCAGGGAACCGCCCTCCCACCCCCTACCCCGACAGAGTTCGTAGCGTTACCGCTTTCTAGACCTTCTTTTTCACCATGAGAAGAACCCCGGCGACGCTAGTGACGATGGCGGCCTTGCTCTTCTCCACGCCTGCTTCGGAAAGCAGGGTCTCGATTGTCTCCCGCAGCATCTTGACCACGTCCCGCTCTGTCCCGATGGCGTCTGGGTGCGCCTCGCGCCACCGCATGACGGGGCTCACCGTCTCCAGGAACTTCTCGATGTCGTCCATACCAAACACCTGCTGCGCCAGGAAATGCTCGTCCCCTGGCGTCAGCACGCCGTCCTTGTTCCATTCCCTCCGGAAGAAGGCGCTCTCTTCGAACTCGGTCACCGGCTCCTCTAGCGTCCAGGGCAGCGGCAGCGTCGCGTACAAGGCGTCGACCATGTGGTTCCCGGGGGCCATGTACGGTAGCAGGTGCTCCTGGCGGAAGGCGAGCAGCGTCTCCTGCAGGCGCTGGAGGTTCGGCGTCGCGGGGTGCACGTACTTGGCGGACCCCGTCCAGATGGCGACGGACCCGCCCGGCTTCAGCACGCGGGCGGCGGCGGCCCAGAAGGCGGGCATGTCGAACCAGTGCGCCGCCGTGGCCGCCGTGATGAGGTCCACGCTGGCGTCGGGGATGGCGGGGGAAAGTGCCGACCCCAGCTCCTCGGCGAGGGAGACCTCGAAGCGGATGGGCTCCGAGGTCGCCGAGACCCCGCCCAGGGACCGGGCGGCGACGATCATGCCCTCGGCGGGGTCCAGGCCGATGGCCCGTGCGAATCGCGGGCCGAGTTCCCGGGTGACGGTGCCGGGCCCGCAGCCGACGTCCAAGACGGTGTTGAGTTTCCCGCCCGTCGAGGTGTGGTGGTCGCAGATCTGGTCGTAGAGAGATTGGTGATAGCCCGGCCGGCCCCGGGCATAGGACGCGGCCTGCGCCTCGGTGAAGGCGCGGAAGGTTTTCTCCGTCGGAGGCGGAGATGGGACGGTGGTGCAGTCGGTCATTATCACGGGGGGGTCTGCCAAGACTCTTCGGGGCGACTCCTAACGATGGAAGCAGGGTGTGAAACTAGTTTACATGCACAGAGGCGATCGTTTTTCCAAGGTTGGGAAGTGGCTCGGCCCATCTTTATGTTTGCCATGTGCTCGTGGAACTCTCAAACAACAACTATACACTAGGACCAAAAGTCTCATTCTTGATTGGCGCAGAGGTCCGACAGCGATCAACGAGCAAGCACAAGGTAGCAGCACCGTTCCAAAGGGGAGGAACCAGGCTGTGCGATACCAATCAGACCTGTTGAAAGACATGCACTATACTCGATATGGATGACAGCTGGCTGCAAGATGACGCACTGCCCATACGCTAAAGGTCTAGCCGTTGCTGGTTGTTAGTGCATCGCAGCATTCAATCCCGTCCCCGTCCTTCTGACTGATGACGGCACGTCGAATCAACGAAGCCCCCGTAGGTTTTGATTCAGAGTTCATATGTGTCGATTCTTCAATGGGGTTCAATGGGGTTGCAGTTTGCTGCCATACTGGCAATACTTTGAGTGAAATAGAACCTGTATCCATATCCATTCAGATCCAACACCGGCGAGCTATGAACAGCCCATCAGCTCACGACATGCTTGTTGAAGAACAACGACTGAACGTTGCAGAAACTCTTGAGGCCATGCGCGCCCCATTCCACTCCAATGCCGCTCTCCTTGTGGCCAGAGAAAGGCGTCAAGGGAGTCAGTTCAAAGTGGCTGTTGATCCACACATTGCCTGCCTGGATCTGCTTGGCGACTCTGGCTGCCGTCTCCAGGTCGTTCGTCCAGACCGACGCACCCAATCCCATGTCGGAGTCGTTCGCTCGGTCAATCACTTCGTCCTCGTCTTTCCACGAAAGAAGAGGAACGATAGGACCTGAAAAGGAATCGCCGGTTGTGAGCACGCATTCATCGTGTGCCAAAGCGAAAGACTGAGATTGCAAAAGATTGGACATACCAAATGGTTCCTCGACCACGATGCGAGACTTCTCGGGGGGGCGGTCAATGATGGTCGGGGTGATGAAATACCCCTGCGAGGTCTCAATCTCGCCTCCCACCGCTACTTTCCAGCCTTGGGACTTGATATCGCTGAAGAAGGTCTTGACCCGCTCGTATTGCATCGAATTCTGGATCGGGCCATGTGTGACGCCCTCCCGGGAGCCATCTCCAATGTTGTAGCCTTTGACGTGCTTTACCAACGCCTCTTTGAACTTCTCAAAGATCGTTTCATGGACATAGATTCGCTTCAAGTTAAGACAGATCTAGGACACGTAACGAGGGTCGTTAGTCGATGCGATGTTCGAGATTGATATGCTGCTTAACTCTACCCACCTGGCCAGAATTCAAAAAAGCGAAGAAGGCGACCTGTGTTTGGTCAGTATCAGTTCCACCAACCGTGATATGTGTGCCATACCTTCTCGGCAACTTTATCAATATCCACGTCGGGAAATACAATTGCGGGATCGTTTCCTCCCCTTTCTCCCGGTTAGTATCAACTCACATTCCAGCTGTAGGTTGGGCAGTTAGAAACTCACAGCTCTAGAGTCACTCTCTTTAGAGTCTTGCTCGCACTCTGCATGACCAGCTTGCCAGTCGCCGTCGATCCAGTGAAGCTGATCTTGTCGATCCCCGGATGGCTTGTAAGCCACGGTCCAAGATCGTCATCACCGCTGAGGGATTGGACGACACCCGGTGGGAAGAACTGCTGAGCTAACTCTACAAGCTTGAGGCCGCAGTAGGGTGTGAAGGGACTGATATGTCAGCCATTTGACGTTATCGCGGCATTTCAGGAGAATCTCAGGCTCACGATGGCTTAACAATGATGACATTCCCTGTAAGCAGGGCTGGCGCAAGCTTTCCGGTGAGCAAGAGAAGCGGGAAGTTCCAAGGAATGATTGCCCCGACCACGCCGAGAGGGGTGTATCTCGTGACGACGGTACGGGTCTCGCTGTCCTCAACCACATCCTCTGGAGTCGGAATGTCGGCCAGGCCTCTTATCCAACTGATTGATAAGTGGGTTTCCACGTCCGCTTGAGGGATCTGGTTTGCAGCCAGTGAGCGTCGGCGAAATCATTAATAAGACAGACTGCTCAATGACATACCGGCTTGCCTTGCTCCGATATCAGGAGGTCTCGGAACTGGCTCCTCATGCCGTCGAGGGCATCCGCAAATGCCAACACGGCTTTTCGTCGTTCATCGTACGGAACCTTGGACCAAAGCTTGAACGCAGCTTGGGCGGCGGCGACGGCGCGATCAACATCGCCACGGGAGGCCACGGGAACTTCTTCCTTGGGCTCAAGGCTCGCAGGGTTCACACCATGCCGCGTCTTCTCCGTAGTAGCCGATTGCCCATTGATAATCTGAACGAACCCGCCTTCAATGGTGAACTTGGCTGTGGGGTTTGCGATGTCGCCCATGGTAAGTAATGAGAATTTAGCCTGCGTATTTTCGAGCGTGACGGATGGAAAACATTGAAAGGAGGACGTGGAACGTACGACCTACACTGTTTATATGCTGGGCTTTTCCTTATCTAAACGACACTGCTTACGTCCTACCATAAGCTGCATGCTTGGCGTCGTGGGTCAACCCCGCTACTTGTCTCACTCTTAGTTGGAAATATGTGCCATAAAGATCCTCAGTGAAAAAGCGGTCTGAGTTGGCCTACTGTCAGAGTCAAGGACGTTTGAGAACATTTCCTGCGTTGGAGGGGTAAATGTGGTATCACAGGGGTATCCGTACGGATGGGTTGAACAGCAGTCAATTTGAGTCGCTACTGGCTGTTGAACAAGAAGAGAAGCTGTTTTTTCCAGCTCTTTTGGGGTCTCGAGGTAATACAAGTCGTTAAATGCTGCTTGCAACTAACAGCGTTGTTTTTATGTAACAGTTATAAGCCCAGTTTGCTCTGCATAACACCATAACAGTTAAGTGTAGAGTCAGAGTCTAAGCATTGTAGACCCTATAGGTCCTATTCCTACCTAAACACATTATAGATATCCTATAGGCCTCCTTTATCTTAGATATCTGAACTAAGAGTGTTGTAAACCTGCACTACTTGGTAGATGGTACAGATCTACGGGGGTAATAAGCTTCCCTGCAAGCTCAGTCTAGTTACATCTGGACTATATGAACAGGATTTCTACAATCTCGGAAGTTATATCGGGAGGTGATATAAGGCATTAATCGCTGCCTGTAATCAACAGCATTATTTTTGTGTGACAGTTGGTATATGGGCAGAGCTGCTGAGGCACGTCACGTGGCCTCGGGCTGGCTTTTTTTTTGCAGGACGCCTGGCATCCCGACGCTAACCCTCATGTACATTTCAGAAAAACTCCTTAGATGGTATACTAGTCGTTTCTTTCTATTTTCTTTCCTCAGTACACGGAGGAGTTGTTACTTGATAATGAGTCATGATACCCAAGAATCAATTTAGGCTGAAAAGATAAGAGTATAACTTAGGTTAAGCACAGTAAGCTTCGTGCATTAGGCTACTCGATGGCTTGACCAGCTTTCCCTAACGGAAACCACTTCGTGGAACAAAGCGAGATAGGGTACTGTCAAAGGCTAATGATGCTGCCAGCAAAGAAAAGAGAGCCGCCCCCAAGGACGATTTTGTTTCCTCAGTGCAGATATAATGGAATGATTTTGTGTTTGTTCCTCGCTACCACCGTGATTGGTCAAGAACTAGTTTTTGTGTCTAACAACGAAAAGTGTGTTTCTATATAGCTGCTACGAAGGATCTATGGTCTCTCATCGTGTTCTTATAGCTTCTGCCAGTACGCCAGCGAACAGGACTTCCGAGCCATCATCATAAGTCAAGCCACAACCCAGCAACGACCTGTAGTGGCTGATGTCGCCGCAGGCCACGGTTGAAGTGAAGTTTGACTCAGCAGTTGCTCTACCTTACTGGGTGTTTTGTACCGTATTGAGAAATTGACATGTGGCCAGGGTCAGAGGTGGGACGTATCGGTTATATTCCTATACCGAGTGAACTGTGATATCTTTAGACTGCTTATGGATGTCTAGAGCGATTTAAAAACAATGTATGGTCGCCACCGCAATCTCAGATCATTAAACCAATCCCGTTGGTGCTGGTATAGCATGGATGGATGTAGTCGCTTTAAACCCCTATGAGCGGTCTAGTGTAGTTTGCCCGCAGCATATAATATTACAGCACGTAAAAACCCGATACGCAGTATATGAAACACACTTGTTGGTGAAATGGTACGGTATGATTATTGATCCGACAAATTTACAGTAACCTGACCCCTCCCCCCCGCCGGTTAACCTGGGAGTCCAGTATGATTGGAAGTCTCAAGCCTTACTCTCTATGTCTAGGAAAAATGAGAGATGAGCAGTCGTACGAGACGTGAGTCAACTACGGTACTCACCAACAAGCAAGGAAGCGTTGGAGCAAACAATTGCTAGTGACAGGTCAAAACTTGGCGGCAACCCCGTGTATCAATAATCAGCTGGCCTTCCAGCATCCATGAACGGAATGACTAGGCCCGGCCTGTTAAGCGAGACAACGGACCCGAAATAAGCAAAAGGCGCGAAATGACCCCCAATACCAAAATTGCACGTCATTGCCTAGTTAGGGCTCGCTAGATACCGACTAGCCAGGTTCCTTCAAGGGTCATCACCCAGACTGGCATTCGCGTTCCGAATAAGTCATGTTCCAAATGCATAGTAAGTCCTGTTCCAAATAAGTTCTGTTCCAAATAAGTCCTGTTCCAAATAAGTCTTGTTCCAAATGAGTTCTGCTCTAACGCTTCTGAGCACACGACATGGGAGATGAGCCTCCGCAGCGAGCTCTATCAACGCAATACATGGATCCCAATGGCCATCGGCGGTCCAACTGCCATCCGGACCTCCACAGACCTGTTCTACTAGTTGCCTCTTGCCATTCTTTTGTGCGGATATCTCCATTACCAAAGGTGGAGCCCCCTACTACGCTGTACGTCGTACGCATAAAGTTGCGGCCATGGTATGCATCGTACCTCGGCCTAAATACACGCGCAATACGAGCGATGATACATAACTCCAGCCCTGGGGCTCCAGCTCATCGAAACCCGGGAAGTCGGAGCGATCTGCCAAAACTTTCGCCAATGCTACACTCAGCCGACCATCCATTACTACTAGTCAACTCGTCTCGAGTTGCCGTATTAATGTGCCGTCCTGATCCTTGCTCCCTGCACCTCCCGTTGTAATTCGCGCCAACAGCACTTGGCCGGCTCTACCTGATGATCCCTGCAACGTTATCTTGCGCGTCTGGCGCCGAAACGCTGGGCATCCATACAAGCGAGTACGAAGTCGGCTCGCGCTAGCCCATTCGTTGTTTTTCGAAGAAGCGATCAAAACGCCTCCCCGTTAACCCCCTCCCCCTGTACGTAGTAGCAGTGGGTAGCAGTCTTGGCCAGATAGAAGATCATCGACCATTCGACTTCGCAGGTCGCACGAACATGAACAGACATTGCGGGGTATTGAATCGAGGTCGTGCACAGACGCCGCCCGTTCGGCGCCACCGGCTCGCACCTTTCACTGCCGCGTCCCCGGTAGTGGTGGCGTTTTACGCCAACGTTCTTGGGACCCCCACCGTCCAATGGGTGCCATCGCTCGCACGACGGACGCCTTTGACTACCAAGTAGGTGGTATCTCCAGAGCCGGCAGAGAGGCTCGGATGGCCGCAAGGTCACTGGCGTCATCGGTCCCCGGATTAGGTGGGCAGTCAAAACCAGATTGACGCAAGGAAGCTGGCGATCGTTCGGTTGATTGTAAACTCAATGCATGTTCAGTACGTCGCGAATTAGGGTTGCATAGCATAGGTAAATATGTGTTTTTGTTTTGTCTTGTTTTTAACTGGCCATCCATTGTCCTCCGTTGGCACTGACCAGGCATCCGGTCATCCACCCGCTCTCCGGCGAGCAGATCATGCCGACAATTCCTGCGATTTCCTCGGCGTATCCGGCGCGTCCACCGTACTTCGCAGCCATCTCCTTCTGCTCCTCCGTGTCCCACTCGCGGATGCCGCACAGCGGGGTCAGGGGGTACCAGCTTGAGATGGCCTGCTTGGCCTCCTCGGGGGCGGCGCGGAGCATATCCGTCATGGTGGAACTGGGGTTGCAGGCGTTGACGGTGCAGTTCTCCTTGAGCTCGCGCGCCCAGGTGCGGGTCATGGCCTCGAGCGCGCCCTTGCTGCCGCCGTAGAGCGTCAGGTACTCAAGGCCAACCTTGGAGCCGACGCTCGAGATGTTGACGATGCGGCCGGAGCGGTCGGTGGGCAGAAGCGGCTTGACGGCCTGGGTGATGAGGATAGGACCGAGGACGTTGGTGGAGTAGACCTTGTGGAAGTCCTCCACGTTGACGGCCTCGAGGGGCATGGCGTGGAAGAGAGCCGCGCAGTTGACGAGGATGTCGACCTGAGGCTTCCCCGTCTTGGCGTTGGGCGGCATGTCGTTCTTCACGGCGGAGACAACCTTGGCGCAGCCCTCGGGCGTGGTGAAGTCGGCACGCAGGGGAACTGCCTTGACATTGTGTGCCTTGGACAGCTTCGCGGCCAGAGCGGCGGCAGGCGCGTCAGATGCCTCAGTCAGGTAGACGAGGACAACGTTGGCGCCCTTGGAGGCGAGGTTCTGGGCAATGGAAGCGCCGATGCCTGGATGGTTTTGTCAGCATGCTGCATGTGCTGCTGCGGCTCAACGTCGGATGAAAGCAACTGTACTTCTTGAGCCGCCTGTAACGACGGCTGTCTTGCCCTCGTGAACCCTGTACGGAGGGGCTTGCGTGATGGGAACGGTAATAGCAGACATGATGTGTGATTTCACGATACAACGTAACGTAAAAGTGTGTATGATGAGAAATGCCGCGTAGTAGTCTTTGGAGCAACACTAGATCAGATCAATATGCAAAGCTTGACTTTGACTTTGCTCCATGGGGTCCGGGGCACGCTGTTATTAAGGAAAAGGGTTTGGTAACCCAGGCCCTGTTGTCCCCATTTCTGGGTTCCAACAAAGGGGGCCAGGCCAATCATGAGGATGCTTCCAGGATGTGAAGCCGTACAAACCCCATGTCGAGTACTTCCCAATGTGGAAACTGTCGTCTTTTCTCTCTGTTGGACCAAAACTTTTTCCATTCTGGCGGCGACTGAACCGTCCACGCCCTGGATCTGGATAGGATCTATATCGCAGGCATGCGCCCCCCCCCCCACCCAATCTGGGCTCACGTCTGAGCTTGACCAAAGAAAGAAAAGGAAAAAAAAAAAAAAAAAAAGACCCTAGGATGAGGAAAGATGATGCTCTTTTGCTCATTACCCGAATGTGGAATTCCAGGGGAAAGAAATGGGTCAAACCTACGTTGCGTTGGCTGGTATTCCACAAATTGCCTCAACTCCTCCAATGCCCACTTCTGGGTCCAGGAATGCTACTCTGTACCCGCCAAACAATAATCCCTGACGACTAAGAGTGGGTTGTTCAATGAATCTTCTACGGCCCCTCAGGGATTATCCGGGACTCTCCAGGGACTTGCCGCATCTACATGGGTGCTTCGGCGGGCCTATCTGCCAACTACGAGTCAGATGCCAGTTACTTGGCAGTTGGTTATTGCCTTATTGACGCAAAATGCGTAGGTTCAACCTAGAAGCTCGCTAGCGGAGGAGAAGAAAAGAAAAAAAAAAATCAAGCCACTCTTTAGAGGAGATATATTAGTGTAGGGGCAGGGCATGTAAAGGAATAGAGCGTGAAGTTCACCTGCTTCTATATGGTTGTTAGACCACTGTCGCCCTCTTTTTACATGTTGTTACTTCTCCTTCTCGACGGTCGTTTATGAAATTTGCACTACCCCTTACTCAGCTAGTATCTCTTATATATTCTAGCGGAGCCCGGCCACCCCATCTAGGAATCCGTACGGAGCAATTCATGCAATTGGCACAAGCAACATGTCGACCATAGACCCCAACCAACGGTTCCTCACAACGCTCGACGGCACAGGCCTGAGCTTATATGTCGTATCCATCGTCGGCGGCACAATGTCGCTGATTGTGGTGGCCTTGAGAACACATCAGCGGCTTAAGGCGGGGAGCTTCAAAGTGGATGATGGCCTGATGGTTTTCGGTCTGGTAAGAAATATCTGTCCCAAAGACGGGCGGACGCATGCACTTTTTGCATTGTCATCAGCTGTGCACCGGGCTTGAGCAGCGCACTGACAGACATCTATCCTTAGGCCGTCTACCTCGTGGATGTCGTCCTCGCCTGCATGGGCGCCAGGAGCGGCCTTGGCACGCGCAATGCATACCTTAACCCGACGATGATGGTTGAATCCATCAAGTACTTGATGCTCTGGATGCTTCTGTATATCATAGCGTTGTGCGCTGTCAAGGCATCGATTTGCTACACTACGCTACGGATCGCCACCACCATGCCCAGGCTGCGCATGGCTGTCTACGCCCTGCTGGGGCTTACGGTTGCCTCGTTCCTGACAGCCTTCATTGGCGTTCTTATGCTGTGCCGCCCGGTCGCGGCCAACTGGGACCAGAGCCTCATCGCCGAAGGCCGTGGCGAGTGCTCTTCGGTCACCTCCATGCTGGCCTTGTCGTACACGTCGACCGCAGCCACCATCGCCACGGACCTCGCGTGTGCCGTTCTCCCGGCCATCATTCTCTGGCAAACGCAGATGAAGCTCTCGACCAAGATCGTGGTTTCCACCATCCTTTCTTTCGGCTCCTTGTAAGTGACGATCCCGCGTGCTGTCTGTCTCGCGACACTGTCTGGACGCCCTCCGCTGGATGAACGCATCGGCTGACTGTCACGGCTACGTCAATAAAGTGCTTCCATCTGCACCATGATTCGCACTCCCTATATCGACCACTACAACCGCCCCTTGGACGACTTTGCCTGTACGTTCAGACCCCCTGCTCCCAAGCATTCGTTTCGTAGATTCCTCTGCTGACCCAACTCGGCGCACGCAGACCACATCGCCAACATCCCTCTTTGGTCCAATGTTGAGACCGCCGTTGGCATTGTTGCCGGATCGCTTCCCGCCCTGCGCCAACTCGTCACGCGCCACGTCGCGAGCCAAAGTGCAACCAAAGGCACGGGTGGCTCCAGCGGACTCAACCCGTCGTCCGCCGCGCTCGTCACCATCGGCGGCTCGGGAGGGACGAACAAGAGCAAGATCCGCAAGGGCTTGAAGTCGAACTTTGAGGTGGGCGACGCAGAACATGGCGACTGGACCCGCCTCGACGAGGATACTGCTTCGGACAAGGAGAGCACCGTGCCCATTCGCGGCATCCGCAAGGAGACGACCTATGCGGTCGAGATGTCTCCGTTCGACGGGCACAAGTAAATGAAAAAAGAAAAAAGAAAAACCACAACGGGGTAAAACACAAGGAGGAGGAAGAGCTGTACTCGTCAGGCATGCGTTGATTTCAGGGCGTCATCTTTTGACCGGCTGTGGACCGTCGATCCCGCCCAGTTGTTGCGGCGAGGCTAGGCCCACTGGCACTCAATGGAATAGAGCATTCAAGTGCTGGATCGACCGGCCACTTGTGCTCGTTGTTGTTCTGGATTCAAATGCACAGACCAACCACGTGGATTCAATGCCGGAACTCTCATGTACTCCATATATTGTGAATACTATGTTGTCAATGGGTATCTGAATGACACCTCAAAACAGCGGCGCGGGCTGAACATACTTGACTTCACACCGGTCGATGATGATCGCAACTCTTGGTGCGTGTATGGCGCTCTCGTCCGCCAACCCCGGACTCCAGTCCGGTTTCTTTGCGGGTTGGCTTCGCCTACTGTACGGTCTCTCAACCTTTTAGCAGCCTATAAATCTGGTTTTAATATTTTGATTTCAATTTTTTTCTTCATCAAGTTTATCTGATTGGTCGCGCTCCGATTAACGTCCTCTTAAGGTCGCACAGTCGATACACACTCTTAACACAGTCTGATAAACACAGTGTAAGGATCGTGCTCAATAATTCGCAAAATCAATACTGATCGGATGCAACGTATAACGAACGAACCATAAATATATCAGAAACGCCTAGACTCCTCCAGGCTTCTGAATGTTAGCCTGTCACGAGGTTTCCACGTACACATATAGCATTGACAGGCATGCTCTACGATTATTCAACATCTAGTAAAAGCGAGTACTTTAACATCTCAAGAACGTCAACCTGGAAAGGTACGTGTACCTTGTAGGTTAAACAACTCTGTAGAGGTATCCTTCCTCAGCCATCTACGGATATGGTTTACTCCGGTGGGTGGAGATTCTTTTTTTTTTTTCTTTACGGATACACGTTTGGTCATCCCCCCGATTGGTCCACATCAACAACATTTGCAACAGTCCGGCAATTCATGAGGTAGTAGCCGCGGGCCTTTACGCCCAACTTCCGCGGATACGAAAAATATGGGGCGTGCCTCTCACCCGCAAGGACAGGGCCTGGGTATAAGTCATTCCGGCTCCATGGCTACCCCCCTTTCGTTCTCTTGCCAGACCGCTCAAGTCAATTTTTGCTGTTATGGACAAGGGGGGGAGGCGAAGGAGGTGACGTATGATACCTGGTCACGATGCGAACCTGGCTACTGTCCGTGACCTGTTACATTCATCTCAAGCCCCGCCGCGGATACTACTTCGGTAGGGCGCCACGTCATGTTCCGGAGGCGGCATGCAACTAAGGGGGGGAAAAGTCCCTTGTCGATATCGAGGGCACCGCCTCAACGACTCGGTAGTAAACAACCAACGAGGTGGGTAGTATGGCTTTTCACGACGACCGCTGCGAGTCAAATAACCTATACATTGATTGCGAAGCGCGCGCTTTTGGCAAACATACTCTCAGCATTGCCGCCGAAAGTCTGGACGAGGACGACACCGCACGAGCCTTCACTGAGCAGAATGTTTGCACTATGACTGTATTATGACTACGTACGTCTAGACAAAGTCGACTGACTGTGTGTGGGTATCATGGATGATGAAAACAAAACCGTGACAGAGCGGCTCCCAGTCCAGGAGCTTGGTCTGGCCCGGCACTAGACATTACTTGGCCGCCGTGCGCCTCGTGCCGACGAAACTGTTGGCCCTGCTCGCAGACGGAGTGCCTCTGGGGGTACCGCGAGGCGTGACGCGGTTCTCGCCGAAGAAGCGGCTTTGCTGGCTGTACGAACGCTGGTAACCGGGGCGATCGGGCTGGTCAGTGCCGGAAGCAGCACCTAAAAGGACATGGTCAGCATATCGGTCAGCCAAGGCGGCGTTCGGGTTCGACGTACTGGCCGGTCCCTCTCCGGGGGCGTAGCTCACGTTGCGACCTCCAACGTCGTCTCTCGCGCCCGCAAGCTTCTGCGCGAACGGCGAGCGAGCGCGCAGGGCGGGGCCCTTCCAATAGATGACGTAAACGGCAACGACGAGAACGAAGGAGATGCAGAACAGGATCGTGCAGGCGTACTCCAGGTTCTTGCCGCTGGCGGCGCCGATGTTGGTGAAGAAGGGCGTGGCGGGCACGGTGAGGACGCCTGCGAGAAAGTCGCGCGCCCAGCCGTTGCCGCCAGTCGCCGAAGCAGAGTAAGGGCCGTATGCACACAGCATGTAGTCGATTGTAGCCATGTAGATGGCGTAGTTGGCGATGCCGACGATGGCGGCAAAGACCATGGAGCCGATCCAGTGGATGGGCGGGCCCTGGATGGTCCAGGCGAAACCGATCAGACCGATCGGCAGGCAGGGCGCCGTGTAGAGGAGGATCCAGAGACGAGACTCGTACTGGGCCCTGTCGTCGTTCGGCTTGGCCTCGCGCTCCTTGATGTTACGCCTGATGGCGGGGATGAAGAGAAGCCAGGCGAGGACGTAGCCAATGCCGATGGGGATGAAGGCGAGGCCGACCTGAACGGTGTCAAAGTTCCACTGCTGGTAGACGAGGACGAAGGATTGGATGAACATGAAGATGAGGGCATCAGAGAAGCCAGAGAGCAGCGACAGCACGAGCACGATGGGCTCGGTGAGGAACATCTTGAAGGGGCGCACCCAAGTGGACAGGATCTCCTTGACGGAGAAGCGATCCTTGAAGGGGACGAGTTCGTCGGGGCCCCAGATGTTGGGGTTGCCCTCCTTTCTGCGGCGCTTGGCGATACGGTTCATCATGATTGTGGTACGCGTCTCGGGGACGGTGAAGAAGTGGAGGGCCTGGACCGCGACTCCGAAGATGAGCTGGACCCAGATGGACCATCTACACTCACGTTAGTTTGATTCTTGATGAGGCAGACAGTGGTCACGTACCTCCAGTTCAAATGAGCCTCGGTGAATCCGCCAACGATGGGGCCGAGTACGGACCCGCCAACCGAGGAGAAGACGACGTAGGCGACGGCGTACTGCTGATCATCGGACTCGAACAAGTCAGCTATCATACCAAGGGTGACGGAACCGCCGGCGGACGAAAGACCGCCCAGAGCGCGGCCGACCATGATGGTGGCGAAGTTGGGGGCCAGGGCGACGGGTAGCTGCCAGACGTTGACGAGGGCCAGCGAGAGCTGGAGCACCGGCCAGCGGCCGAACTCCTCGGACCAAGGGGCCCACAGCTCGCAGCCGAAGGCGTAGAGGACCAGGAAGATCATGGCGCCGCAGCGGCCGGCCTGGGCGCTGACGTGGAACTCCTCCGAGATGCCGGGGATGGCGTTGGAGTAGAGCGAGGTGTTGAAGTTCATTGACACCTGGACCCAGAAGATGACGGTGAGGATATACCACTTCTTCCACTTGGGGAAGCTGAATCCCAGCTCGTTGTAGCAGTCGTCCTCGGTGATCTCGTACTTGTCGTAGGTGCCCAGCTTCTCGAGCTTGGCCCCGTTGCCATTACCGGCAATTCCGTTGGCGTCGTGCCCCGAGTGATCGGTGCCGTGCCCGAGTTCTTTTGAGGAGGCTTGCTCGCTGTTGCTTACATCAGCGTCCACCGCGGGCTCGTCGCGGGATTCGAGCTTCTCGTTGGCGGCTTTGAGGTCGGCCTCGTTGATGACCTGAGGTGGTTCCTCGACGAAACGAGTATTAGGCATAATGGGCGAATACCACAAATGTCTGTCTATGAGTGTGATGGAGGAATGGTGAAAGAAAGACGGAAAATGGCGCAGATCTGTCGCTATCCTGCCCGTTTATAAGAGGACAGAAAGGTGAGGGAGATGGAGAAAGGGTAGAGGGATGGATAGGCGTGTAGACTACCTCGGACGACCAAAACTCTGTACGGTTCGAGGAAACAAGGGATCAGCCAAGGTTGAACTGTAGTTAGGAGTGATTCAGAGTACCTATATCAATGCCTAACGGGACTTGGGACGGAGAAGCCGAGGGACATTGCTCTCAGTCTCCATGACGATTGACCGAACCAAGTTGTGTGCTGCTGTTGTCTGGTCTCTGACCCCAAATGTGTGGTAGCCCACCGTGACATCACCGCCGACGGACGGTGACGCGAAACCAGGCAACGTTTAGCGCAACTAACGCCCCACATTTCGAGATGCATCGTTTGGCGGACAACGAGGGAGAGAGAGGAGTAGTAAAAAAATCTACCATGATAGCGTTGGTCCTGCCAACGTCAGTTGTGCAACCAAGCGACCGTACCTTAGTGCCAACGTCAGACAGCGGTTACACCGTCACAGGTCGGTGAGGCGATCCACAGGGGGTGGATTCGACGGAGAGGGTCCGGAGGAGGAGGAGGAGAAAATCAGGGGATGGGATGCGATGGGATGCGATGGGATGGGGAGACTGCTCACGTGCACGGCCAGTCACCTGGGTTGATGCCGATCAAAGTCAAAGTCGGGATGCCACCAGATAGATACTATGTAGATGCCGCCGACCCACGACTGGTCGCATTGAGCCACCCGAGACTTGCGAGCAGTAACGGAACGGGATGGATCACGACAGGCGGTTCGCGGCTCATTTCGTTTTCAGTGGCCGGCGGAGAGTTGAAGTTTCTGCCAAGTGGCGCTACAGCGGCAGCGAACTTGGCAAAGGCGGCATCCCAAAGCTTGTTTCCTACGAGGTGGGTGGGTGGAAGACTGAGAATCCAGCTGTGCCTGGCAATTGCCAAGGGACGACGCCGTGATTAGGTCAGCGAGAGCAGCAAAGGACCGCCCACCCACCCTCTTAGTAATTGTAGCGAGGTTATTTTTCCTTTGTCAGGATTTTTTCCTTTTTGAGTCCCTTTTCTCCCTCCGTCTTGGTATCTCATTCCCGTGTCCCCCATCAACAAAGGCCGACGGAAGAGGAAAAGCTTCCCCATTTGGCTGCCTACGAGGACCTGCAGTCACCCCGCCGCACCAGGCGATTTGGGTTTCCAAACAGGGCAAAGCGAAATGCAGGAGCGCGAACGGCGGCTCAAGCGATGACGTCATCGGTCTGGGGGCCCGAACTCATGTCCACGAGGGAGCAGTGAGTGAGTGAGTGAGTGAGCAGGAAGCGGGGGAGGCAGGGAACAACAGTCCATCATCCGGGGCAGTTCCAATCTCCAGTAATTATTCCCGCTCTGATCAATTCCCGGTTTTTGCATCTATCCATGAGTCCATCCTATCTCCATCGATCTAGGTAGCCTTTATTCCCCCGCAACATTATCTGTCTGATCGCAATGATTATTTTGACTACGGGACGAAAACAGGCCAAGCGTTGGGTCAGGTGTACCTAGTCACTCGTAAAATCTTATCCAACCCGCCCTACCTATATGCACCCACGAACTCAGCTTCTCGATGATCGACCGCTCCCGCAGCCTCAACCGCCCTGGAAGCTACTTGCGCGGCCCGAGTAGCAATGAAACGCAGTGGACCGAAGCATTCCGAGCCAATGCACCCGCCGCGGCCAGTCGTTTTACAGGGTCAGCGGAGGTGGAGGCCCCCCGGACGACATCATCCGTTGTGCTTGCGCCAACCTCGTGGCGCCCGGATCAATTCTTGATTGACACCAGCCAACGAAGCAATTCAGGGCCTACCGTAGTAGCTTAGCGTGCCCCCGCCCCACTTCCGACCGAGTTTCGGCCCTGTTTATGTAAGAAACCATTAGCGCCTTGGCTGTCAGCCAGGCACATCTTCAAGACTTCACGTGATTGAGGTGAAGGCAGACGGGACTCTTCATCGCATCCTTGGATTCCTTCCCAGTCCGTCGCAAAGGGCTATCTGCCGAAAAATAACCAGCCCTTGAGAACTGAGCCAACCCACTTGGCGACCGAAGAATAATCATCATCGAAAATGTTCATCGCAACGCTTTCTTCGGAAATTCTCCATTAGTGCCTTGGCCACCTCGGCAATACAGACCTGGCACGAGCGAGCCTCGTGTGCCATCAGTGGCTGGAAAACAGCCACGATCACTACTGGGGCGACCTTGAGTGAGACTACTTGGACTGCCGTGTCGCCGAGGGAACGCCGCTTGGCAGATCAATCTGTCCCGTTATGGGCCGTAAGTCGGTATTACTTGTTTTCCCTTAGCCGGTTACTTCTATGTCTTGCGTTCTTGACAATAATTACAGTTCTGGAGCAACCGATGGGTGCATTTTTCGCAGATAGACCATGTGTGTACCTAATCATTGAAAGTAGTCAAGTGTCAGAGCATGACACTAGAAGGTGTTGGTCTGGTCACGTGGCCACTGCCAGCCAGATACCCAGCTTCTTCACCTTGCCAGCCAGCCAGCAGTCCTTTTCCTCTAGCTACACATCACCATCACCAATATCAGCGATATTGCCTCACTTCGTTGCTTGCCGTCTCCCACAGAAGGAATCCATAGTTGATCACTATTATGGATTAGATAAGCAAGATCCTGTGTCTGGAAACCCGCTGGGCATGACACACACGTCGGGGTGTTACGAGTTGCGTGCAAGTCTAAATTCTACTAAATGGATCACGGATCGCCATTCGTTGCAGTGTATTAACCCGGAGCAGTATACATTGTGGTTTCATCACCTTTCGTGCGTTGTCAGCAGCTGTTGTACAAAGCCAAATGACTAGCTGAAAGGTAGGCGGTGAATAGGGAAGTAGATCCATGATACGTCTAAACCTTACGTACCCTTCAGGCCGAAGGAGTTCTTTTTTTAGCTACAAGTTGATGCGCCGGCGACCGTTGCAGAGCTAATAGCCCTACGAATTAAAGATAGTGTTTATGGCTGCTGGGGTTTAGCGTAACTAAACTGACATCGTGCAACTGAGGCGACTTAAGGCACGTAAACTGCAGTGCAATATATCACTTTCAGAGCCTCTACAGAGTTCTTGTCTTACGTTTACACATGAGGCAGTCGCAGATAATCCTTGTAATCGGCTTGCCCGTCGAGTTTGTTCCACAAATTCACAATGCAAGAGGACGGGTGAATATAGCCTATAGATTGACATATCCATATACACGGGTTGAAATGTCCGGTTTAGAAAAAAGAAAACCCTGTACGAGCAGGATCGGATCTGCCAACCCCGCAAAAGTTACCTTTCACATGCGCTCCACAAACAAGCGGCACGGATGACCCGGCAAACCGTTGCTTACACATAGCCTGTGTTGCCTCTTTGTCTTTCAATCACCTCATTTTGAAACACCCCGGCCTCTCCCTCACAGCTCTGTGTCTCTGGTGTAAGAACTAACTTGTGATGGGCTGACATGGGCGATACTCCTACGAAAGCTCGGCTGTCAGCAGGCGCACAGTCTGTCTGGGGCGACTAAGGTATTGGCCTATGTATGAGAGACACAGTCACTATCACAGCCAGTGGCGAGTCTAGTCAGCCCCTCATTCCAGGCTTTGCAACACGCATGGGTCGTAAGCAAGCGCCGGCTATCAAAACACCTCGTGATGCTAGCTAGGCAGAAGTGAGTTTGCTCAAGATGGAAACCTGCGAAGCTCACTGTTGTACAGATCTGCAGGCCTAACCACATCAGGCACGGCACTTAGTAGAAATACTATGTCTCTTTCCGTTAGCCCCGAGGGTTGCATTGTTAGACCTATCTTGAAGTGACGGATTCATTGCAATCGTTTCGGGAAAAGGACTAGGCCCTGGTTGCAACTAGTCTGGCCACTCACGTCTTTTGACCACTACATGATGGACACATGTTGTCGACTAGCAGTTTCTTTGGACCAATGACAGTTTCAGGTTCCATGGCGTCGCATTCGAAACTAAAGTTGTCATCCGAGTACCCTGAGTGCGGCTGACATGTGGGATGTGTCAGCAGCACTACATATAGTAGCTGAAATGTGAGCAACGAATGAAGTTCGACTACATAGGCGACTAGTAGATGTTGCGAACCATACACTAGTATCGCAGGTGTCATATGTTGGCAAAGGACTACCCTATGAGAGAGACAAATTCCAATACATACTCCGGTGGAAGAGGGTTTATTACTTCTCGCCTCTATAATTAAACCGCCGCTTGGTCATCAGGACTAAGGGGGAACAGGCTCTTTTGCAAGACATGCAGAATCCAACGAATTAAAGAAGCACGGTGATGAACGTATTCCAACCAATAAGATAGTTCCGGATGCCGGCAATGGTGCGCAGATAGGTGGGAGCTGGTTTGCATGTTAACAGTGAAGGGGATCCTATGGGTGTGAAGATCACACTGAGTTAAGGCTGAGAAGCGGGGGGAAGAAAAGAAGAAAGAAGAGGTGTCGAAATTTGGCGTATAAAGACCATGGATGTCGCGCGTCAACTCTTAGTATCTCATACCAGCTTCGACATCTCATCATCACCCATCTCCCCAATAAACACTTACCTTCGTGGAACCCATTGCAAAAATATGCTTCTCAAGAACTTTGTTCTCCTCCTCACGGCTGAGCTCGCCGCTGCCGCTGCATTCGGTCCTCCTAGGGACTACTCTCCCGAGGTGATTAACCTTGAAGCCACCGAGCTCCAGCGCCGCGCCGCCTGCGCCGCCGCCGGCGTCGTCAACGGCCAGTGCGGCCGTTACTACCGCGGCACGGGCTGCAACGATCAGATCGGTGCCAACGGCCCTGGTGTAAGTTTTTACCACGGTCGTCCCCAGATCGGGCTGTCGCGTCCTGCTTCATGTGTCGTTTGCTGATTCAGGACTGGGCTGCAGAGATGCAGCGGAACGTGCTGGAGTTCCTCCGATGCCATCGCCAGCATCAAGGCTGTTGGCGACGGGACCTACGGCACCAACTGTCACTTGTACTACGACTCCAATTGCCAGAGCCAGATTGGAGAGACGGGGAACATCATCACTGGAGGAGGAAAGTGTTACACGCCTTCGGATGGCAGGACTGGACACAGCTACTTGTGCTGGTACAGGTGCTGATCTTCTGTTTGATTGTGCTGGGGGGAAGTTGCTTCATACTTTTCCTCAAATATCTGTCAGATATTTCACTCATTTCTTCTTCTACCTTTGTTCAACATGGCTCCAAGATTCATTCAAGTGGACCGGATGCCAGCGCGATCGTTTCAGAAATCGGGGACATGGAACTTTGAAAACTCCAGCAGGATCCTTAGCTTTTGTTACAAAGTGATATAAGGCATTAATTGCGCCTTAAGGCGTAGATTCCAAGGGAGCAGTCGCTTTTGGCTCCAGCATCAGCGGTCCACCACTTCACCCAAATCGAAGGAAACGTGTAGAGAACGCCAAACATCGCCCCAAGAGCTACCGGTGCAGTGGTGTTCCGTGTTCCCACAGCTCTGGCCAAGAATGTATAGGTGCGTCAATCACTCGATATTTCCAATGCCTTGTTCGGCCGACCAGGACTTTGAACATCTCGTTGCTCCTTGTTCCTCGAAGTATGGGTAGGTTCTGTGGTATCCAGTTCGCCGGAAGCCGTTTCTTTTTGTACAATAAGGGAAGGTTGAAATCGCGGCTGTGCTGGGGGGCCAGAGGTGGGAGGGTTACCTGGACGAATAGTGATAACGTGGTCTGCAGCAAGATGTGGATGCTGGTCTGGACAAGCCAACACCATTGTTGTCTGTAAAGTGCGTAAAAGGACCCCAGAATTCAACGGCCGGTCGTAGATGCGGGCTTTGGCAATGCTGTCCATACCACTGAACACATCGTCCAACACAATCAGTGGCTTCCGTGCATACACTGCTCGAGCCAGGGCAACTCGTTGCTTCTGACCCGTGCTCAGTGCATCGCCGTTGCTTCCAACAGGTGTAAGGTCCCCGCGCAGAAGCTTGTTCAAGTCGGTCTCCAGGTCGACTGCTTTGACCACGGTCTTGTACCAGGCTTCGTCCACTGTACTATGCCCAATGATGTTGGTATAGATAGTATTGTTTGTCAGGTACGGTATTTGGTCACAGAAGCCAACCTCCGCACCTGTAGAAACGTGAACGAATCCTTTGGCATAAGTGACAAACTCTCCAAGTAGCGCTTTTCAGAGTGTTGACTTGCCACTGGCAACTGAACTAACGATCAGAGTGAGCTGGGATCTTCCCAATGTCTACCGACGAAGAAGTCAGTGAGCAGTTTTTGAGAACAGCATTCGCATATTCAAGACTCACGGCAATGCTCCAATGTACGAACACTTGGTCTGTGGATACTTTTCATATACGGAGAAGAATCTTCTGTGCCATGAGAAAAAGGCTGCCTTTCCATGCGCTACCACTTCATGTCAACACAGAACTCTTGATGGAGTTAAGTGGAGTTTACTGCTGTGAGCGTGCCTGTTGTGTACGAAGGCGAGATTATCGTAAATGGTACTATTACCTTTGATTACGGAAGGCGTGCGAGCGGGATATTTAACGGCTCCAATGTAATCCAGCTTCTCTTGTTTCGAGAGAGTTCTCCACCCGTTTCTAAAGTAAGGATATATACAGCGATTGTGTTACGAGAACCTTGAGGAGTTCAAATTATAATCTGGGGACGGACTTGAACTTAGAGAGGCGTCGCCACAAAGGTTGCAAGGCTGCGCCTGTAGGCGATGATCAATGGCATTTGCGTTTTTGTAGCCTAAATGTCGACAAAGTGCGAGTGTCACTAAGCGAGAAACAAAAAGAACAAACGATACGCCAAAACAATAGATAAATTATCTTTAGCGCCCTTTGGTAGAAGACGTTGTGTAAAGGCTGTCGTCAGATGGCGTGTCCAAGTTGGACAACTCAGGGTCTGACGAGGATAGAAGTCGGTATTTGCTATTCATGGTTAAGGATAGCATGGCTAACTTTATTTAGAAATGAGTGAGAAGAATAATCCCTGATCAAAGTTTGGTAAAGTAGAAAAGAAGGAACTTTCTTGATCTAGCACAGGGGATGGCGGGTGAAGACGCTTCTGCGACTACGCCATTTTCTATCCATTAAACGTCGCCAGTTTGCTCGGGCGTCAGTTATCAAGCCATTCCGCTATAATCAGCTGATACAAGCTAGCATCAAACAAATATTGCTGAACCCCTCATCCATCTTTTCCATCGGTTACTCTCCTTGTATTTTGTGATACATGAGAGTCCATCTGACAGGTGCTGTATGAAGCTATGGTGACAACTATTTACCTACTTTACCACGTTGGCGTCCGTCTCTCGAGCGTTGCTGTCTAGACATTTTCGGATTTTAAAGCGTCTTGTCTATCTGGTCTTTGGAACGACCTCTACTATAACAGTATATAGAAATAACAAGCTACTTTCAACTCCATGAATTGCCCCCCTAAGAAGGCCTCCTTCGTTATATCCTTGCAAAAGATTCTTTCGGCGATGAGAGTTCAGACGAACCACCACCCTCGGCTGAAACGTTCAAAATAATGATAGAGACTGTCTCATGAGAGTTGTGCTGGAAGATTGTACTGATGCAATGGAACTCATAAGCAATTGCTTACGAAGGCGGAATATGCAGGTAACATAAGAGGTCCGATAAAGATAAGCCCAATCAGCACATGATGTTCTCTTTAACTGTTGGCATATGGGTGATGCGGCCGGAGGCGGTGGGTCACATGACACACCGCCTACCGGCAGAATCCCTTACCCTTGCCTATACGCAAGGGTACTACTACACTTGTGCTCCTACTTTACCTTGTTAACTAGTTAACTATTAACAACTATAAATTAACTACCTTTTCTTAACCTTTATAATATTATAAGATATAAAATCTTTATTAATTAACTAGTAAAAAACTAATATTAATTAATAGTTAATTATTACTAATAACTAGTAATTAATAAAGCTTACTATTATAGGAGTTTACTTAGCCTACTATAACCTAGTAGACTACTAACTAAGTTAAGTATTATTAAGGCTACTTTACCTCTATAAGAAACACTATAGTGTCTATTATACTATTAAAACCTCTTTAATAAGCAAGAATCTCTTTTATACTAACTATAGTACTATTAAAAAAAAACACTTAAGTAGTAATAATTATTACTTTATTTAACTTTTTTTTTTATTTTTATATTTACTCCTTTAGAAAACTATCTTTATTTACCTTATATATATAAAATTAACCTAGTATTATCTAGACTTATAAGTGTAAGTTATATTAAAAAGAAAACTTACTACTTAATTACTACTATAAAAGTTATATAGTAAATACTACTAATTAACCCTAATAACTAACCTTATAATAAATTAATCTAGTAGTACCTTATACCTTAAGGTACTTACCTCTATAGTAAAATATATTAATTATAAGAAGTATAGCTAAGAAATTCTTTTTAATAAGTAAGACCTTCTTACTATTTACTTTTACTTTACTTATTATATAGCTAAATAGGCTAAATATACCTTTATAAGTTATAAACTCTAGAGGGACTTTTAATATTACTTTAATAAATAAGATAAAGCCCTCTTTAGTACTACTAGTAAAGTACTACTATTAATTTTTTATAACTTCTTTTTTAACTAAAGTATCTTTATACTTAAAGACTATTAATAAATTACTTTATACCTTATTACTATTATTAATAATAATAAGTTTTATATATAAATAAATAAAGAAGTTAAAAAAATGTAGTATAAGTTAGTAATATTTAATAGGCTTATTAAAATATATAATAGCTTCTTAAATAATATCTAATATAGTTATATTAGCCTAAAGTAGTATAAGTAAAAACAGTAATAGTAACCTATTACTTATATAACTAAATAAAGCCTAGTAATATTTATAAACCTTAAGTAATAACTAGTAATAATATAGGCTTAACTTAATAAATAAGTATAAAAGTTATATTAGTAAAAGTAGTAAACCTTAGTATTACTATAGTAAACTTAATCTATATAAGATTTACTACTTCTTTTATATAATATAATATAAGGACTATCTTAATAAAGTAATAGTCTATTATTCTTTTTTACTTATTATTAATTATAGTAAGAACCTTTTACTTACTTATATACTAATCCTATAGAACCTTAAGATATAAGATAGCTACTACTAATTAAAAATAATACTATTAGTAACTATTCTTCTCTTTAGTAATTAAGTATCTTAACTAAGATTATTATTAATAAATCTAAGTATACTAGTAAAATATATAATATATTTAATATTAAGTTAAACTTATTTTATAATAACTATAGTAAAATTAGTATTAAAAAACACTAGATAGTATTAGCCTTCTTATTAATACTTAAAGGTAAAGCTTTTACTTTTTATTTTACCTAAATTAATAGTAGAAATATCTAAGACTTTACTACTATAGTTACCTAAATAAGAGCTTACTTTAAGAGCCCTAAAGCTATTTAAATATACTTTACTAAGTAGTAAAATACTACCTTTTACTATATTATATATAATAACCCTAAGAAAAGTAAGCTTAAAGTGCTTAAGAAGCTTATTAATAAACTTACTCTTATTTAATAAGCGCTACCTAATAGCTACTATAATAATAAAGTCTTTTAATCCTAGCTATTAAATACTTACTCTAGAGTCTATAAGTATAAATTATACTTATTTAATCTAGTGTTTATATTAGAAGAAGTCTATAACTAACTATAGTTATTAGTAAATACTATAATAAAATATAATAATAAGGTTAGTTAGTACTAGGTAGACCTTAATAATTAATACTAGGTTAACTATACTTACTATAGCTAAGGATATAACTAGTAATTTAGTAATAACTATAGTAGTAGTAACTATTATAGTAATAATAATAGTAACTATAATACTAAAAAGTACTATATTTACTATAAGCTAGATTATTAGTTAATAAAATATACTACTAATAAGTAATATAATATATATTAATAATTTAAAAATAACTACTAGGTAAAAGACTTTTTACTAACTATATATTAAACCTTTTTTACTAGCTATAAAGGTAGTTACCTATAAGAAAAAGAAGATAATAAAAATAATAAGGACCTTAGTTATTACCTTTAAGATAACTATACTCTTAAAAGTAGTAAAAATAAACTAAAGGGTAATACTTTTTATACTTCTACTATATTCTTTAGTAGTACTACCTTTAGTAGTAATAAGCTTACTACTAACCTAGCTAACTAAGCTATCTATTACTAGTTAATAAAAGATAACCTTAATATAGTATTATTAGATCTAGCTACCTCTTTTATATTAGATTATTACTTATTAAGTACTTTTTAAAGTATTTTACTAAATATAAGTATAGTAACTTTTTTTACTACTAGTTACTTATAAGTAACTATATTATAGTAAATTTAACTATTAGTAACTATTAATACTACTACTACTAGCTAAGTAAAGATCTAGTTTAATAGTAATAACACTATTTACTTAAAGAGTACTATTATAGTTAGTATACTATTTAGGCCTATTACTTTTTATATAATACTTATAAATATACTTTTCTTACTTTACCTAGTAAATATAAATTAACTATTTATTTACTTTAATAACCTTATAAACACTTTTTAATAAAGTAATATTATAGTACTAGTTATATAAAAATAAAGGTATTTATAGATACTTCTTAGCTAACCTAAATATAGCCTTACTAGTTACTACTTAACTAATATAAAGTTATAATAACTTTACTAATAATTTAGGCACTTATTAGTCTACTGCCTTTATAAGGTCCTTTATAAGGCTAGTTATAAGGTTAAAGTTAAAGCTATTAAGTACTTAACTAAATACTACTATTACTACTAGCTCTATAAGAAGGCACCTTTATAATTTAAATTTACTTTATATAATAACTATATTTTTAACTATAAGGTTATTATTAATATTATATACCTTAAAGGTAACTAACTAGTTTTTTATATTATTAATACTATAACTACCTTTAATATAGTATACTTTCTTTATAATATTTCTATAAAGACTATATAAAAAGCACTTTATTACTACTAGATTAATGTCTACTAAGGACCTCTAGACTAGATTATTACTAACGTAGGT